GCTTATTATAATTTATAAAGCGTGTCATAATTCAAAAATTTGTAAATTATAAAAAGTTAAGACCTAAATTTTAATGTGCATTGCATTACTGCAATATAGCCATATTAGAAAAACGGGAGGTTTAATTTGCCATTACTTCGGGAAAATTAAGAATGGCTAGGCCATTTTGTGAGAACTGTTACTATAGTGGGTTGCGTGGGGCGTGACACCCCCATTTAAGAAAATTCTATTGCAAAAACGAGGAGTTCTTTGCCATCTAGGGGTGCTTAGTTGGCAAATTTCCAGACTTGTCGGCAAATACAGGACGGCTCACCACTTTGCCGGCAAATTGATCTTGGAAATCCCTCTTGAGCACAATAGCTAGCAACAGACTTTGTCGGCAAGTGGAGCCTGAGCATCTCTTTTGACCCCAGCCTAGCAAATCACTCGTGAAGAAACTTCGCAAGAAGATCTGGATGGAGCTTATCACCAGTGGCGTAGCGTGAGCGCAAAACTTAGGCATGCGGTAACATAAAATATACGGCTATATTGAATAAATGTAATGGTAATTTCAGTTTCTAAAAAATACAAGCGGTAATTAATGATAATCGTGATAGCAAATTTTGATTTTCAAAGTAACAAATCTTTAGTACTCTAATTCTAATCAATCAAGGTGTCTATTCTTTTCATTAGAGGCTCCGACAGAGGTTGGAAAGTGAAGAGGGGCCAAGGGAAAAATTATCACCCATGCGAAAGTTTTTGAAAAAAGCTCAATTGTTTAGCAAGACTTTTCAGAATAACTCCTAGTGCTAAAACTGCTTTGCAAAAGATTTTATTCTTATTCATATTCCTCAAGAAAAGGCATCACCTAATGCCCACCAAGAATTTTTTTATGCTATAATGAAGCTGGGGATTCCCGCAAGAAGGAGCTCTCCACATTGCGAAATTGTTAACACACTGCAGAGCCTAAGCGAACAGGAGCAACAGTTTCTGCTCATTTTTTACTCTCATATTTAACTAAGATGAAATAGTGAGCTGTGAGAGTTGTTAGAATTGAAGATGCTTCCATGTGTAAAGTTTCAGAAAGTTAGTCCCGGCAAATCATCATGTATTTAGCAAGGCTTGCGCTCAGGTCTACCGCATGCCCTGGTCCGTAAATTCTGACTATACTGGCAAGCCTTTTGACTTGAATTACGGAATGCGGATCATGACAAATAGACTCTGACCCCACTTTGACGAAACTTTTTCTCTTTTCAACAGTCACAAAGTAAAGAAAGGAAAATAATTGGATTTGAAATGATGTATCACGCAAAGAGTATTCGCAAAAAGCAGCTTATAGGTAGAAAAATGTTGTGGATTATCAAATTTTCGGGAAGGCTTGCGCTCAGGCCGACCGCAAGCTCCAGTCCGGAAAATTCTCACTTCTCTCAGAAGCTTCTCTCGAGTTGCACTGAAGCTGCACTGGAGCATCACATGTTTCTCTTATTTTGGACAGGCAAAAAGAGTGATGTGGAGGGGCTTCAGTTTTTCAGATTTTTCGAATTTCATAATTTTTAGCGATCAGTTTACTTGGAAAAATAGCCAATTTGGGGCCAATTGGCCTGTTGGCGCTAGCGTTCACTGCATGCTGCTCATGACAAGAAAGAGAAGCCGTTTATTGCGGAAATTGTTATGCATTGAAAGTGTTGCAAGAATTTTAGAATTTGTCTATAAATTTCTACGCTTGCGCCGCAAGCGTAGCATACATAGACGCTACGCCACTGCTTATCACTAGTGAATCTAGAATCCAGTAGCGTAGTTTTACCTTCCAGACAAGGAAGTTTGAGGCTTATCAATTGTAAAATTTACCGATGATTTTACCGACAAAATCGTGAAGAATTGGGTATGTCACACTCCTACAGCTCTAGTAATACCACGGCCTTCAAATCCCTTTCATTCACAAAATGCAGATAGCATCCAGGAATCTTAGGAATACTTCAGCCGACCAGAAGTCGCCAAATAAAAAACTTCAAGAATGAACGGAAGTATTTATCATTTAGAAGTCCTGGAATGGCCTCTTAGCTGAGTGTAAGCAAGCATTGAAAGGATAAAGAGCAAAGCCGATGCCAATAAGGGGCATGGGAGCGCACGTCGCCCCCCTTTAAGGCTGCTTGTCCAAAAATCTGAATACTTGTCGGAAGATTTTAGGATTCTCCACAAGTCACATCCCAATGACTGGCTGATTGTATTGTATTGTATTGTAGATTATTTAACGTTAGTTTTTACAATAGTGAATATACACTAATTAAGACTAATATGAAGCAATTGCAAGGATTGCATAAGACAGTTCATTTACTGCAAAACGAGCATGCGCACTTGTTTTCAAGGGACCAAGTTTTGATCAAATTCTTAAATTGTCTGTTTTTTTGGGTACAAAATAGTCTTTCATGAAAACAGGATTAAGGTTGTTAAGTTTTTCAGAAACTTCGAGCGCTAAAATTCTAACAGATTGGACATTTATGGTAGTTTCTAACAGTATTCTAACAGTATGGTAGTTTCTTTTGAGTTAGCAAGTAAATCTTTGTACGAAGATGAATAGACCGAATAGGCTAGTCTTTAAGCCCTCTCGTTAATTTTCTCTAGCTTATCCTGACTTCCTTTACCATATAGGCAGCATCCATATCAATGGACAATAATTGAAGTGAGATAGTATAAATGAATTCATAATTATCTTTTTTTCTCTGTCACCCATAAATCTTGCCAATCTTTTCAAAGAATTTAACTGTTTAGCTGCTTTTTTACAGATCTTATCGATATGAGCATCAAACTTTAAATTTTCATCGATCTGAACACCAGGCAAAGTAACGTTTTTCTCTATTTTAATTGCAAATTTTTTTGTCAATTTCAAACTCATTTATGCATTTATCTTTGCTGCCGATTGTGATGGCTTGAAATTTAGAGGGATTTGCAATCGTTTCATTAGATTTAAACCAATCAAGGCATTTTTTGGTGTTGATAATCTGATGATAATCTGCTTATCTGATGATAAAGAGGCTGATGATAATCTGCTTATCTTTTCATATTCTATAATTAGAAATTTTGCTTTTAATCGATTATTTCTATTGTGCATTGGTCGAAAATAGTCAAAAGTAGTCCTTGTGGAAAAATTAATGGTCCTTTGTCAGGAAATATTTTAGGATACCTTTTGTGATAAACTCCGAGAATTTTCCGGTTGATTATGGACTTTGCATGAAGTAAGTGACAAAAACGACAATTAAGATATATATATAGAATTTTGCTTTATGTTGAAGGTGTCTCTGCCAAGGAAAGGAAAACGTGACACCAGAAAGTGATGCAAAGATTTTAAATATAGACCTTTGTCAATCTGGAAAACTGCTGCCTCCGATCATCCATGGAAAATGATATTTTGTTAAATCTGATGACCCTGAGTCTCTGTGAAAACACTGAAATTAATCAGGTACTAGACAAGTTTGCAGCCGTGAAAAAGAAAACAAGATTGTTGGTTGGAAAGACTTGACTTTTTGGCATTATTGTGCCATGTAGCCTGGTCCCCCTTTCTATAAAGTTGTGCTGATGACGTTGTTTAACTTTTCTAAGTTGTAACCTTTTGAATTTTACTGAAAAACGCATCCACTTCAGCAAGAAGAGGAACTACACTATGAGAATATATCTGCATCTAAAATATAGCAAATTCGGTTGCACAGTGGGCCACCAGACCTATGCCTAGCAAATGGAAACTGACATGTTGATACGCATGCGCAGTATTCTACCAACGAAGTAGATATGTTGTCGGAAATGCTTTTATGTCCGCCCCCCCCCCTCCCCTGTATATCACTGCTGGTGTCGGCCCTGATAAAGAGAACCTGGCCGACCTCAGCGTACCTCTAAGCCAGGCATGTAGCCAGAAGAAAACATGTAGGGGGGGGGGGCAAGACCGAGCGAAGCGAGGTAACATTCCAGCTAGGGGGTTGGGGGGGGGCGCTGTAAGCCCAACTATCGGAGGGTCAAACATGCATTTTCTGGGAGCTTGAGAGTAGAGATAGCAAATGAATTTAACTGAATGTACGATGAATATATAAACTTTTAAAGAAAATTTTTACAAAAATATCAACAGTAATATGAAAGATAAGTAAATATACAATGAAAAATGAAGGGAAATGAACAAATGTGAAATTGTTAATGCATTTCATTAAATTTTAATCTTCTTGGTTTTGAATCCCAGACCTCTAAAATTTGATTTCCATTAGCGATTTTCTGTCAAAATAGAGAAAAGTTAGATTAATCTTTCGATTAGTAGTTTGTCGCCGCCGTGGAGGGGTATCCACCATGTTTAAGAAAGTAAAACTTTTCATCCAAGCTTGGTCTAAAACTTTTTCACCCAAGCTTGGAACGAGGCTCTTTGTTGATGAGCAAACAGTTGCATTTTCAGGTGAGAAACGATTTGCAAAGTCTCTCTCTAACCTGTCGATACAGCTCGTCACCGCAGCTCGTATTGTCTCTATCTGGCAGGCAGTCTGCAATTAAACTGTCATTTAACCGTTTTGGTAGCGACGTTTTTCGAGAAGCGCCACCATCATTATTAAAACTTTTCTCTTTTTTCTCCTTGATGATTTTGACTATTTTTTCATCGTTTCTCTCTCATTGTTTCTCAAACGGCTGAGATGCGATGAACGGACGAGTTTCTCTTTCAATGTTTTTATGATCTCTGAATAATTTTCGTTAACAGCCTTGCAAGAAGCTAGGTGACCAGACCATCTGTTGCCAATGAGCCTTTTCGAGCCTTTTCAGCCTTCTGTGCTATCATAGTTTTTCGGGCAACCACTTTTCAGCCCTATTAATGCAACTAGAAGAAAAGCCACAAACCAAATTAATCTACTTAGGCTGATCAGGTTAGATATAATGATGCCTCCCCTTTGAGCTTAAAGTCGCAAGGGGGCAATTTATTTTCTGGGTATTGTTTCTCAAGACGAAAAAGAACTGTTGTCAAAGCAGCCTCTGCGATGGAAACTGCCTCGAATATGTAAAATGGGAGGAGATTCCATTTGTTATGGGTGGCCGTCAAACTCATGAATGTACAGAAAATTCAGTACATGATAACAGAAAGGATTTTAAACCAATTAGATATATGTAGTCCCAAATCCTCTTATCTCTGGCCATAACGTTATGGCGTCGGTGAAAGTGGCAGTTCGCGTCCGTCCGTTGAACACCAGGTAACAACGACAACGAGAATGTTTTATTACTTTCAGTTGAATGACCTAGGCCTAAACTAAGCTTTTACTAAATGTCATTTCTAGAGTTATTGTTTCCATTTAACATGAAATATCGCTCAGTAATGAGGTTTCTCTTTACTGTAGTTAGTCTATTTAAAATTGATAGCTTAAAATGGTTGGTCTGGATATCTATTTGCATTTATTCAGTTTACAGACTTTGCAAACATGTTCCGATGGTTATCTCAACCTGATCCATCTATTTATCCGGGTTGCAGGTGGCGGGAAAGTTTTGTTGTTTCTGTAGTAAATGTGCTCCTACTATGAAACCCCAGGCACTGATTTTCCGTGAATTATTCAGTAACTGCTAGCATCCAACAACATGGACATATTTCTCTGCTGCCAAGCGTGACCATCAATCAATTAAAAATAAAGGTTATATGCAAAAACAGCTTAAAAGAGCTGATTGGTGCCTATAGTATACTGCAAAGGCAAGTACACACCCCAGATTTTTTTCCTAGATTTTTCAGCATATTTTTTATTCTGGGCGTGGCATGGGTGTGTCATATTCCTTAGGGCAAACAAATAATCGTGTTTATTAAAGATCGACATAATCTTGCATTTGTTTCAAAGATACAAAATAACTACCATCTATGTCAATTTTCTTATCTTTGTTGATGTTGTGCGCACTATATACACAATTAAAGTGCACACTTAAGGTAAAGTTCACACGTGCACACTTGAATTTTGCTCCTGCACATCTGGGATCTCATTTGAAACTGTCAAACTCTGCAGTCTGGCTTTAGTTCCCTTGTTTTCTGTACCATTCTAGCAAATCTTATCCTGATTGGTTCAATTTTTATATTTTATGGGGACATCTGACTTCATTGCTCAAAATTTGCATTCTCCAAATGTCTAAAATTCAGCAAACTCCTGTTATAGTCAAACCAAATGTTGATTGAAAAGTTGTGGCCATAGACCAGGTGTTACATGCAAAATTTTTGAAAAGTTTTGCATGTTTGGTTCAAGTTTTCCATTAACTGTAACCAGATGCGTTATACAAATATGTTAATTGTCTATTATAATCACTAGAAATTATTTTCTCTCCTGTCCTCAGGTAGAACTTTGAATAATTTGGGACAGAGAAAAAGCTCTTTTGATAATTTGTGCTAGTACAATAGTAAACATGTGCAAGATGGGATTTTTTTATTTGCAAGCTAATTTTAACTCTGCTTAAAGGTTGTTTTTAAGAGGTTCTACCCATTGATTAAACTTATTGACAAGGCTCTTCAACAACACAACTAAAAAGAACAATGCTCCACCAGATTAGGAGAAAATAGTTATCATTACCCTATTCAAGGGAATGGCAAGGTCATTGGACATGTGGTCATTTTATGGCCTCAAGCACCTGAGGAAGGTTTTATAGAAGATCATCAAATTAGAAAGCCAAGCAAAATCACACCAGAGTTATTGATATTGTTAATATAAATTAGATGCATATTGGTTTTATGTGAGGATTAAGGATCATAAATTCTGTAATCATGGTATAATCATTACAGAAAGTACTTGGAGTGTCCAGCAATTTGCATTGTATTTATATCTTTCCTCCCTTTTTCAAAAAAATTACTAATTTTGTCCCCTTCCCCTTAGAACAATGTCAGTATTTTAGACAAATATTTTGCGAGAAACACAAAAGAAGGTACTTTCAAATTCTTTGAGCCTGTTTTATAGTAAACCAACATTGTTTTTGTGGAGGAGAGAGGGATGACTGAATTTGGCTTTCCAGACTGATATCAGTGTTGAAGATTTTTGGCAGGCAATGTAATGCAATTTCAAGAAATATTTTTGACAAGAAAATGTTTATTACTTCACATCTGCCAAAGACCTTTGAACCCTAGAAAGGTGGTCAAGTGGGCAATTGGGGATCAATTGAAAAGTTAAGAAAGTAGCAGTGTCATGATTGGTGTTCACCAAGGCTCTGTTTTGAGTTTGTTGCTCTTCATCATAGCTTAGAAGCTCTATGTCAAGAATTTAGAACTGGCCCACTTTGAAGCTGTTTGTGTGCGCCCAGCTTAATACTGATTACTGAAAGTCTCCTTGAACTCAAAGATCATACTGCCCAAAAGATGTTTCAAAAGCTAATTAGTTAAAAAAATAAGTTCCTTGTAATCTTAAACATTCAAGTGGATTTGATATTCAATGGCATAATTCTGTTGAGATGTGATTCAATTGGCTTACATATGTTTCCTGTGTTTTTATATACCGGCTTTATATTGTCTATGTCGTTTGCTAGATGATTGGAAATGTGTTAACTGATGACAAATTTATTCCTCATAATCTACTGTTTTGCATGAGCGAGCCAACGCTTGTGTGGTTGGGTTTGCAGAAGTGCTTAGGTGATGGCGAGTAATCACTTGCATCAAAAGAAAAGGCCTGGGGTAGTTACTCTATCCAATATAATTGCTGGATACATTGAAATGCAGTGGTTTCAAGACAAAACTTATCAAATTGTTGGTTTAAAGCATTGCTTTGTTGCGATATTCCCCAATGCTAGATAAATAGATTCCAGTTGGCAGGATGTGAGTTTGGTGTCATCAATTTATTTTTTTACCTTGGAATTATGCTAGATGCTACCAGTTTTACAGAATCTTGCACAATCAGAAAAATACATTGTTGGTGGAAGAAATTCTGGAAGTTATTGCCTTTGCACATTGCTTAATCAGTGTTAGTCATGGACTCCTGTTCAAAGCATGTCTATAGGAATAAGATAACCATGATCTAATGATTATGTAGGGTCATGCTGGAAAATGAAAAATCACTGCGGGCTGTCACAATATGGGACATGAGGGGTGTGGAACCCTGCAAAATTGATGAAATTTTTGCTATCCAGTGTTCCAGCAAATAAAGGATGGTGCACCCTTTTTGTTGCAAATGTGACTGGAGACCCCTGACAAATGTGTGCACAATAGCTAGAAATGGCCCTGCAGCCACTACCTGGTTTTAATCCATGGACAACTATGATGCACAGATAACCACATATGCAGTGGAAGAATGGTTTTTAGAATGTGAGCAAGAATATGACACAATAATTTTCTCAGGATATGGCCTGTTGGGGGAAAGTCTGCTCATCAAAATTATGATCCAACCCATGGAATAATAACCAGGCTGGCCTGACTGGTAAGGCACATCAGACATGAACCAAGGGCCTGCTTGCTACATGGGGCCTGGATTTGTTTGTTTCCAGTATATAATTCATTTATCTTCTAAACTCACAGGGAGAAGAACATGGATGCTAAATGCATTATAGAAATGGAAGGAAAGAGAACTAGCATCCTTAATTTAAAAGTGAGTTTTCGTTATCAATTTGGGTAATCATCTGATATTTTTCTCTGAAGTAACCTGCCTAACATAAGCAAGAAGTAAATTTTTGACCGAAAGCCGACTGCTGTGTATTTATTGCCAAATACTCATTTTGTTAGTTTTATTCAGAGCTTATTCTTAGACAAAATGTTGATTACATTTTATTCATGTCTGAAATAATGTTTTTTCACATTAAAAGTGTTGTATTCCAGCAAATTGTTTAGACTGATGATTTTGTTTATTCAAGTTGAGCTCATATGCTGATGATCATGGTGACAAGCCAGCACATGGAAGAGAGAGGGTGAAAGATTTCTTCTTTGACTACTCCTATTGGTCATTTGATTCAAATGCAATGCATTTTGCAAGCCAGCAGCAGGTAAGGCATCACAAACAAATCTACATCTTCAAAGTGTTCTATAACTTGAGAAATGCACAATTATGCAATATTTTTAACGAGATGGTTATGATTAAACTACCAGCCCCCGATTTAAAAGATACCAAAGACATGTTTTTTTCTTTGCAACTTAGCTTTCAGCATAAGCACATCTTATTTCCTGTGGACTAGGGCTTGAATATAATACATTTGTTTATTTTTTGCTATTTCTACCCAACAAAGCAGTGTAAAATTACAAACAATCACTTTTGGCTACAGGAACTAGAAGGTGCTTTACTAAACCTAATGACCATAATTATTATTTCATTTTTTTGGGTCTTTAAAAAATACACCAGCTGACTTTAAGGTATCATTGAAAACCTGAATTATGCCAATATCTACCAATAATAATGTCTTTACTTAAGACAGTCAACATTAAAACGATAAGATTTATTTCTCAATTTATAAGCTTTAATGTAGGGCCTTTGCAGGATATTGTACTCAAGTAAGTGTTCAGGTCCTATTTGTCAACCATCATTTATTTGCTGACAAGTCTGAAATTTGCAGATGAAGCACCCCTTCAAGGAATAAATTCCTTGATTTTTGCAAAGGTATTTTTTAAATGGGTACGATAGCCCCTACAATCCATTGTAGTCACAGCCCTGTTTGAATTTATTCCTCAAGCTGTAGCCTTAGAGCACTGTCAACAGTTTGACTTCTCCTCAAAAATCTAGCAACTCTATTGATTGGTTTAATGATGAGTTTTAAATTTTACTCCTCAATGCATCACCCATATCTGTTTCTGTTTAATTAAAAAGCAAATGTTAAAGTACTTATATGTTTATGAAACTTGTATTCTTTTGCAGGTGTTCTCAGACCTGGGAAAAGGTGTGTTGGAAGCTGCCTCTGAAGGCTATAATGCATGTATTTTTGCATATGGGCAAACTGGATCAGGAAAAACACATACAATGATGGGACAACCTGTAAGTTAATGGTGTAGTTGCTTTCTCTATCTCAATTTAATAGCCTTTTCAGTTTAAGTAAAAACTAAGTAGAGTTTCTTAACCAAAAATCAGCAGATATAGTGAAAAATGTTTTTGATGACTTTATCCTTAATTGAATGAATAAAAATCTTGGTAATTGAAGGATGTAGATATGGGTTACACTAAGACTTTTTTACAAGCCTCTTTTTTGCTAACTATTTTTTTCTTTTGGGATGCTAAAGCAGATTGAGCCTCTATCACTTCAATTAAATACTGTTATTTGCAACTTTGGAGTAAGTCTAGGTTACATTTTTAAATGAGAATCCATCGTTGTTTACTGAATCATGTAAATGAAAAATAATTTTATTCTTTCCCTTTGAATGTACACCAATTCATTACAAAAAGGGGGTATATATTCAAACGATTACCCAAAGAAGACCATAACCACCAAAAGCCCTGCTACCCCAAGAATTGTTAATTATAAATCACTTCCTTGATTGCGTAAACAGTACACAACAATGCCCAAAAGAATTGATTATTTTATCTTTATAAATCAAATAATTATTGCTGTATTTTAAAGTCTCATGAAATGCTGTATTCTTTTTACATTTTTGTTGATAATAAGACATCTTTTTCTTCCACTTTTTCTAAAATTCTTAAAGGTTTTAATTTCCTTTGTAATTTCATAGACATTTTGTATAAAAATTTTGCTTTAAATTTTGTTCTGCAGGGAAACGTTGGACTCATTCCAAGGATATGCGAGGTTCGTTCTCCAGACAATATTTTTGTTCATTTCTAAACAATCTCTAATTGTATATTTTTTGGAGAGCTATAATCTTTAAGGGGTTTGTAAACCTGCAAAAATCAGCAGGAACTATGCGTTCTAAAACTCATTTACTTACTAAGCTAATGGTGGGGGGTGTTTCAGTGCTTCAATATAGTCTACCAAGATTTCTACTGCGTACTAAGCTTTAATGTTAACTGACTACAGAAATCGGCCTAAGCCAAGAAAACTAGAACAGATTCACAGTCGTTGATTTTCTAATCCATTCTGTTGTGGTGCATTTCGATGAAACTAGAAATCTTGCAAGATAACATGACTCAAAATTACCCTGAAAAGATACTGAACGTTTTAGAATTGCCTAGTTTTAAATATAAGCTAGTGCCAGTTCAGCTAAAGCCGCCAGTATTTTGTCTTCAGCTGCAAGCGATTAGAGAATTCCTTTTTTCTTGGCTTTAACATTTTTCGGCAGCGAAATATGGCCCTAAGGTTTCAAAGGTCATGGTGTACATGGATATAGAGAGCTGCTTGGTTTTTATATTGATTTATCTATTGGGCATTCATCATTGTCACCAAACGGAAGCTGTTTTTTTTGAGCTGACAAAATAATTATTTTTGAAGCTACGCCCGTTTTACTGTTAGGAGACGCTCTTTTACCAGCTATGAACCCCAATTTTACCACTACTGAACGCCATTGACCCATGTTTGGCTACATAAAGAATTACATCACAAAGAAAACTTAGTTAAACTACAGTAAAAGCCCAATTTTTGTGGTGATATAATCGGGCACTATTTTGTCCATCTGAAATCATTACAAACTGGAGAATGGAACAAAACATTATATATAAATAGCAGATATTATGCATTGATTGTTAAGCTGATTTCGAGCCAAGTGTACCAAAATACAGAACCTGACTTGCTGCAATGAAACCTCCATTAACTGATGATGGACATCTCCAGCCCAAAGACAAATGATTTTGCTACAAAGACATTTTCATTGGTCAAACCCTTGTAGAAACAATATCATTAATACTTCTGTTGAGAATGACCCAATAAACATCTTTTTCACGTAGGGTCTTTTTCATCAAATGCGGAAATGTGGAGATGATGGTATTTCGTTCAGAACCGAAGTAAGGTATGTTAATCACAATCTCAATCTTAAAGGTATTTTCAAAATTGCATTATACCAAGAAACGAGCATGCTGTGTTTTATACGGTTTCTAGAAAGATTTCAACATTATTATTTTTTGCAGCTATTTAGAGATTTACAACGAAAAAGTACGAGATTTACTCAGACCTCAGTCTAAAAGAGGTACTACCTCATACACATTGAAAGTAAGAGAGCATCCCAAAGAAGGACCTTATGTACAAGGTGAGTTACGTTTTCTGTGATTTAGATTTAGAAAATTTGTTTCTGTTTCAAAATTTTTTCTTGCTCAATGTCATACCGGTCTTCCAACAGATATACAGTTCTAGATCTTTTCTGCCATTCAATTCAGTCTAGGACCATGAAAGAGTGAATGCTAGCTTTTGGACTTTTTATTGATAAAATCAGAGGTGGGCAGTTACTATAGGTATAATTCAAATGGCTTTTAGTTTGACAATGTATGTAAAATCTTTAAAGAAAAGCAAATTTTCTTTTCCAAAAGCTTCGAAGTCCGTTTAATGCCTGTTTATGATGAAACTTTTTATCATGATTAGTGGTTTGGTTTGTCCTTATTTGTTTCAAAAAACGAATGAAGCTGGCGACCTTTTGCTCATTTTAAGCCGAACTATGGTAGTTTTGACTTGGTTACAAAGGCCATCAAAATTATTTGCCCCCTAGCCATCCCAGAATGCAATGCGTTTCAAAATGGCGACTGGATCAGGAAATGGTCTATCGACATATTTTCAGCTATGCCTGTAATGGCTCATGACAACAAAATATTCTTTATTAATACTTTGAATTTGCTTGACCCCAGATAGTAGAGATTGAGCCACTTGCCATTGAAAGTATGGCGTGAAAATGCCCGGGAGCTTAGTTACCATGTGTACACCCTTATTTTGAAAGATCTTGTAAGTGCTGTTTATGTTTACGACCAAACCAAACATATTGGCTGGAAAATACACCATGAAGCGTTTCTAAATCATATTTGCCCTAATTGACTGAAACTTCGACATTTTTAACTATCCTTTTAGAAATCAGAGCAAAAGTTATCAATCTTTCATAAAATTACTTTTCGGTCTGTAGCAATATGCGTTTTTGCAGGTCTTTCAAAGCACCTCGTAAATGACTATGAAGCTGTAGAGACTCTGATGGCTCAAGGGAATTCACTGAGGTAAAGATGTAATTAGAATCAAATCTAAAATCAAATCTTAAATCAAAGGTAAAATCTATAAATCTATCATTTATACAAACGCTGCAACATTCTAAGAACTGTGCAAAATTTTAGCTTTCCACGAAGAACAGGGAGAAGCACTTGGAGATTGGATTCAGTTGTAATTTTCTGCCATTATTTAAACCTCTAATTTAGAACGGTTCTGTTGCTTTGGATTTTAGTACGATCTACTATCAAGTCCCATTTTAATCGAAATAATTCCATTCTGCTAGGAGGGTGTGTGGGGTTTTTAAAAGGGGTTGGGGGTTAAATTGACTTTTTACGCTGTAAAATATATTTCATTTTCTCGTAATGGTGCCCTTGTGGTGTCCAAATTTGCAGTTATTATTTCAGATGATGATACAATGTTTTAGCCAGTTTTGGTTTTTCAGCCAATTTTCTTCAGCTTAATATCAAGGCATTATCGTTCAATCTAATTTTTCCTCTTCCGTTAAAGAACAACAGCATCTACTAACATGAATGACACAAGTAGCCGATCTCACGCCATTTTTACTTTGAGCTACACTCAGGTACATGAATTCTGTTCTAAGTATTATGGAAAGACTCATCTTGCACAATTTCTATTTCACCCACTTCTCCCCCCCCCCCCCATAACGTAACGAGGTTCGTTATAACCCAATTGATTCCGGTCAGATAGTTATGATATTTATCATAAAAAGAACCAATATTGGGAAGATTCTTGGGGAGAGAGGAAAGTACTTCAAGGAACAGGGAGTTCCAGGGACGTTTGGTGCTATAAACCTTTCACTGAGACATTATTTTGCTTCATTATTCCATCTTTGTTGATATCAACCTTTTACTTGCAACTCTTCTTGCAACAATCCACGCCATATTATTATAATCTCTTTTCAATTTTTTCTCTTGCATTTTTATTCTATTATGTGTCGAGTCTAATGTGTTTATGGCGTCAGAAAAACTGGAATTTAGCAAGCGTTATATGATTTTTTGCAGGCTAAATTTTATAGATAGTCATTATTTTGCAGGCTAAATTTTACCATGACATGCCGAGTGAGACTACGAGTAAAATAAATCTGGTTGATCTTGCTGGAAGGTGTTGTAATATTTAAAATTGCATTTACATTCATTCGTTATTCGTATTCGAGCCTGTGTCAGAAAAGTTTTAATGATAAATAATTTCTTGAGAAACCTGTTCCAGCTAAATTTTAACCACGAACAGCCTAGCCTATCACATCGAAAAACAGTCCTTTTTGAGCCTATCACAACGAAAAACAGTCATTTTTGTGCAATTTGCAACATGTTATTCAATGTCATCAAATCCAAAATGGCTGCCAGATTACAAACTACCCAGCTTCATTTCTAATGGCTTGTGTGTCCAAATGCTGAACTGACCGCTATTTATTAACGACCAGCGTTTGAACTGAACTGACTGGCGTTTAAGCTCTATTCATTTACCATGCTCAAATTATTACTCACAGTGAAAGGGCTGACGCAACAGGTGCCACTGGAGTGAGGCTAAAAGAAGGAGGCAACATTAACAAATCACTAGTTACTCTTGGCTCTGTCATATCTTCCCTAGGTATGCTCTTCGTTCTTCTTTTATTGTTCTTCTTGCTCTATCATTTCTTGTTTTATTCATTAAATCACCTTTCTAGTCATAAACTACAACAAAGTTCCACGTGTATGCATTGGTGCTCTGTAACAATTGTTTTGCGAATAATAAATACTGAAATGTTGGTACATATTTTGGTATTGTAGATAACCAATGTGAAACGCCGTGTAGCCTTTATTCTCAAGCCCCGCCGTGTAGCCTTTATTCTAAAGCCCCGCCGTGTAGGCTTTATTCTGGTCCTTTAGCTAGAACGTTTTATTAAGGCCACACTACCTTATTTTGTCTACTTGCTTCTGACTGGTGTCAGTATATACCATAGCTACCTTGTATAAAAACAATTTTAAATTAATTTTTGAGGCGAATTAATTATTTTCATTTCTTTTAGCTGAGTCATCTACAAACCCGAATAAGAAGCATTTATTTATTCCATATCGAGATTCGGTTCTGACTTGGCTACTTAAAGATAGTCTTGGTGGAAATTCGAAAACTATTATGATTGCAAGTATGCGATTTTTCATTCTCAACTGAAAATCGTTATTTCACAACAATTTCATTTATCTAGAATAGCAATAATGCGAGATCTCTCCTTTGAAGACCTCAAGACATCCGGTGCTTCTCCCCGTACTCATATGACCTGCCTTCTTCCTATACCCTAATGATTTGCCCTCTTCTCTCACCCATAAAATTGTCTTCTTCCTTAACCAATTAACCTGTTTTCTTCCCATACCCGTATAATTTGTCTTTTTTGTTACTCTTATAGCTTGCTTCCTCCCATACCCGTTTGATTTTCCTTCTCCCCTTGCCAATATGCCTTTCGGAAGCCAAATGTAAAATCAGCTTTTGAAAATGTGTCGTTTCATTTTACCTTTTCATCATGGTATTCACAAGACATTTCACAACTTCCAATTTTTTATATAAATATTTCTAATTATATAAACAAAAAATATTTCAAATCTCCTTAAAGAATCATTTCTCCAATGGAAGCCTTCGTGTGGTTTCTGTAGCTAAAAAGACATAGATGCAAATAGGCCGGATGTTTTTTAAAATTTTTGACATACATTGCTATGATGATACTTGGTTGATAATTGCTAGTTACTAAGGTAAAGAAATATGTTTTCCCAGTCTTGCGTATAACTTTGGTTTTTCAATTGAACAGCTATATCTCCAGCTGATTGCAACTATGCAGAAACATTGAGTACTCTTCGTTATGCAAACAGAGCAAAGAATATAATTAACAAACCAACTGTGAATGAGGTGAATGGTCCTTTTTGTTTCATTTTTTACAGTTGTCATCTGAGCACCTCTTACGTTCTTTGTACTCTAAGAATAGAAAGTACAAATCAATAGACAAGTCAGAAGCAAATGTTTTTTGAGTTTCAAAAATTACATAAGGTGTCTCCTGTATCAACATAGGCGTCAAATCTTGATTGGCTGCGAAAGGAATTGCCAAAGCGTGTGTCGAGGAGGCTTGTAGGCACATTTGCAGTGTTGGCTTTTTCGCCATCTCGTTTTGGCCCACAAGCCTCCTCGACACTGTGAAGCCCACCACAGTTTATATTGATACAAGTTTATCAGTTTTATTGATAAATGGCATTAAAAGCATTATGATGCCCTGCGATCATCTCCACTAGCACAATACGAGTAGCTGATATTCTGCATTTTTTTCACCTTTCATACAACTGTCCAATAAACGATATTTTTTACTCCATTTAATGATTGTATTAACCGTCTTCAGCTTGTATTTTCTTAAGATTAGCTTGTAAATGGCTTTAAAAAAAGCAAACATTTAGTAAACTAAAGCTTTTCGTCTGACACTCTTCAGAGTATAAAATGTCAGAACACTAATCGAAAACTCTACGCTAGGAAATATATATACCCAGTTGTGGATCGAAATAGGCCAATCAGAAACACGAGCACATGACTGTATAGGTTGACCAATCAGTGCCGCTTGCCTATTGAGAATGTTACCAGTGGAGTCCTAAGGTGAAAACGAACTCCTGTTGTCTACACAGTAGCGGTTTTTTCGTGCTTATGTAGATAGATTCTAAAACTGCTAGGTGGAACGACGATCGGGCTTTACCAATAATCCGAAACATGTCGCCATTATATTTTTTGCACAATCTGGGTTTTCTAGTAAATGCTGTCCGATAGCAGAATCGCAGGATATACCACCCATGTTCAATCATGTTGAGTGGTAATGTAGATGAAGAGAAATCATGACTATCTTTAATTTTTTGTCACTGTTCGTTCACAGGATCCAAATGTAAAACTTATCCGAGACCTGAGAGCCGAAATCGACACACTGAAAAATATGCTGCATCTGGTATGTTATTTTCCTTTTCACTAGTTTTGTAAGAGGTAGGTAAAATTTACCGCTTACATTCCCCAGGTTCATAAAACGCAGTGCCAATTCTTTTTTCATTACTGTGAAAGTATTAAAATTGTATATTTATCATTTTGACAACATTTTCCTCATGGGTAGTTCGTATATGCTACATTAAATGTATTAATAGTTGATATTGTTAAATTCTCGTGAAACTATTTATTTTCTATTTGTATGATTTAATAACAAAATATCATTATATCCGATAAAAAATATTTATCTTGTATGATACTAATGAACATTATTTTAACATTGAAATGTCATTATTTTTAAGAGAAACTACTTCTGTTGAATGGTTTACATTGTATAATTTTGACAACAAGCTATCATTAAATTTGAAAGAGTATGTTTCCATTCTATGATTCATGCTTCTATGATTTACATTAGTGTAATTTGACATCAAAATACAATAATATTTTAGAGACAATATTAATCGATATTATAGATATTGTATTTTAGAGACAATATTAATCGATAGAGATTATTTTCTATGATTTATATTAGTACGATTTTAGCATGAAATATCATATACTAGGATGCTCTTAGTGATGCCGAGAAAGCAGCTGCTAAAAAACTCTCAGAAAATGAAGAGCGATTGGTTGAATTAACAGACAAGTGGAAAGACAGGTGGAAGGAAACACAGAAGATTATGCAGGTTGGTTGCAATTGGACTTGTTAATCGCTGAGGTTTATTATTTAATTTCCTAAGCGTTGTCATCTGACAAACAACAGTCTCTCTACAGAGCATTTAGGAAGGGTAAACAGCGGCTTCAGCTGTAGTCTGTTGTTGAAAAAATTTAGAAACGTTGGTACGACATACGATCACAGTTTTGAAACGTGGATCTCAGGGGTGGACACTTGGTAAAATATTGGGGCAAGCCTATTGTCTTGACAAGATGACGTCATATTTTCCCATTGTTTTAGAACCAAAGATTATTTTCCTCCAAAATATTGGGGGCGACCGCATCCCCCTTGCCCCCTCACTCGCAATTGTCCGCCATTGGTGGATATGACCTGCAAGATAAATGTTCTATCCTAAGGCCTCAACATGGTGATAATTATAGTATACGCTGTTTTGAAAGAACAGCTAAGAGAATTGCTTCAGTGCCTCTTTCATTTCAATGAACCCACCATATGGTCTTTTACTTTTATTTTCATTTATTGTCAGGAACTTTGTCAATATGTTAACTTTTTCAGTATTACTCTAGCTGAAAATTAGTATTACGATAGCTTTTGCATGGAGCCCTTTCTATAATTTCCGGTTGTGGGAAAGCATCAGGCAAAAAATGGTTCTGCAAACTATGATGGCGTTCAGCCATAGATCAATATCTACTCAAGAACCCATAGTGCTTAAAGTGAAAAAGTGAAGCGAAAGTGATTAAAATTTTACAATCAAGTATGGTCGTCTTCCGATCTGAAATGTTTGTAACACGTCTACTTCGAAACGAAGGATCCGTCTTGTGTAGACAAAAATTTTGTCGCCGATGAGTCCATAACAAGTGACTTATCAAACACGGCATTCTTCCGCTATTCTTTTGACCCGCATCTGGATATAAATTTCTGTTTGCCTTTTGTTACAATACCACGTTTATACTTTGAGTAGTGTAGGAACGATAAAGTGTATAAGTATGCTATTTTCCCTCTTGTTCGTTCTTAAAAAAATATGGTTTTGGAGGGCCCTCTTCTTTCTTTCCTTCTCTATAAAATCAAGTTATATTTTTCTATTCCTGGTATGTCACGGATAGGCCATTAGTATATACATATACATAATTCATGAATTTTTTAGATGATAATTCAAAACAACACCCCAAGGTTAAAATTTGATATATCCTTAGATAAAACAAGTATTTATAGTTCTTGTAACTAACTAGTATATAAGATACCGGTTTCCTTTTTGCATAAGCTCCTTTCTTGAAGAAATAAAGGTAGTTTTCTCCCGAAAAATTCCTTTTTAGTTTCAGTATGGAGGTCAAGTGACTCCACTAGGTGTATAAGTGTGACGCCAAATAGCTTACTTGCAAATTCTTTCTACTTTCATCAAATTAATGATAGCTCTTTTTAGTGATATGATTTTTATAAATTTATTTGTCAAATTTAATTCTATAAAATCTTGCCACTTGAAAACATGTCATTGTTTCGCTTCTCTTCGGAATATCTTCAGTGGAAAGTTCAGATTTTATCAGCAGAAATGTTACAGCTTTTCAATGGACACAATTTTAATGGGCACAAAGCTACTGATATGGACTCCATAATCCAAAAGGTGTTGCATATTTAACTCAATTTAGGGTGCGACTAAGCAATCTTAATTTCTATAAATTCAAGCATAATTTCAAGGACACAGTAAACCCACTGTGTCGAACCTTCTTGCTACCGTGCTATTACTTCTAAGAAGCTTATGGAAACCTTTTAGATGACAATAGATTGCAAATCCTTTTATATGGGAATAAATATTTGCCTTGGAAGCCAATGAGCTAATTTTAAATCTCACAAGAAAGTATCTTTTCGAAACTAAACGCTTCGACCAAAGACCAACCTCATAGACCAACCCACACCTCCCCTTGTTTCTTCCAGTATTTATAAGTAAGAATGTGTCTCTTTTTACCCTCTATGCTATGGCCCCGGTGTAGTCACAGTTGATGCTCTCCAGAGAATCATTTTTGTGGTGTATGTAGTGTGAAGTTAATATTATCTCAATTACTTTACTTATAACTTGTATGGAATGTACACAAAAAGTTAATTCGTGTGAGTGACTTAAACCGCAGAGGTCCTTGGATCTATAGCCTGCGCCCTAGCCACTGAGCCATCCTCACACCAATTCGGGTACTTATAATACCTGAATAAGTTTGTCTTACTTTTGTTATTATGCTTTGTTTAGGAGAGGGAGCTTGCATTGAAAAAACATGAAGAAATTGGGATCAGAATGGACTCAGAATTACCACATCTAGTTGCATTAGAAGATGACCTTCTAAGCACTGGAATTCTTCTCTACCACTTAAAGGTATTTCCTATACCACTTACTTTTTACGTATGAGAGAAGGCTAAAGTAACAATGGACTCGAAAGAAGATTTAATTTTAACGCATTACCTTTCAGTAATGGTTGAATCTTAATGCAGTTCAGTGTAAACGGGACCAAGGTTTAGGAATCACGATTTGTTGGCGCGTTTTTCACGAGTAAAACCAAAAGCCCCCTCAAATAGTCCTGAACCTTGGTCCCGTTTACCAAAAGCCCTGAACATTTTTTCGATGGTATTGCATTGTTTACACATTAGCAAAATTTTCAAATACTACACTTGATTATGTCTGTAAAAAAAGGTTAGGAAATTGCCTTTTGAATTGATTCTATCGCATAGGGATTAAAGTTATTGCAGCGAAATGAATCCTTCTAATAGTAGGTCTGTTAGCTAGGCCATTCTTTGATAATACATTGTGTGCAGGTGGCATGATTGCTAAGAGGAATTCCATCAAGCTACCAAGACTATGCTCACAATGCGTAGATAGCAAGTGAAAATAAATACATATCGCAACTCAGATGTTGAAAGGATAAGCTATGATTCTTATCAACAGTAAAACATTTATATTGCTAGGAAGGAAAGACTAATATCGGTACCAGAGATGCAGATGTCAAACCGGATCTCGGTAAGTTAAACATCCTTCGTGCTCAGATTTTGATTTTGATCGAATGGCAACAGTTTCAACAGCCCTAAGTATACGTCTAGATTTAGCCAAATAAGCCTTTGTTCTGTAAACATTTGTCAATCACGAATATTGCTTCGAATTTCCTTGCTTTTATCAACAATCAGACTGTTGATATCCTTACATTTTGTATCTTTTGAAGCTTTTTATAAATTTCAACCGATCTAGGTCTGAAGATCAATGACTAATTTTTTCCCCTGATATTATTTGTTATACATAGGCATGCTGAAAGAATCCTTAGATGAAATTTCTTCGGTTTTCTTTCTCTGTAGGTTAAATAATTGGTTAATATCATGATTTGTAGGTCTGTAAGTTGAAAAGAGTCAATGGTTTGATGTTGCATCATAAAATATGTCAGAAATATGTTCAATCTCTAGTCTTAGCTGTTGTCGAAATATTTTTTCCTCTCTTTTGAAAGAATATCAGCTCCGTGATGCATCAGTGATGAGTTTGAATGGCTTTATTATTTGTTTGATAAGCAGTTTATTCTAGCAGTAAAGAAATGATTCCGTAGAGACAACAAGGCCTATTCCGTATACTTTGCACAATCGAATTGTTTTATAGAAGCCTTTACAGAAGCGCACTTCAAGATTTGTATGTGTAAAATATAATAGTTAATGTACAAAGTACAATAAAAGATTCAAAGTACAATCTTAATCAACCATAGACGGACGGACGTCGAAACAGTGGACAAATTTGTCTGTCTCACCATTTATTTCATGCTGTTAAAACCTTTGGATAAATATCCAAACAACAGACACCTCCCTTGAAGGAACAGTTCCTGCTCTGGTGGAAAATGTGTCTGCCATATAGAGGTTTTACTCTAAATTTCCTTGTCCCTGTTTGCCAGAATAGAATTTAGCACCATTTGATTACGGTCTCTTTTAATCCATCCTGAGATGATAATTAACCACAGAGTGTTTTTAGTAAATCTTTTCTGGTTGACAGTGTTTGGCTGAAATGAAATAAATCTGTGACACTGACCACAAAAAATACAAATTGTATTTGCAAAGAGTTTTCTTTGATTAGACTTAAGTCCTTCTTGTAATGAACTGCTGAGACGGTCACCAGCTAAACCTTATTTAATCTCGTCATTGGCTTATTGGATTGATGAAGTCTTAACAGTGCTTGTACATCTAGAAAATTTCTTAAGCTTTATCATTTTTGTTCTTAAGCACCAGAAAAATCCTGCCAACTTTTCCCTTTTCTTTTACTTCGCAAGAGAATTAAAAAACTAAGAAGGATTCAGAAGCAGTAATCAAATAATTGTCACGATAACAGTGTAAAGTTATGATCTTTTAACGTCATTTATGTTTTTAATGGTTTATCTTGGAATTATTTGACGCCAGTAATTTTTAAAAAGCTGGTGTGCTGCATACACGCTTCCTCGCGCGTAAGCATAGTTTGCCAAAGCTGTTGAACAATCTCTTCAATGTGTTGAATCTTTTTATCGAAATTTTTTTTTGAAGCTTTACACTGGGAACAAAAGTAGGATGTTGTTTTGGTTTCTAAGAACTGACCTCTTTCTGAAAGTTGTGTGCAAGCTACTTTAGATGTAGAGGCTCTGCTTGCTTCTCTCGTGTTCCGAATCCATCCTTCCCCATTTTTGTCATACATAGAAAAATGTTTGTTTATAAACTCAGTCCCGAATTCCATCAAGGAGGCTACACTTACAAAAGGAAACAACTTGGAGATTGTTTGTCAAAGTATATAGTGCGTTTACCCAAGTAACCTACCATTTGTTATAAATATTTCATATATCGATCACTCTATATGATGCTGTGTTTACATCCACAGTGCTAACCGGTCCTGATGTTGAGAATGAGCACTGTAGTATTGAAAACCAAAATGGCTTTGTTATTCTTGACCCAAAGCCTGGCGCCCTGTGTTCTGTTAACGGCAACCACGTAACCACCAGGACAAGATTGCAGCAAGGTATGGTCGCTTCTAGTAAATTAACCCATTTCTAGCTCAAAGGCAGTTTGTCCCGCAAATTATGGAGGAGTTCGTCTAAATTGCCATTGGTTTGATATTGTTACTTTATCCAATCAGCAACGCAAATTAATCCCAGCGACTTCTCAGTTGCGAACAAGCCTAATGTCAACGTAAAGGGTTGACTGTTGGAACACAGTGCCTTTAACTATTGATGAACAAATGTCAAATAATAAACATCAGCTGACTGATTTAGGCCTATATATTGGCCGCCAATAAATTCTTGCTTTCGTGCTATTATAAAATGTAGCAGCGTTGAAGGCTTATCACAGTGCACCAAATTGTTGGTGATTATTTGCTACAATAATTTCCAAATTAATTTCAGTCAGAAAACCAGGTACAGAATAGCAAAAGAATCAAACCTTTTTATTGAAGAGAGAGCGGAAATGCAATGACTATGGTATAGATAGCATGGGACAGAAAGCTTAAACATGGGACAGAACTGTTGAAACATTTCCCAAAAAGGCGTAAAACCACTACTGATTTTAAACTCAGTAAAAATTGTTAAGTAAACTACAGATTGATTAGACAAAATGTATAATTTCAAACCTTATATATTACATGTCATGTTTCTCTTTTTTAGCTATACCCTATATCGTTTCATCTCAAGATAAACTCAAGTAGTTACAAGTTATTCATGACAATTATTCGTTCATTTGTCAATAATCGCATTATTTGTTTCTCTTAGGCGATGTTGTAATTCTTGGAAGGACCAATCTTTTTCGTTTCAATCACCCAGCCGAAGCCCAAGAGTTACGAGAGAAGCGGAAAGTAAGTCTGCCGCAAATCGTTACTGACGAATTCGTTATGACAGCAAAACGAGCAATCTTTTAGTTTTCTACTTTTTAAGATAAGGACAATAACCTTTCCGAAGTAATTGGTTTCTGTAAATAGTTAGTTTATTTGTATCATCGTTGAGCTAGCAAAATTTGTTTCTTTGCATTGCTTTTTGCTATGAATGCTCAGGCGAGCGAATTTTCCTCTATTTTGCATTTTGTGGTTCTTGTCATCACACTTTCAACTACGATCAGTCAAAATTTGTTTCTGGCTGGCTTATGTCTACTTGAATCGATACCAAAATCCAAAAAGTTTGTTATTTTGCATTGTTGACACATTGATACATTGTGCAACATGGGTCAATCTGATTAACCACAATCCCAGACTTCTGTATTTCACTTCTTAGTTCTGTAGACAATTTTCCCTGATTTTTAGTTCAAGTGTTTTACTTCTTTATTGTTTTCTTCTTAATCTAGTCTTTTGGTGGCGGGCTTCCTAATATCTCAATGGCTGCAAAGTTTGGCAGCGAGCAGGATTTACTCCAGAAGTTAAGATCAAGGTATTATTTGCTGTTAGAAGGAGTTTTGTCTCGCTGCTTTTTAAAGTCGTTTCCTTAATGTAGCCAGATTCAACAACATAAACCTTTGAGAAACTTTCCTGTTCATAATTTGAAAGTCAAGTCAAGTTTACGGACATTCTGTTCCTAAATTCATATTTTAGTCTGAAGACCATTTTTCGTAGCCTTAAGTCTGAAGATATACTGGGGAGCTTGGAGTAAGAGAGAGACCACCCCAGTAGATCAGGCTTTTATAACTGCGGGACCGTTTATTAAATTATATGAATTCTATTCAGAGCACATATACATAGAATCGATCATCGCATACACGCCACATTTAGTGTATGTTTAGTCCGTGTCACATCAGTTGAGAAAGAGTAGTCTGTGATGCAGATGAGAGTCTGTTTCGCCGCGTTTGCTTCCATCCACAGTCATCATTGTCTTTTTTGTTTCATTGCTAGTGCGCATGACAGCAGGGAAAAGAGAGAAGAAGAGCTTGCCAAGCAGTTAGAAGAAGCAAGGTAAATCTATTCGTATTGATAGATCACCTTTCTTCTACGTTTAACGACTACGTTTAACGAGGGCCGTCTTCTTCTTTTGCCTGAAAAGGCCCTTGATGTCCTGACATGACTTGTTGTCATTCCTTTTATTTTCAAAATTATCTCTTCATTTGAATTCATATCGGAAGATTACGCAGGAAACTGACAATAATCAATTTTATCTCATTGCGCTTTGGATTTTTGAGTATGGTATCCTTCTTCTGAAACTTCCTTCGTTGGAAAGGGGACACTTTCTTACCGCAGAGGGCATAAGATTAAAGGTATTTTTATTCTTTTTAGAAAAGATCTTGAAAGGCAGAAACAAGATGAAGAGAGAAGAATAGAGGAAGCGAAGTACGTCAGAATCGAAGTAGATTTGATATAAAGTTTTATAATCGAAAAATTAATTTGAGTTTATTGCACATAGACAAGCACAATAAAAAAATTCTGGGTTTGTTTTGTCAGCCATCATTAACTTTGTCTTCGGACAGCGAGGAATAATGTTTTTGGATCGACAAAGCAGATCTCCTTGCAAGTAAAAAGAAAAGTATTTTATAGTATTTTTTATGGAATTGGTGATCTTTTCTTTAATAAAATAAGAAACTTGAATATATACATGTTTCTCAAAAGTTAACCTCAAATACAGCAGTTAAGAAAAAACTTGTACTCAGTCACAATATCTCACAGCTATGCAAGCAGATACGTTAGGTTTCAGCACTGTAATCTGCATATCCTTTTCTGTCTGTCACGAGCAAGGCTGGCTGGCCTGCTTTTTTCTACTATTCAATATGCAGATTTCCATTTTTCTAACTGTAGGAATGAATTCACCCGTCAGATACGAGATGAGTCAAGGAGACTTGAAGAGACAAGGTAACACTGAACCAGTTTTTTTCTTAGCGTGATCTCGTTCAAAATCCAACTTTGTCAATGTTTCAAGATGTTTTTCAAGAAAAGCTGGGCTGATTTATATAAAGCTAATAAATGTTTTTGTCATGTTTTTGACAACAAAATATAATGATTTTGTTGTCTAGTATCATTTCAGAGGTTCCGCTCATTTTAGAAGCATCCTCTGCCCTACACCTCACTAGATCTGATATAATGATAATAAAAATGATGACAATGTTTATACAGGAAGCTCTCATCACCGAAGTGTTTTTCAGAAAGGTCCTGTTAAAATTAAATGGGTAATACTACATAAATTTAAAATAAAAATACCATTTTGAAGTTAAAAGAAGTTGTTAATATTCACAATAATCAGGGAAATTGTCCCAATTATATTATTGTGTGTTATTAAAAATTTACAATAATTTGTGAAATAGAGATAGAAAAAATTGAAAATTATCTCATAAAAGTCTTTTAAAAGCATAAATTAACGTATTTATCTGCATAACTAATGCGCTACACTCTCAATACAGTATTAGTATACTGTCTCAATGGGGTATGTTAATGGACTCAAACATGCAATCCTTTGCTATAGAATCGATGCAGCACCAGCACCTGGTTGTTATTTGATAGCACTAGATTGAAGAATTGTAGCACTAGATTGACTTTGAATATTTAAGAAGTTATTCTTGCTTTTCTTATGTGTTTGAACAATGCTGTTTTTGAATTTTCTAGGAGAGAGTTACAACGACAACAGAGAGCACGGTACAAAGACTCACAGACAGCCGAGGAAATAAGGTTTGCCTCGAAATTTTTTCAAGGGCCTGTTGTTAATTCTCCAGCTTCATCAGCAGTCTTCTTCTGCTTGTTAATTCCTCAGCAGTTATTTTCAGGTTACTTTGAATTTAACATTTATACTTACAGGGAAATGATTACTGCATGTTCCTGTTTTATATTCATTATCAAATTTCCTAGATTTGTAGCTCGCTAAATTTGTCATTGGATATTTGCTGTGGAATAATTACGTTATGTTCGCCCATTTTATGTTTTTATGGAACTCTTCAAGAATCAGCTGCATTTTGATGTTATTTCTTATCATCTTCTTTGCATATCTCCATTGCCTGAAACCTTGGGCAGACAGTATTTAGATTTTTTACCCTCTCTATTCCTCTCTAATTCAATTTTGGTATGTCTGATGTTGAATTGCGTACAACTAAACTTTTCATAAGAGAAGAAGGGCCGAGTTTTCAGTTTATTTGCATGCTACCTTGTAATACGCGTTAGTCGTAACACCTTTGTCTTGTTTGTAGCTTCATCATAAGCGCAATACATCGCTACTGTTTTAATGAATGAAGTTAAAAAAATATTGAAATACTTTTTAAAAGGATTGTTCCTGGCCCTTCGTTGATGTTAAAAATATAATTGATTTAAATTGCTACTTTTTGAAGACTTCTAATGTGCTATTTACGGTTGATGTGTGCTGTTACTCATTTCCGCCTATGTTTCAGACAAATGATAGCCGAGCTGGAGGAAAGGTATCACGAATCAGAAACAAGAAGAGTGCAAAAGGAAGATCAGCTCAAAGAAGAAGTTAGCGCGAAAGAACATTTGATTAAAGAACAAGAACAGAAGCTGAAGACATTGCAGACAGTTTATACGGAGTCAAAAGACAGTTCTGACTTGCAGATCAAGGGAATGGTGGAGCATTTTTTAGATATGAGAACAGCAGAAACAGCAAGAATGAAAGTGAAGATGAAAGAAGTCATACAACAGGAGTCTAAAGACCTCTCGAGCAGGGATATTGCAGAGAAGAAGATAGAAATGAAAAAATTGTGGATTTCAGAATCTGAGAAAGTATTGGGTCAAGAGAAAGTTGTTTCTGATCTACAAAATAAGTTGCATGAGATGATTGATAAGTTTGAAGATGAAAGTAGTATAAGTGACGAGGATAAGATCGAGTTTGAATATCAAAAGAGACAAACGGAAGAAAAACTGGCCGCAGCCCATGAAGCTGTGGAAGAGCTAAAGGCAGACAGGGAGCGTGCTTTAAGTGTATACAAAAATGATTATAGAAATAGATTTGACTTGCTGTGCTGGGAGAGAGAAAAAGAAGAGGAGAAAGTAGAAGCAAAAAAATTATACCTTCGCCAACAGATAAATCGTCAGATGCAGGCATTAGAAACTACTGTTGACAGCTTGCAAAGTAGTAAGGAGGCGTATGATAAACTAGTAGAAGTTGAGGAGCAATACTTAAAAGATAATAAAGTAGCAATGGAAACGCGCCGGCAAGTACTCAAGGATAAATGCGAGACAATGCAGAAAGGATTGGATGAGGAGATACGGAATTTCCAGGAACACGACAAGCTTTCGAAGCAGGAAATAGAAAGTGGAAGATCAACAATTGAAGAACTGAAATTGGATTTAGGAAGATTTGTGATTGATTTGAAACATAGTGGTATTGAAAATGATTCTGCGAAAGCTCAGATTGATGCAAAGGAAAGCGAAATTGCAGATATGGAATCGAATCTAAAGGATTTAGAGAAAAAACGTACATCAGAAAGATTGGAAAATGAAGAAAAGGTGCAAGACAAACTTCACGTGATGAATATGGTAAATGTTGAATATGAGGATGAGGTAAAGAACTCAAATAGGAGTTATACTGACATGGAACAAATTTCGCGAGAGAAGATACTGCTCCAGCAGGAGAATGTAGACGATGCAGAAAAACAACTGCTACAATGTAGAAATAACTTAGATCGAAATGAAGAAAGATTACAAGAATTACAAAAATTGGAAGAAGGTATGATAGCAAAAGCAGATAATGAACTTTTATTTATTGCATACTTGTTAGAAAAAGACTTAGAAGAAAAGGGTAAAATGGATGAATTTGAAGTAATACATAAGTGTAAGGAAAATGTAGAGAATATAGCTACTGAATACAAACAAGAAGTTTCGAAATTACAAAAACAGGCAGAAGATCAGCTGAAGCCAATGGTTTTACAGAGAGAAAAGGCACAGGTTGTTTTGGAAGATCTGGTCAGGTCAAGGGGAATAAGTGAAGTTGCTTTGAACGAAGTCAAAGAACAGTTTCAGAAGGAGCGCGCTGAGGAAATTTCAAATATCGAAAAGCTTAAGGAAAAGTTAGCTGATCTTGAGGAAGAGACCAGCCTCTCATTGAGTTTAGGTAGAGATGAGATTTCTTACGCTGGCCATTCCGATGTTCTAAATGTGAATCGAATTTTGGAAAAAGAGCGACAAAGGTAGGATTTTGTATAGTCAATGGAACCTAATAAGTGAAATGTTTAAGCATCTAGTGTTTTTCTTAGAGCCAGTAGACAAATTGAAATTGTGTCCTATAGAGTAGTAAAGTGATGGCATCATAAAGATCTGTTTTTTTAATTCTGAGTACATGAGCAGAAAGAACACTATAAAACATGATTGTTACCATTTCATACTTGCAGTCATAACCATATCTGCCCAGAGAGTTCGCTTGTTGAGTGAAAAGCCATTTGCCACACTCTGCCCCAGACAGAATGGGTTAGTATGTTCTCCGTGAGCTTGTCTCGGGAATCAGTAATCAGGACCAATGTAGAAGTTGTTCCATACAAAACCCTAATGTTTGTAAGTGACAGATAAGGCGGTGGTAGGTTACAACTAAGGCGACTTCTTTTCATTTGGAACTGTCCTATAGTAGAGAGAGCACCCTTGAAATTGTTACTTCTTCAGATTGGTAAGTAAAACAAGATTATGTTATTAGCGAAATTTCAGGTTTGATTTTATGATGGCTCGTCTTGAAGACTAAGAATACCTAAAAAGATCATTTTATACCTGTATGAAAATCTCAGAATCAGGTAAAATGCGAAACAACAAATAGAAAAAGGTCCAACGCGAGAAAATTTTTTTGATGTAACACAAATATGCATGTAGGCTAAAAAGATCGATGGAGTAATATTTTTGCCCAGCAAACAGGATTTCCTCACTATGTTCTTGGCTTTATGTTATTCCTACTGTCCATTTTTATACAATTTCCACATAGCAGAATTCTGATACCTGATGAATGACCTACATCAGTAAAGTCTAGATAACTCAACCCTCCATAAGATAGATAGCGAATTTTCAAGTTATTTGAGGTTTTAACGAATTGAAAAGAAATGCCAAAATATTACCCGTTTATGAAAGTTCATGTTAATGGTAAGTTCGAGTTATCAGATGGTATTTTCTTCACAGCACGTCTTTTTTGTGAGTTATTTCCCAGTGGGATAGGCGGCTCTTACAGGAAATAGCCTACGTGCGGAGGCAGCGATTTCATTACAGAAGCACACCTTTATTGCAGAAGTGACCATTTCTATATTAAAATTGTGAAATTTTCTTTTAGCGGAAAATATCCCACCGCGACAAGCATTTTTTTCTCTCGAATTTTCACGTATACCTACTGAGAATTCCTGAACAAAATCAGTTTCCTGTTGAATAAAAACATCTAGCAGGATCAACGCTAAGCGACAAAAAGAACATACTACAAGAAGAAATGTTGTTGTAACACGAATATGCATGAAGATAAAATCATTAATGATTTAAAGTTCTTCCATGACAAACGGAAGCTGTGATAAAATTGTGAGATTTTCTTTTAGCGGAAAACATTTCATCCGCCAACAACAAGTTATTCTTTTTTAGGAAGTTAAAGCATATGCAATTATCATAGTTATTATTTTATAATTATTTTATTGTAAGTAATAATCAAGTTTCTGCTTGACTTTATATGATCATATTTTCCATTCACTCAGTGTACGAACGATATGCATATTCATATTTCATAGATTGTGTGGTTTCGCAATTTTTATATTGTTAAAGCTCCAAGTCTTGCCAGATGGAAGTATTCGATTTAAGAACAAAATTATGTGTTTTCCAAGTTCCTTTAAAAGGAAAATATTATAAAAGGTACTTAGCACGATAAAGGTGATACCCCCTTCGTATCCCTTGATGCTTTGCAGGTAATTACTCAGATCCTAGCCCAAGAGATTGACCCAAACTTTCAGATTAAATGACGTAATAATCAAAATAACCCATTCCCTTAACCTATTGCTTAGAAGTTTCGGTTCTCCTTTCTTTCACATCCAGATTTACAAACGCAATGTTGACTTCTTCAAGTTGTAGGTTTACAAAAAATTTTTGATTATATTCGACAAGATTTAGTCAGTCAGAACACGATGTTTCTTGAACTGTATACACATCTACCTTGTTTTGCAGACTTAGCGATGAAATGGAACTGAAACTGAAGGACGCTGAGTCAAAATGGGCCTCAGAATTCGATTCACTGAAGATGGCTGAGTCGGAAGCATTAGCTGCACTAGAGCAGCAAAAAGAAGCTCTTGTAAAGGAGCTAGAGAGTGTAAGTGCTGAAACGGTAATTGTTTTTATTAACGTTTGGATACCTGATACGTAGCTACAATACCTACCACAAGTCTTCCTTTTCAAGAGCAAATTCAGCCATCTCCCACACCCCCTGGGGACAATATTTGTTTTCTAGTAAACGGCGTTGTAGATTAGATATTTTTCCATTTTATCAAATATACTCTGAGGGTGAGGGCGGAAGTGTTAATACTTGGAAGCAGTATATAATTTATACAATTCTAGTTGCTTGGTGTTCCAGGTAATGTTGGCAGACGTTATATTAAACAATTCACTCGACTTTTCAACTTATTTTATTTCATCTTTCTCCATATATAGTTTTGAAATTTTTCTAAGAACTATAAGATTAGCTGAAGAGTCATAATTTTGTATAATTGGAACATATCTGGCCATTGATACATATTTGTCTTACTTTTTGTTGCCAACCTATTCAGGAGAGGCAGAAGTACCAGCAAGAGAAGCTAGAAAGGGAATCAAATGAATTGGATCGAATACGAGAGCTGGAGACAATTATTGTTGAAAAAGAAGACCTTGTCGATAAAGTGAAACAGAGAGCTCAACAGGAAATCACCGAACTGAACGAACTACTGGATGAAAATAAAAGGTTTGCCGGACTTATAGATTTTTACGACGCATTTAGCTTCTTTACCTCCATGCCATATCGTTGTGATTTTCAGATATCCGGGACTGTGTAGCTCCCGTTCATATTTTTGCGGACTGTTAGTCATATTTTTGCAGATTTTGGAGTAATTTAGAGATTTGTTAGAGAGTACGTCCTCTAAAGAATAAAGAGACAGGTCCCGTTAGAAGACACAATCGAGGAGTGATATGATTGAGAATTGTGCATGGTCCTAAATGGTTATGAATGAGTGCCCTAAATAGTTACTGAGTGGACTCTATCAACGTTTTGTAAGACCTGCTTTGTTCTATACACAAAATCGTGTATAGTCCTTCCTTCACGGCATCGAGCATTTTATGACGAACAGGAACAATGTTCATCACGAGGTCTATAGTAATGCAGTGGTATATAGACAGCATATTTTAGATTCAGGGACTCAGTTTCACAAACAAATATCCCATCGCCTTGTGTTCGTACGTCGAATGCACTTTTACGTAAATGGCCAAAAAGCTGAACGTTTTCCGTTGCTTTTTCATAAAGCGTAATTTTTTTAAGACATGTATATGCGATTGGTCTGCACAAGAATTGTCTTATCTAGCCACACAATACCCATACAATGGCCACAAAATCTACATTTAAAATTGAAAATTTTTTAGAAAGTTGTGTCTCTTAAAGAGTTGTCAGGTATGATTGGCTCTTGGAGACGAAGACTTATGGCAAAGATTGTAGCTACGTTTGAATGTCAGAGGCTGTTTTACCCTGTTGTTTGTAGATTTATAAACACATTTATATTTTTGTTTTTATTCAAATGTATTACTTATTTTTGTTCATGTTTTGATACAGTAGCTTAGAGTAGTACGGACGAAGTTAGTTAGATTTCTCAGAATATTAAGCGTTTTGACTTGACAGGTATTTTTCGTCTAATTTTTGTAGGTAGTCGTTTGTCTTTTGAATTACATCCATAGTTTATTAGTAAATTAGAGTTCTTACGCTTGTAGTCATCTAGCGACGTGAGATTTTGCTATGGTAAGTATAACTTCATATATAGTATATATAATACTCATTCAGTTGCATTATACAAAGTTCTGTTTTGATCTTAATGGCTATCGAAAATATGTTTTGGCATTTTATATCAGTGGGTTTTGTGTATTTAGTATAATTTCGAAGTTGAGATAGTTTGTTTGTTTTATTTGTGCAGCAATTCTGTGGTTTGTTTGCTTTGAATCTGGTTTCGATAGATTGTAGGACGTTTCGTTAAAATGGATTGCAATTTTTCCTTTAGTCTATAATTTTATGAAATTTTGTCTTGATTTATTTTTTCAAAAAATCTATTGCCGTCGAAAATTCATGGCAGTTCTCTAGTTTTATTTTACACCTGCAGTGTATAATTACCTGAAGTCTGTTTAAAGTTCTTAATATGCTCTCACGTCAAAGGAAATGAGAAAAACGGTCACTGTGAAACTTCCCCTCGACTTTTCCGTTATCTTGCTTTCCGGGATCTATCTGCATTGAAAAAATATATGCACACGGGTGATATTATGAGTTTGCTGAAAAAATAAACCAATTTTCTGTCTATACAATTGCTAAGAACTGGATTAAGGCTGTGGATTTGTAATTTTCGAAAAGTTAAATCGCTGAAAACATGAATTCACAGAAATATCCGCTTTTAAGCTGCCTAGTGAATGTTCCTGCTTTAATTTTTTAATATCTACTGTAACTGAGGAATGCAGCGAGTTTGAGGTTTGGTTTCCTCAAGGACATTACTGATGCAAGCCTTCCATAAAACATGAAATAAGTATTGCTTATTTCTAGACATGTATGGGAACACCGAACATCGAAACACTTGAACGATCTTTAAGATTAGTAATCCCTAATAGCCAGGTATTAATCACTTTAGCAAACCCAGGAATAGCCTATCTCAAGTCGATAATCAGCTATAGTTAGCTTGTAATCATTTATAGCAAGCTAGTAATCGTCCATAACCAGTCAGTAATCAGCCACTACCGACTTGTAATCATCTGAACCAAGCTAGTAATCACCCATAACTAGTCAGTAATCAGCCACTACCGACTTGTAATCATCTGAACCAAGCTAGTAATCGTCCATAACCAGTCAGTAATCAGCCACTACCGACTTGTAATCATCTGAACCAAGCTAGTAATCGTCCATAACCAGTCAGTAATCAGCCACTACCGACTTGTAATCATCTGAACCAAGCTAGTAATCGTCCATAACCAGTCAGTAATCAGCCACTACCGACTTGTAATCATCTGAACCAAGCTAGTAATCACCCATGACTAGTCAGTAATCAGCCACTACCGACTTGGGATAATCTGAATCAAGCCTAGTAATCAACCATAACCAGTCAGTAATCAGCCACTACCGACTTGTAATCATCTGAACCAAGCTAGTAATCACCCATAACCAGTCAGTAATCAGCCACTACCGACTTGTAATCATCTGAACCAAGCTAGTAATCACCCATAACCAGTCAGTAATCAGCCACTACCGACTTGTAATCATCTGAACCAAGCTAGTAATCACCCATAACCAGTCAGTAATCAGCCATTACCGACTTGTAATCATCTTACCCAAGCTAGTAATCGTCCATAACCAGTCAGTAATCAGCCTCTACCGACTTGGGATAATCTGAACCAAGCTAGTAATCAACCATAACCAATCATTAATCAGCCGTTACTGACTTGCATTCGTCTGAACCAAGCTAGTAATCGCCCATAACCAGTCAGTTATCATGATAATCTTTCATCAGAAAGTTGCAACTAGTTATCATCTGAAGCTATCTAGAAATCACCTATGTCAAGTATGTATTTTGCTGAGCCAAATTTAAAAAAAAATTATTAAATTAACAATTGATGACTTCTTTTCGGTGAGTCATCTAATCGACCGGAAAGTATTCCTTTTTTCCATCAAAAACGGTTTTTACTCAGCCAAATTATGAAATAGCTAGTTTCAGAGAACCTGTTGGTATATAATGTTTATATTTGATCAGGTCAGTTAACTCTCGGGTAGAAGGATATTATGAAAGCTCGTGTAGAATTGAGGTGGATGAAAGTATTTCAGTGTTGATAAAGTTGAATGGAAGTTAAAGTCGAAGTTGTAAATCATGAATTTGATGAAGCCTTAATTTGAACACAAGTTTATCTATTTGACAGATAGTAAACGCAAAGTTCTCTGTTATACGCCGTAAAGGAATACAACAGCGATTGCTAAAAGTTTATTTTCTATCTAGGCCAATCCATTTTAATAAACTCATAGCACTGCTTAACTTAGCATAAACCTCTTAGCTGATTGTTTTTGTTTCAGGCAAATATACATGCTGCAAGAGAAGCTTGACAGATATGCATCAATGAATGTAAGTTGAGCCAATTAATCAAGTTGCAATTTTGATCTTAATAGTATTGTGTCACTAAGATATGGTCCTGTGAGATCTACCAAGAGTTTTTCAAGACCTGTCACGCAGGTCGAAAAGCGGTGTGTGAAAAAACTGTTCAATGCGAAAGAATTGCTTTACACCCTTTTTTCTTGAGTAAAGTTTCTGGTTTACAGTCAACAGCTGACAATTCATGCTTTCAAAAGAAGCAAAATTTGTGAAATACCGGAAGTTTACCGGAAAAGGAATGATAGTGTAAGAGAAGAATTTTGATCGAATTATAGAATTTTGAATAATAAAGTAGCTGAATCAATGGGCTTACACTGTTTTAAATATAGATTTCTTCTATTCCGATTTCCTGAATAACCTGTTTAGTGCTGATTAGGGTGCACAAAAATTTGGACCTTGAATGCCTCGTAGATCCTGCAAATTAGGTATATAGTATTATATCAGTCATTGATTAGATTGATTCGTATTTTTGAGTGGTCCTTATTTCTGACTGTTTTCTGCAGAGCCTGGCACTTGCAAGCCACAATTACGAGGATCATCTTTCTGACAGTGAAGTTGCTGACCTGCTATCTAGAGTTAGAAATTCAGTAGTAAGTAGTTTGGAATGTGAATGTAATGCTTCTTACCTAGTGCATCAAGACACGAAAGCACGAAAGTAACGAATCATTATGTTTTGTTGGAAGTCTCACGTGTTTGTTTGTTTGTTTGTTTGTTTGTTTGTTTGTTTGTTTGTCTTTTTGTTAGTTTCTTTGTTTGTTTCTTTGTTTGTTTGTTTATTTATTTATTTGTACACTTTCTTGGACACTGTTTTATGTTCTAATTCGGTATATATTTTATGCTCCTGTTATGATCTTTGCCTATTTTTACTGCAAACCTTTCATTGTATTGTTCATCTGTTTCCAATATAATCCCCGTCATAGCAATTATTTGAGATTTTCTCTTCGTAGGTTTGCCTATTTTAGATTCTAATATGAGATATCATCTCGTTTTATAATTGAATACTAAGTATATATTTTATAGTTTGCTTATCTCTTAGATTCGTTTCAGCAATGATATTTCTCTGTTTTTCTTTTCTGAAGAGCTATATTGATGAGGATGATGATGAAAGTCAAATTGGTTCGCATCAGATATCTCCACCTCCAACTCCAATAAATCGCTTTCTTGAATCAGTCAACATATATAAAAGAAATCAAATCAGAGTCTCGGTGCCAAGGTTTATTCTTCGTGGCCTCGGTCGCAATGCTTACCACGTATTTGAGGTTAAGGTATGTTGATTACAGTAAAAGGTTATTTAGGATTTTGGAAACGTTCTTAGGATTTCTAACCTGCAAAAGATATCGCTACAAGTTTTATTACTGTAAGACAAAGAGTTGAACACCAATGGCCTAAAACTGCAATTTTTTCAACTATATATTTTTCACAGAGGCTTTCTACCGTTAACGACCTCGTTGACTTTTTGCTTTCGTTTCGCTTGAAAATAATAGCATTAAAAACTATAGTTTTCTTGCCAAAAAATATAAAGAATGAAAATAGCATTAAAAACTATAGTTTTCTTGCCAAAGTCTAGATTTCAATTTAAACAATCACCATTTTTTAGAAATAATCAACTAATGATGGTGTCTCTTTTCACTTGATGAAATCTGTCTTCTGCTATTGCAATACCAAATGCTAAGAGTGTAATATTACTTTTCGATATTTTATAGTCACTCTCATTATTTATCGTGAGATGACCTAGCTTAACATGATTTTTCTGCTCGAGTTTGAGCGACTGTTGTTAGTAAAGCTGTTTTTCTCGCTTCAATTATTAATCTATCTGCACTTGTTTCTCATTACTGAATATGACTTGTATGTTGAGTGGTTTAGACCGAGCTTCTTGTACGTTGGTTGGCTCAGACTGATCTCCTTGTACGGTGATGGTTTGAGCCGAGCTGCTTTTCGTTGATTGGTTTAAACCAACATTATTTGATGTCGATAAGTTTAGGCCAAGCTATATATACGTTGATTGGCTCAGCTCGAGCTACTTGTACGGTTGTTGTTGTTGTTGTTATTGTTGTTGTTGTTGTTGGTTTAGGCCGAGCTCTACTTGTACTTTGATTAATGCAGATCGAGCTATTAAATTATTTGAACTAGACGTACTACATTGTTTCTAAATAGATCCAGTCACCTATTTCTATCTTTCCTGTAGAATGCCTTGTCGTAAAACTTTATCTGCATTTTAACACAAAGCAACTTAACTACTGAGATACGATTAATCCTATTGGAATAATTATTTACCATCTTAGCTGTCTGTTGGTGATGACACGTGGTCAGTCTTTAGGAGATATAGAAAATTTCGACAGCTGCATCAAGAACTCAGAATAGAATACCCAGTTGTGAGTATTCCCTAGTTCTTTTTTTGCTGCTTAGCAGTAATTCGTCTTGTCACTTTCCAGTAACATTGAGAGCTTGCCTGTCCCTTCCTAAAGCCCGTTCGCTTTGTTTCATAAAGCCCATTCTCTCAAACTGTCCATCTTTTGCTAAGTTTCATCTTAGTCATTTGATAAAATTGTTTTTAACAAATTCTTATTTATTTTTGTCTTAAAAAAGAGTAATCTGTGGCTCTTAAATTGCAGAGCTTTTTCTTGAAACATCTGGTGCAAATTGCCGTTGTTTTGTTATTTCCTGCCTAGCTTCGTGGATGTCGTGCTTTTCATTAATTTAAGATTTTGAGAAAAAATATGATTTCTTTGCTCGCCAACATTCTTGTTAACTCCATTTAAACTAAAAGGCAAAGAATTTCCTAACGTGTTTTCAAGACACTATTTATGCCAGTCTTATTCAATTTCAGGTGGGGAACCTTGAATTTCCTTCGAAGAGGTTTTTTGGCAACAGAGCGGAGAGTTTTGTCCGTTTACGACGAGCCCAGTTGGAGGTATGTCATTCTGACGATATATCTTTAACTTTCAGAAAATAACACCTTCAAGGTGGTGTGGTACTGCCCCCCCCCCCCCGGTTCGCTTAAGAGGATGACAGGTTCGCTTAATGAATGAAATCATTGTATCAACCTTCTCAGAGAGGAATCTCACGGAAAAGGAATAGGAAGCAAAACTTTAGCGAAAGTTTTGGCAAAAACTGTAGCAAAAACTTTGAAAATTGATAAATCAAATCAAAGAACCTTCAGCGTTAGAATTGAATGGAAACCAGGTTTTACTACCTTTAGCTTCAAATTTTTTAACTGCTGGTTGTACCTAAAATTGTGTGATTTAATTTTTGGTTTCGCCCTGCAGGCATATCTCAAAGCTCTTTTTGCAATACTGTCCAACATAGCAACCTGTCCTGTATCACTCATAACAGAGCAACCGCTGACCAAGCAGGATGTCGGAAGATTTCATCAGTTTTTCAAGCAAGGTGTCTTTGAAATTACGAAGGGTTCTAGAGCAGACCAAAACTCGTTGATATGAGTTTGCTAAGTCTTCAGTTTCTATTCTGAAGGAGATCAGTAGAACCTCCTAAAGAGATGCTGCCATGCTTGATAGCTGGATAGGAGGCTGGCACAAGTTAAAACTGTTTTTTACCTTAACATTGTCTAGTTGATAGCGTTTAGTAAATAAAAGAGTTTGGTGGGTGTTCGTTTGGAAAGTAGGCCCTTGTTGTTTGGAACTTCGTGATCGAATTAAACTAGCTCGTTGACAACTGTTTGGAATCAGACATAAATATAAGGTAAGCTTCTAATGGTATTCTTATTCGCATTTTCAAATCTATTGTTTATACGGAGCAAAAGAAGCATTGGTCTGCGATCCTGATCCTCTTTTTGTTATATTTACTGAGCTGGAAGAGTGTCCGATAGGTTCATGCGTATTCCTTTATTCCATATACTAAGTATATCGAGAAAAAGCCTCCCGTGGCTTTATTGAATTTGACGTTAAACTAGTGTATAAAGTCATCTGCCGTGGAGTATAAAGTTTTTTTACTGTTGTCAAGATGATATTGGATGCTTTCTTTCTTTTAAACGGGCATTTAAAGGCTCCCGCGTAATCCAAATCCAGGTAGGAAACGGGATCGATTTTTGTGGGATACGGATGGCAATCAGGTAGTTGCACAACACAATTTTCAGGATTGTGATCCAAATCCACATAGAAAACAGGATCGATTTTTGTGGGATATGGACCGCAACCGGGTGGTTGCACAACAAAATTTGCAGGATTGCGATCCAAATCCAGGTAGGAAACAGGGTCGATTTTTGTGGGATATGGATCGCAACCGGGTGGTTGCACAACACAATTTTCAGGATTGCGATCCAAATCCAGGTAGGAAACAGGATCGATTTTTGTGGGATAGGGATTGCAATCGGGTGTTAAAACTTCACAATTTTCAGGTGTTAACACTACCCAATCCACGTCTGAAATGGGATCTAATGTTGTAAGATACGCGATTGGGTGTTGACAAAACAAAACTTTTCGGATTTTGATTCCAATCCACCGCTAAAACGGAATGGAATTTCGTGGGATGCGGATCTTGATCGGCTTTTTACAAAACCAGTTTTAAGGATTGCGATCCAAATTCCGATCCCGTTACTTTTGCTCCGTGTAAATGGAATATATCTTTCGTATCTTATCTACCCCATAATTTTGTCTGAGTGACTTTTATAACTAATTGTGGGTATATGCATGACATCATAACCCTAACATTTACACTTACAACACATCGCCAAGACAATAAGAATCACGTGGTTGATAAAAAGTTTGACAACATTTAGATTCATATCAGTATGTAAATCATATTTATTTCATTTAGATTGATAGAATTTTTAACTTTGGTAATCCTTAAGAATGGTATGATTTTACAGCGATTGAATTTTTCTGAAATGAAAGGATTCAAGCTATTGTTCTTTAACTAAAGTGCCAACATCATAATAGTGCGGCTTTCAAGGGTCTGGAAGTTTCTTCGAGAGAAATTCAATCGCTGATTAACGTATGTATTAGGAGTTATTTATTCAATATTGGGTGAGTGCTCAAATGACGATACGAACGCTCCAGTGACATTCTTCTCTTGCTTATAAATTGAATATTGCGGAACAGGGTGATTATATCCGCGAAGGGAGATGCTATGCATCCGAAAAATGTTTTCAGATTTGTCAACGATAAAATATATTGAATTTAACATATCAGTTATATGAAGTTAACAATCTGAGCTGTCTTGTCCTATTACTGACCCCCTTGTCCTATTACTGACCCCCTTGTCCTATTACTGACCCCCTTGTCCTATTACTGACCCCCTTGTTCTATTACTGGCCCCCTTTCTGCTTTATAGCATTCCTTATTCCGATTCAAGGGAGTTTTAATTTTTTACATTATTCAAGCCTCAATTTTCATTAAGCGAATTGTTTTTGGAATTTTTGCATAACAAACCTATTGCAATTTTGACGAGAAAATTGTACCTGGAGCTGTGCAGTATAATTTTAAATGTAGAGTAAATGTGAAGGCGGGTGCTATGTGTCTGGCAATGTGACTTGTATCTACCGTTATTGTGTTTTCTGATATAGAAACAAATGTTTATGGTAGTATTAATTGTTTTGGTCAGTTTGTGTGTCTGTCCTTTTTCATGTCACTGCAATGCGATTTCTACCCAAAAGGGTCAACAAATAGAACATAATTTGAAATATACCATATGAGCATTACGGAGATTTGCACTTCGGGTTTGCTATAGAGGTTCGGGTTCGGATTTGCTATATGACGTCACAAAAATCTAGTTATATTTTTTATCTGGATCTCATAACCTGATTGCCTTCATGATATAAGTCTAAATGTACAGAAACAGTTGAATATGTTTCGAATTGGCTGAGATATGACCACATAGGCACAGGCTCTTTCCATTGGCGTCGCTTGACCTTCCAGGCTAGGGGGGGGGGGAATGGAGGGTCATCAAAAGAAAAATTTGTGGACGAAGACATAGATTGAGAGGAATTTAACTGCTATTTCACCTACAAATGATTTTACCGATAAACTAAGGATTTTGTAGACAGACTGAAGATTTACCGACGGATTCATGAAGCATTTGTTGCATCCTTCTGCACCCCTTGCTAGCTACGCCCCTGGCACTTTCCCAAGAAGCCTATGTAGTATGGTCGCCGTTCATGATAGAACAGAGCCAAGAACACTAATCCGTTAGCGAAGTTCAAATCTTTTCTCTGTCATCACATCCTATTCTTGACACTTAACTGATTTTGCATATTCAGAAGTATTTCATGGTGCTGTTTTATATTATACGGTTAAAATTCAAAAGTTCTAAAAACATTTTTCGTGACGTCACACTTTAGAACTCTATTCAGAGTAGCAGATTTCTGGTTCGCACGCACTGTAGATGGATGCTTGTCTGAATTCATTTACCCTGGCATGTTGAATTTTTCATATGAAAAACGTCGCTGTTTTTTCGGTTGTTCTAATGACCCATCTTGATTTGGAAGTCCGCTTGCCCGTATGAGCAGATTAAAATCTTCAAAAAGAGAGTAAGGGTGTTTCTTTATTGTAAGAATCTGAGCTCGAGATAAATTATTCAGTTTTGAGGATCTGTTTTTATTTTTAGTGCAAACACTTCTTTTAAAGTTTCTTGAATTCCTATTTCATAAAAACTAATTTTCAGGAAAACTAAAACTTAGGGTTACGATAAACGTTTTCGGATGGAAACATCCACTTTTCGATTTTTTCACATTTAAGTAGCCGAACTTTCAGGGCGGAAATCCTGGTTCCGTTCTTCTTTGGGCACGATATCACTTTTTTCATCGCGTTTACACCGAAGCAAAAAAGAAACAGAACTAAATTTGACCCCGTTTACACTTAAGTAAAAGGAACAGAACTGTTTAATGTGAAGCATGCGCAGTGGCGCGGGAATGACGCCCAACATTTGCAGAAAGCCTCGCCCCAACCCTAGATTAAGCCCCGTTTTTAATCGTATCCAAAAAGTTCCGTTCCTGACCGTTCCGTTCCTGACTAGAAAAGACAAGCCCGATTCGGGAACGGAACCAAAGAGTTTCACAATCCAGCGAAACCAAAGAAGAACGGAACCGTTCCCAAACTAGAACGGGACCAAGATGCTTAGTGTAAACGCAAGGCCTATCGTCGCTTTTTCAGGCACCGAACCAAAGAGTTCCGTTCTTTTTTCTGTAGTGTAAACGGTATCTTAAACAGGCTTATTGATCTTAAAGCTGACTTGACTCAGATTGCACTGTCATTTCACGAGTGTACCTTGCAGTACCCAGTCTGGTAACCAGGGTAACCTTGCAGGTGCGATCAGTGAAATCCCGTTTTCTCCGGAATTACAATTCCTCTATATACAGGTACGAAAATGCTATTTCGTACCGAAGGAACTAATCGAATGGCTCAAAACTTTGCACACGACTAGGAAAGATGTCGGGTAGGCAAAGCTTGTCTCAAAATTTTTGTATTTGCTCTGGTCCGTCTTTTATAGCCAAATACATCTATGAAAGGGAAGAAAAACTGTTTGCCAATTTTTGACAGGGTATAGTTTCAAGAGGAGGAAGAATTTGAAAAATCTGAGCCAAGTATCTGCGCTTTCTGCTGATATATGTAAACTTTTGTTACCTCAAAAGCAAGGGTACAAAATAGCTTTTGAAGAAGGTACATTAATTTTAGCAATACATTTGGCTGGAAAGTATCATTTTACAATCTTTGCCAATATTTTGATATGGTTGGAATTGCCATATTCTTGTGCATCAAATGACGTATAGTTTAATCTGATTCCGTTAATAGTTTAGCTTTTAGGGAGAGAAAACCGAATATCGTGTCAAAAACGTTTACCATTACCTTAATATAAGATGAACATAAAATGAGATATTAATGCACAAAGTACTTATTTACAAACCATTATGCTGCCACACTGTGGTTTGATAATTGCTACTTAATATTCTGCATTTAAACCCTGTAAACTAAACATAGCCCTCTCCCTTAAAACAAGCCGCTTGCCTTGATCTGCTTCATCCAACGACGTCTTACATCTGGAATGAAAGGGTGAGCTGTTCCTGCGTCACTTTCTTCATATGTTTAAAACAAGTCGAGAGTGGCATTTGAAATATTTTATGCTGATCAAATGAAATTTTATCAGATTCAATTTCACGAAGGATGTTGTAGAATTTGATTTCGCTAGGGGTTCTTATTTCAGCTGATTTGTGTTATTCTCGTTTGGGTGTCAATTGTCATGCTTCAATCTGGTATTTAAGTCCCTATGTGATTCTTTGATGCCATTGGGAATAATAGACAAGAAGGACTTTTGTAGTTTGGGCTTCTGCACGAAGGTGTGGGTCCCTTGACTCAGATGGGTGTATTTATTTACTTTGCGTCGGAATTATCGTGCATACTTAGCGTGCTGTTTCCACGCTGTTCTCTTCTCACCACTGTGTTCGGCTCAGACTTGCGAAGTATGAGTACCTCTACTGGCTAAAAGGTGACTGACGAAGTATGAGTACCTCTACTGGCTAAAAGGTATGTTTACTAGGCTGTTTCAGAAATGCTCTTATGCCTATAGCTTGGTCTCCAGCGGTGAAATTTAATACTCGTGTGTATTTGAGCAGTCTCACTTCTTCCAACATAAATTTTGTCGCCTCGTTATCGCTTCAAAAACTGGGCTCATTACATCCATGGTCACTTAAGCTTTTTTGTTATTGCAGCTCGACTGTTCGCCTGTTTTCCATCGATATGTGACAACTTTCTTTTTTTCGTCTTTTCTCATACGGGTCACCAATGTGAATTTTTGGCCTTCTTGTTATTCTTTGGGATTTGAGAATCCTGCATTTTTATCTTATCTTATTAGGGATCTTTAGCTCTTTTGGGTCTTAGATTAAGAGCAGTCATCTTTTTATTCAAATTTTTAGAGAATAATGCTCTTTTAAACCTGCTTCATGATGTCCGACCTGGAAAAATAAGCAAAAACAGCTTTTCAGCACAAAAACGGAGCAATGTGAGCCAGGCCTAATTTTCTGGGAAGGGAGAAGTACCCAAAAAGATGAACCCAAGACAAGGATAGATCCAAATATCCACCGGATCTTTTAAGAGTAATATATAGATCATAATAAAGAAGGATTATTGAAGATAATTTGCGTTGAATTCAAAGTAAAAACATGGTTTGCTTTTGCCGTGAGTTACTAAGATCTTTTGTAAATCTCTTCGGTCGAGGAAAAGGTATGATGATTGCCAAGACTAACATTACACGATGTAATTTTTACGAGTTCCAAAAAAGGCAAGGTGGAACCTAAAGGCAATCTGTCTCGTTGTGGATTGGTTAGCAAGAACAATAGCTGGAACAATAGCCTAAACACGATTCCAGCGCTCCGCCATATTTTTTACAATGCGATAAATTAAAGGGGGACTGGAAACAATAAAAAATCTCTTTGTTCTTATAATCAATCAACGTCGAGACAGATTGTCTTTAAGAGCACACTGAATCTTTTGCTAGCAGGTAATTGACGTATGATGACAAGTTAGCCTTCAAAATGTAAAAAAGAAATGGATACATGGCAAGACTGTTTTAAATTAAACACATGAATAATTTAATATTTTAAGTTGATTAAAATAATCAATGCAAAAAACAACAACAAATTTGTAAAAATTCCGTAAGGAGTAAAATAGAGTTATTAGAATTCTATTGATTGTTTCGTTTTCTTAGATCGCTATATAGATAGATCGCTATATGCGTCTCCTGAAGAGTGAGCTACTCACGAAACAGGCTTGTAGAAATAAAACATGTGGTTTTATTCTCTCCAACTCTATGCTATATTACGCTCTACGTGCAAAAGTATTGAGCACGGTGCTACGGAACTATCAACAGACAAATTTCTAGATCGATATATACATATAATCGACTATATTGGACCGTTTCTATCAAAATCTGCCAATTTTTTAAGTTCTACTAGGAGTTGGAAAATTGGATTTGGTTTTTATGTGTTTACCTTGTCTTATTTACATTATGATTTCATTTTGCATCTATTTGTTTTAAAGCTTATAAAAAGCAAATGACAATATTGTTATAAGCCTCTAATTTAACCATGTCATCCGTATTGGGTCCCTGGGAAGGTGCACCTACGCCAATTCAGCAGGATACTCCCCTCCTGGCTACGCTTGAAGTAATTGCTTTGCTAAATACTGAAATCACCTTTGATAAATTCCGATGACAAAGGCATAAATTGTATCATCCCGTAGCGTGATTTGACCATAACGTGCTTCTTTTCGAAGCTATGCTACTTCTTCAACAACTATCCAGCATTCTTAATCTTCTAAGCAACGGCTGGACACTTGGCTAAAATAGATAATATGGAGAAAGATCTGATTTGAATGTGAATGAAAATATATATCAATATAAACTTTTTAAATTGATTTAAATTTGATCTTTTCTCAAAAAGTTTCTTTATCAATTGCTTACTGCTTCATAGAATTTCTATTTGCTGGGTAAATTATAATCAGCATTCAAGTATACAAATATACACCCAGTGGGCACAATGGCACAATATAAAGAAAAATACAAATATATACCAAATGGGCACAATGACACGATATTTGATAGATTATTGCAATTAAGGTTACAACCATAATATAATTTTGCGCAGCATATTTGACTATGGAATGCTGTGCATGGCCTTTTTACATACTCACCAAAATAAAAAAAATTATTTCTTAGAATTAAACCAAAACATTGACGCCGATACATATGCAGAGCATGAATCTACAACTAGAGCAATTTCAAGTAAGATTGCTCAAGCTTTATACGCAAAAGTCAAGCTTGTCTTGTCTATACATCTCACTTAAGACACCTACAGAGCATTAGCTGGACTTGCTACAAGCGAGAGACTTGTAGCAAGTCCAAGCATTAGCCTGCGTGCAAATTTTACTTTCCGTTGCGAAGGAGAGCCAGGACAGAACTGTTCCGTATTGGTTCTCCTTCGCAACGAAAAGTTAAGTCTGCACGCAGGCTAACAGAGCATGGGTCTACAACTAGCTGCAGAGCAATTAGAGCGTTCTTTGTACTTTGTAGATTGTTATTCAAATTCTCAGCAGGGGTGAAACTGTTGGGGGTATGGGGGCGGATGCTGCACCCCCAATCTTCAAAAGAGCAGATTTTGTCGGGAAAATTCATGGCTACCAGTATATCGTTCGGGCAAATTTGGAAATTTTGTTTAGGTCGCACACTCAATGCCACTCTTTGCTCCTGCTTGGTTTTTGAATTAATGGTCTTTTCACCTTATCTTTTTTCAATCTCCGCCCAGCTGGGAAAACAAAACAAAAACGATGCAAGCAGCAGCAACATAATTTGCTGTCTTCGTCTCGAGCTCGACGCACATGTTTATCTTCGCCTCGAGATGCGAAAGTAGAGTCTGAAGTATTGATCGACAGCGAAAGTATAGACGGAGAGAAAAGTGTGTTTGATGCAAGAAGGAAACTAGCACAGGGCATGCCCCCCACTTGTTTGCAAAACAATATGGCTTTTTTCAAAATCTTTTTTATGATTGCTAAACTTTCCCTTGACCGCCCCCACCCCTCTACTTTCCATCCTGCGTCGGAGCCCATAGAATATTGGCTATTTTTGAAGCATAATAAATCTAAGAATGAAGGATATGCCATCTCGGAATACGTTGTTGAGAAAAATCAAGCAACATTTCTTTTCAAAATGTATGAAACCCTCATCATACATTAATGAGGAGTTATGCTCCAAAATTCTCTTAAGTTTTTACACTTACGGTTCGAAAGTATTGCACCCTTTGTCAAAAAGGCCGTTCTGTTAATTAAAAATTTCTAAACAGGTGTCACAAGAAACGAAAAGTTTTAAGCTGAAAGTTTTAGCGGAAAATAATAGAACATTTATCAGGGAATTGTAATTAGGATATGAACTGCAAAAAAACTTTCGAGTTTCTTCTATTTCTGGACAATATGCATGGTTACGAAAACATGAAAATTGAGCTTTGCTGACAGGTGTACCTGTCAAATATTTGCAATAAAAAAGTTTTCCTTTGCATTAGCTTTAGAGATTTTGCTATGGTGAACTCATAGATACTTACTTTGTGCTTAGGTGTCTAAAAATGCTATCTTTTGTTGAAACATTGTAGTCTGTGTAGCTGCTTCTAAATTTAGAAGTTTCCAAGCTGTGTTTTGTTGTTCCACTGAGATGAAATTGAGACCCTACTTCAATCTCTTTTTCAAATTGCTCTCTTAATAGATGGGAGATTTAGAAACTGAAGACTATTTTTCTTTTATAGAAACGACAGGCCTTACAAATGCTTGCTTTTCGGAAACAAATGTTTTAGCCAACACCAGAGAAACTAGAGGCATGTTTTTTTGCCATTGAAAAACAGCGTCTGAAGTCTGAAGGCCTAACATTCTAAGTGACCCTCTCTCGGGGTCCCTGATGATTTCAACCCTTGAGGCGATGTGCCCTAAAAATGATGCTCAGGCATGACACGCCCTTCCATCAAGCATGACACGCCCTTTTGTCGGGCATCGAAGCCTCATACCCCCCTAATGAAAATACTGAAGTTTCGCCTCTGATTCTTGGCACTGAAAATATCTTTGTCTGTGGTGTTTGTTTGAGGAGTGTTTGTTGGAGGAAAATATTTAGGTTTCAGGTTTGGAATGTTTTACCTAGTGCTGCGGCTTTTATGTGCATAAAGGAATGAAAAGCCTTATGCCACAGAATTCTATGCTTGTACTAAACTGAGCGACCAAGATCTGGATTTGTCTTTGAGTGGATTAGCGACTAAATGCCATCAGTGCTTTTCGAAGAAGATAAAACTAATTTTCAAAAAGTTCAACAAAGTAAACAAGCTATAGACGATTTGTTTCAAGTCTCTTACTGAAACTTTTCAATCGTCTTGCGTTTGTCCTTGTCGATCATATCTGCTTAGATAATTGCACAGTAATTTCTGCACAAATCTTTTTGCTTTCAAATCAAATCAGTATCTTTTTGCTTTTGCTCAAAGATTTGAACAATATTCTTGGTTTGTAGATTTTCTTAAAAACTTTGCATCTCATACTTTGAGAACATTCTTTATCAAAAAAGTGGTAATTTCTTCCCAGTATTGTTAGCAAAAAGTACGTTATCGATAGAAATTACAAAATCAAAATTATTTGCTGAAGCACTTGATAATGCTGCTGTAGATTGCGGTAGAAATGCTCAAAGGCATTATGTCTCGTCAGCTGCAGCGCGTATATGATCGAGGACACATTGAGAATCAGCCGATTGGATACTTAACAATAAATCTATTGTGTAGTCCAGCCAATAGGAAATTTAAATGGCCAGCAAAATATACTCTCCTCCGCAGAGGCTATTGGGGAGGGAGATTGGGAGGGAAAAGGATAGGATAAAAGAAACTGCGGAAGAAAGGAAAAAGTGCCTCCCGCAGCTTCACCATTTTTCCCTCCCTAATGGTCGCTGTGGAGAAGAGTAAGCAAAATGCGTCGGAACATTGTGCCTTTAAACCAAAAGAAAGTAGGGTGCACAGTTGAGATGTCTATGGACACCTTGAGTTCAATAGCGAAGCAATCGTTCACAATTTACATGTTGAGCCAGATTCCTCGATCTTTTTCTTGGCTAAATACTTTTCATTCAGATAGTAGAAACAAAAAATTTCGTCATTGTTTATTTGCTATTTTATTTTCAAACTTCGAGGTTTCTCCTTGAAATGTATTTAAAAAAACTGACAATATCTAATTCGTATAACGACCTCCCTTAATCACAATACTATAAACTTCATCAGAAATTTGGCTAGGATCATTACAAAGATAATTACAGATCTTTGTCTCAATGGGTCGACGACAGCCTGCGATTGTTAGTAGCATGCTCATTTTTAGCTCCCAAAACCATACCGATCAGCTAATTGGCTGATCGAGCCCATGTGATTACAGCAAAACGAAAGTGCCTGTAACGATCTTGGATCAACAGTTAAATGTGTTTTCATTAAATCGGGACAGTGATGGCGATCGGAAGTTGATCTCAGCTCAACTGACCTGATGACAGGGGTCGACGACTACCTACAGCTGTATGCAAAATGTAGAGGTGTTCCTTTTATTGAATCGGGGAAAAGAAAAAGATGATCGCAGACTGTCGCCGATCCCTCTACGACCGCTCTACGATTTAATGGAAATCAGTCTTTCCATGATTAATGCATTAAAAACAGTTAACAATTGAATTGTAATATTTACACTTTCCAGGGTAATGTTTACTGTAGTAAATTTTTTCAAAAACGTGTAATAATGACAATCGAAGTAAATGCAGCTATATCTGCCTGTGTTATAGACGGATGTCGCAAATTTTCTGTACAAACTTACTGTTTAAAGGTTCCATTCACTGTACCAAAACACAAATCGCAAATACTAGATATTTCATAGTGCAGGAAACTTTACGATTAACAGCTTTGATTGGTCCAGCCTACTAAGAAGGAACTGGTCACATGAAAGCTACTATGGAACTGATCACATGCAACGAAGGAACTGGTCACATGCAACGAAGGAACTGGTCACACGAAATATTTCAACTTCCCAACGCCGGTAGGCATGGAAGGCTAAGTACTTCAACATAGGCAGTGGCTTGTTCTTCGTCTCTGACGCAGGGTAAGTGGCAGCAGCACGATCACCAGTGCTAAAGCCATGAGAAACTCATCTCATGGTAGCTTTAACTGCTCAAATTATATCCGGATCAGCTCGGATGTGATCAATCCGGACGGTCTGCAAAGACATTTTGCAGTGAATTTATGCTAAAGCTTTCGTAGATGTCAGCAAAGTCGGTTGGGACACTACTGCGCCATAGACTAGGAAACTTTCAAATCCCCATTGCTCTGTATAGGAAGTCAAAAAAATTCAGAGGTAGTTCAATGCCAAAGATGAGCACACCCAATCTTACCTAATAACATTGTAACAAATTACAATTAAACCATCACCGGTTTTTTACTTGTAGTCACTTTTTAGTGTAGAATCTTTTCAATGCTGGAATTTTGTAATTTTTCAACTGCTAGAGGACTAAGCGTCAACCATTGGTAAGAATTGAACGTTGCAGCAACAGCTAAACCCATGACTCTTGGTGCCCTTTTTTCAATGGACGTTTTCTAAACCATCTCAGTAGAGAACATTGACAGCAAATAGCCTTAAAGAAAGGGGTTTCCAATACCCTTCGTCTAAATCTCCTGTGCATAGCTATGTATACGATTGGGTTTGAAAGTGTCGATGATTTTGCAATAGCTGCTGATATAGTTGCCAATATAATAGGGAATTTAGCAATATGTGTAAAGAAGCTGGCCCAGAAAGAGAGTAAGGTATAGGGCATCCATGTTATGATGAAAACCATACACATGACGATTGCAAGTCTTGTGTGTCTCTTCTCTGCTCGAACGTTGTCCTTTGCTGCCTTGGACTCACGGCCAAAAAGATTGGAAGCACGTGACTGCATCTCGCGTAGCTCTTGTTTCACTCTGTAGAAGGAATAGCACATGACAGAAACGGGTATGATGAAGCAGAAGATGAACAAAAATATGATGTAGAGGTGGTCTTTTGTTTTCTTCGATGCCCAGTCAATAGAACACCTAAGGGCGTCGCTTTCTAGCTCGTATCCCGACCAGCCAATGAGTGGAAACGCTGCCCACACGAAGCCGTATGTCCAGCATGATGATATGAACGCTGTGCATAAAATATAAGAGCCATGTATACGGTTGGCCATAAATGGTTTGCAGATCTTCAAATATCTGTCGTATGCCAGGGCTGTCAAGTGGGCTGTGGAGGAGAGGGCCAAGAAGGTAATGGTGAATGCAGACGCCTGTTAAACCAATAAATAGAAAGGTTTAGAGAAACTTAAATTGGATTTAAATTGAGAATACAGTAAGCCTGTGTATTAAAAGTAAAGTTTTTCAGTTTAGCCTGCGCATTTTATTATTTAATGATAATCTTTAGTTTAGTTCATATTGATGCTCTAATGAATTAAATATATTTAAAGTTGCCTTTTATGTCGGAATTTTTTAACTTTAAGCTTTATTTTTTTCTTCAAAGTTTGTGTCAGTTGTGATGTGCTTTTGATATCATCACTGAAAATAGAAACAAAAACTTTTCTTTATAATCCGAGCAAGAACCCTCTCTTAAAATAATGATGACCAAAGTGCTTATAAAAAAGGACGAACTTAAAAGTGCTCATGAATGTAGGCGCTAATAGGCGAGTTTTCTGTAACTCCTCTTTTAATCTTGCTTCAGGTTTGGCTCTGAGAAGGTTTATGATTACTACTTTTGGCGCCTTTTCAATGATTTTCTGGTTCTGGCGCTAGTCTGTTAGAAATAGCTGCCATTCTATTTATTTTACTATTTGATTTATTGCCTTAGTTGCTGTCAATGCTGAAATTTTTAAAGGAAATTTTCTTAGCCTTTTATTTACACCTGCTTGAACAGACACTAAAGCTTCATTTCAAATGTCTGGGAAATTCTCAGCACCTTGCAGCGTACTGATGTGATTTAATTACCTTTGAAACATTTTCAACTTTTGCTTAATCTAATGTAAAATTTATCTCGATATTGACATTGTCGAGAAATCTGGTGGTCGTTAACTATACGGCAGCTGTGATCATCCAAAAAACATAAATTTATATCAGGAGTTATCAAAATTCGCTGAAATTACGATGACCTAAAGGGTGCAAATCTTAAAAGTTGTCATTATGATCAAGGCAAAAAGATAAATGATTCAATAGTTTTAAGAGTGTTTTGGGGGACTGTCTGCAGACACATGTGCCTACTTTTAGGTTCTCTAAAATGCTTAAAGATTCAATTACAAACACAGCTTTTACCACTTTTTTTCTTGAATTGTTACTGTTTTAGGGAGGCACTCATTCGAAAGGAGGCGTTGACTACTTTTCACAATGGCTTTTCCTAATTTCTCCTGATCACATCATCTAGATTGGTTCTGAATCAGTTCCATCTGAGCATTTTTAAAAGGAAACTGTATATGAATTTAAATTTCTTCATCATTATCATTTCTTTATTATATTTTTTCAGGGATATTTTTCCAGGCAGGCACGTAAATACTAGAGGGGGGTGGGGGAAGGTGTGACACCCCCCAATCTTTCATCCAGTCGGAAAATTTGAGGACAGTCGGAAATTTTAAAGCTGTTGGTAGAAAGCTAGGTTAATCGGAAAAATTTTTAATAGTGTGTGAAAATTGAAGTTTTGACTCAAATGACCTTGCGAACTGTAGCTCAAAGAGAAGCATAAGAAAGGTATAAGGTCAAAATAAAATAGTTGTTTGGTAAAAGGCAGTCCTCAAAAGAACGAGAGGCGACGCATTACAGAAAAACAAAGTTTTGTATGAAAATGCAAGTATTTTCAACTACATTCATCATACTGGGGATAGTGTGATAATCATTCCATCAAATTGCTTCTAAAAACGGGATACGAAATATAATTTTTCAAATAATATTTATCAGTAATGCTTAAAAAAGCGTAGTACATTTCCCATGACTTGTCAAGAACTTAGAAACATAGGCGGCCACAGGTGGAGAGCTGGGGGCTTCAGCCCCCCCCCCCCTCTCCGCCACTTTTTTGCAAAAATGTATTTTTAAGCAAATAAAAAGAGTAAAGGAAAGATATAAAGAAAAGAATAATCCGACAAATCCTTTAGTTGCTTAATTTATGTGCATGTTAATTTTGGATTCATAATCGAAAGACCAACTAATTTTGTTCTGTAAGCATTTCTGCCCATCAAAGCGGTAAAAAACAAAGCTTTTACAGAAAGAGCCAATATAGCTAGAAATATTTTGAAAGTGTGACAACTCCTTCTTCTCCTCCCATTGGTTTTTTCAGGCATGTTCCTGTTAAAAGGCTTTACAAGCTGCAAACATTTTATACGGTGACCTTTATCTTGCAGTGTCCCAATACTCTTCAAAATTTTTAATTCTGAGGCAATACCTATTCTTAACTTACTTTAAAGTTATATAACGTGCTGGGCTGATTCAAAATTACATATAGAGATAGGCTGATATTGGATATATAAATAGGCTACTTAACAGTTTTTACATTACAATAAAGATCTATTTCTTACGGCTGCATATAGCAAACCCATCAAAGCTATCAGAGCCCTAACTGACAACTCTTCAAGTTTGATCAGATTGTCTCAAACAGGCTCCTACGATTCGTTAGGCTACGTAACCTTACAATGCCTGAAACTCAGAGAAAAACAAGGAAGTGAATGGCTGTCTTGGGAGTAAAATTGAATATTGGAATCTTGATTTTAGTAATTTAATTATTCGAGAAAAATGACGTTCTCACGTGAGAACGGCGAGGAGAAGGCGAGAGTACAGTTTAATCCCACAATTGCGAATCTCCGATTTAACGAATATAAGATAAGTCATGTTGTCAACTACACTTTGCCCAAGAAAATGTTTGGATAAACGTTCCTACAATTTAAAAAACTACTGCTGCGGCCAACTGCATTTCTGGGCCACTACACTACGTAGCGCGTTATATAGGAATTGCATTTACTGTTCTTCCCAACTCCCACTAATTGTTACAAAAATTAATGCTGGGATACATTTGTATTCATAGTTTGATTTCTTAATCTGATGCAATCAAAAAACTAATTTGACTTAAGACTTGCAATCTAGCGGAAAAACTAATAAGACCTATTTGTGGTTCAGCCAGTGTACAGAAATTTAAAACCTGATAGCTAGCTAATAAAGCTTCAAGCAATTTCATCACAGATTTAATCTTTTTTGCATTTTAAAGCGTGAAAAATACCTATTTCATCTTAGTGATATTTATTGATTTTAGCTAGTTTCTTGTTTTGATAAATGTTTTTGCTGTTACAAGCTCAATTTTAAACAATAAGTATCTTTGCCTGGTCTAACTATCTAAGCGTTAAGAGTATCAGACGAAAACACGTTAAGAGTGTTCTGAGGAGTGTCAGACGAAAAAGGTTTTAGCCAATATGCTGTAAATTTTTACTTTTTTCAAAGCCATTTTTAAGCGTTAAGAGTACAGCTATATTCCACCTGCGATCAATTTAAAGACAACCTAATCCCACACACTTATGTTCTAAGAATAGCTAATTATGGATGCTTGGAAAACATTGAAAGCTAGAAAATGTTTCCTGTAAAAATATTCACTTTGAAAGCTTGGCAGGTAACTGCATTCATCATCTAAAATAAAAAACTTCCAAATAAGAAAAACTGATAACCAAACTCTCCCATCACATTGAAAGACAGTTTCAGAGTTGATCGTTGTATCATTGCGTTTTTCTCAGTATTGAGCTTAAACTATTACTGTATTTATTTGTTGCATTTGTTGTATTTGTTTCTACCTAGCATCTGAAGGTAGTTTTTAGGACACTGAAAACCTGGTCCTTCCTCTTGATGTGACCACACCTCGTGATGCCTACGCCTGGAATTACAGAAAGCTGGCGACTCTCCTCACTCTGGGTGAAAGTTTGGTCATGCCAGGGTCTCGAGCCACGAACCCTTGGGTCTGTAGTTAGCGCCTCCAACAACTGAGCCATCCTTGCATCCTAACTACATTATAACACGAAAATAACGCGAGACATTAAATAGCGCGAATTGAAAAATTCTGTGTTAATTGAAGTCCGGTTAATTTCTTGTATGCGCTTATGTTATTAGATGTCTAGCTCTTAATAAACGTCCGTTTATTTCATCCAACCGTTTAATACCATTTTTTAAAAGTACTTAAAATAGCCAGACTTAACAATTATTGCTGAAATAAATTATCTTATCTGAAAAATGTGGTTAATAGAAAGCGTCCAAGACTTTCGATAACATTTGATCGACTGTCCTCATGATCAACTATCTCCGCTTGAATTCCACATCTTCGTCGTCATCTTCATCTTCCTCAATCCCTAGTTCTTGTAAAATATTTTTCGAGTCATCAACCTACTCCCCTGTCAGGGGATACTCAACTTCTTTCACTTTAGCCACTAAAATTGACAAGTTTTCAGGCTCATCCCACGTGAACGATACAAAGGTATCTCCATTGAATCTCCGATCTTGAATCACTTTGACTTAAAGTTTTTCTGTTATCTTTTGTTTGTTTTTTCCTGCACTTAATTTGAATGTGATTCAGTAAAAATGTTTGCTGATACCATTTGAATTTCGTTGATTCGCGTTAATTACCACATATTTTGAAATCCAATCTGGCTATTCGCGTTTATTTGTGATTGCATTAATTTGCTCTGGGTTTGTTTATGTGCCGCGCTTTTTTTGTGTAATAATATAGCCTTGATATTTTAGCACAAATTTACCTTGATTTTGTCTAAAATTTTCAATAGCCAAATAAATTTTCTAGCATTATATATTTAAATTTCCACACTTCTTCTAGCAAATTTCAATCGACATTAGGTAAATAAATACACCCTTCCTTCACAATTTGCTGCTAAATTTTTGCTACTGAATTTCAACAAGCAAGGATAGTTCTACCTCACATTTACCTTACATTTTCCTTAAACTTTCTATGAATAGTCCAATACCATTTCCACATCACATCTGTTAAAAAATGTTTACATTAAAATCAGCATTAGCACTCGGATTACCTTGCAAAAATTATTCCCAGTTTTCACTGCTTGGTTTTTTGTTGACACTGCTGCGTAGATCTCAAGAGAATACCCGAGCAACGCCTGAATAAAGTCACCAATGCTTGTGCTGAAAACCAAAGCATCTTTGAAAGTTAGCTTCTTAAGTCCAATTTTCGTGAAAACATAAATAACAATGCCATTTAGACTTGATGATGTTACAGCGCATGTAAATAGATAAATGACCGTAGCAGCCTTAAACTCTCCTGAAGGCATCTTTTCTGGAAATGAACACCCGAGCGCCGTCAGTTGCGTCTTTCTAAATACTGCTCAGTGTTCCTACGCATTTCCTCACCTTCAGCGTAAGATGGTGTCCACACTGCCTCGCTTTACAATCGAGACCTGCCAACAGTATTTCCATCATGCCAATTTAAAGCAGGTGGTCTGTCAAAAATAAAGTTCGTCTACTTCCTGCATCGAAACATGCTTTATTTCGTCTAGTTTCTTTTGATAAATTAAAGACAAATCAGAATTTTAATTTTATCATGTAACGTTAAAGTGAATTTTATATCTGATATTAGCAGTGGCGTAGCGTCTATGTATGCTACGCTTGCGGCGCAAGCGTAAAAATTTATAGACAAATTCTAAAATTCTTGCAACACTTTCAATGCATAACAATTTCCGCAATAAACGGCTTCTCTTTCTTGTCACGAGCAGCATGCAGTGAACTCTAGCGCCAACAGGCCAATTGGCCCCAAATTGGCTATTTTTCCAAGTAAACAGATCGCTAAAAATTATGAAATTCGAAAAATCTGAAAAACTGAAGCCCCTCCACATCACTCTTTTTGCCTGTCCAAAATAAGAGAAACATGTGATGCTCCAGTGCAGCTTCAGTGCAACTCGAGAAAAGCTTCTGAGAGAAGTGAGAATTTTCCGGACTGGAGCTTGCGGTCGGCCTGAGCGCAAGCCTTCCCAAATATTTGATAATCCACAACATTTTTCTACCTATAAGCTGCTTTTTGCGAATACTCTTTGCGTGATACATCATTTCAAATCCAATTATTTTCCTTTCTTTACTTTGTGACTGTTGAAAAGAGAAAAAGTTTCGTCAAAGCGGGGTCAGAGTCTATTAGTCATGATCCGCATTCCGTAATTCAAGTCAAAAGGCTTGCCAGTATAGTCAGAATTTACGGACCAGGGCATGCGGTAGACCTGAGCGCAAGCCTTGCTAAATACATGATGATTTGCAGGGACTAACTTTCTGAAACTTTACACATGGAAGCATCTTCAATTCTAACAACTCTCACAGCTCACTATTTTCATCTTAGTTAACTATGAGAGTAAAAAATGAGCAGAAACTGTTGCTCCTGTTCGCTTAGGCTCTGCAGTGTGTTAACAATTTCGCAATGTGGAGAGCTCCTTCTTGCGGGAATCCCCAGCTTCATTATTGCATAAAAAATTCTTACATTAGGTGGGCATTAGGTGATGCCTTTTCTTGAGGAATATGAATAAGAATAAAATCTTTTGCAAAGCAGTTTTAGCACTAGGAGTTATTCTGAAAAGTCTTGCTAAACAATTGAGCTTTTTTCAAAAACTTTCGCATGGGTGATAATTTTTCCCTTGGCCCCTCTTCACTTTTCAACCTCTGTCGGAGCCTCTAATGCTAAGAATAGACACCTTGATTGATTAGAATTAGAGTACAAATGATTTGTTACTTTGAAAATCAAAATTTGCTATCACGATTATCATTTAATTACCGCTTGTATTTTTTAGATACTGAAATTACCATTACATTTATTCAACATAGCCGTATATTTTATGTTACCGCATGCCTAAGTTCTGCGCTCACGCTACGCCACTGGATATTAGCAACACTTGTCAGAAGCAACAACTGTATTATTCTAGCATTCACTTGTTTCAGCTACCGTCAAGTCTATTTGTTCACTCAACATTCTTCTCACTTTTAACTGTTTGAACATTCTCCACCTTCAAGACATTAGCTGCATCTAAAAATTTTTAAACTCCCGCTTAAAAAAGCATTCATAGAGATACTGCCAATTTGTTTAGTTTCGTTGGAGGATATGTCTTCTTCTTCAAATATTATCATTTCGTTTATCTTTGTTGGTCTTATTCTTCTTTTCCTAGCGGTAAAACTTTTTCCTTGATTGCTTTATCTTCTTTGCATTTGTGAAATTTTCCCCATGGTTATCTTAACAAATTCCGATTATTTTCCTCTTTCAGTGTCAGTTTTTTTCGTGGATATGATTGATTTGGTATAAATGTTTCATCACAAAAAGGTGTCAGCACAATATTTGATTATTGATTTCTTTTACAGTACTTTTATTCTTCATGCTAAAATTATGCCGCCTTGATTCTCTCAGTGTCAGTTTTTTCGTGGATATGATTGATTTGGTATAAATGTTTCATCACAAAAAGGTGTCAGCACAATATTTGATTATTGATTTCTTTTACAGTACTTTTATTCTTCATGCTAAAATTATGCCGCCTTGATTCTCTCAGTGTCAGTTTTTTCGTGGATATGATTGATTTGGTATAAATGTTTCATTACAAAAAGGTGTCAGCACAACATTTGATTATTGATTTCTTTTACAGTACTTTTATTCTTCATGCTAAAATTATGCCGCCTTGATTCTTTCAGTGTCAGTTTTTTTCGTGGATATGATTGATTTGGTATAAAAGTTTCATCACAAAAAGGTGTCAGCACAATATTTGATTATTGATTTCTTTTACAGTACTTTTATTCTTCATGCTAAAATTATGCCGCCTTGATTCTTTCAGTGTCAGTTTTTTTCGTAGATATGATTGATTTGGTATAAATGTTTCATCACAAAAAGGTGTCACCACAACATTTGATCATTGATTTCTTTTACAGTACTTTTATTCTTAATGCTAAAATTATGCCGCCTTGATTCTTTTAGTGTCAGTTTTTTTCGTGGATATGATTGATTTGGTATAAAAGTTTCATCACAAAAAGGTGTCAGCACAACATTTAATTATTGATTTTTTTAACAGCACTTTTATTTTTTTAATAATCTAAAGGTAAAATTATCCCACCTTGTTTCTTGAATAGATTCAAAGGAAGGCTATGGATGTTCCTCGTTTACAAAATTTCCAGCATTGGCCTACTGACCTGGCGTCGATGTACGGGTCGAAAGCTTGAATTGGAGGTAAATCAAATCGAGTAGCCATGGCTTAATCGCTTTGAGAAGTTTTCCTCGTCACTAATTGTCGTGTTCATAAACCTTACAGATTTAAACGTAATGAAACACTCAAATAATCAAACAAAATTCGTAGGCTAATGAAGATCGTTCATTTCGTGTCTTATTTACATATCCACGATTAAGAATTCCTCTCTAATTTGATATGCTAATTAATTTAAATTAATTCCACAACATCATACCTCATAATTGTTTCAAAAACCAAGCAGGGAAATAACATAAAGGGTTTTGTTATATTTTAAAATTCGCTAAATTAATTTAGTACCATGAGTGTCGTGGTAAGATATTAATGTATTAAAATACATCTTGATTTGTAAAAGTCGACATGAATTTGTTTTACATGTTATTATCGAGCACCGGCATTTTGCAACTTCATCAGAAAACACATCAATCATTTCTCTAAGGTATTTTATATTGTGCATATTAAGACTCTGCTGTTGTTCTATGCGTTTGTTCGTTTACGAAAAAACCCTACTCGTCCGTATTATTACTACCTGGGCGCACTTAATCAGAGAAGGGTAAGATAGTTTTCAATTTTCAATAAAGGTGACCAAAAATATGAAAGTTTGAGAAAGTTTAAGAAATAGTATCAACTTTTGGTTTTCAAAATACAAATATTGAAAAAAATAATAATTCTATACCTCCAGCTTTTTTACAATGAATGCGCTTGCAGAACTACTTGGCACTAAAATTTAGGCTATAAATTTTTATAATTTGTATATTTAGAAAATGACACACTTGTTTTATTAATTGAAATAATCATGTAGCTTTACACCAGTCATATAATACATCTATAATTTAAAACAAGCTACATTTTTTAATTTTTTTTGGAAAAACAGAGTTTCAAAGAGAGGGGATGTAGACTACTTGAGTATCTCCAATCTCCTGTCCACGCCCATTTTAATCCAATTAAAATAAGAAAGATTTTGTAGAAAGATTTTCTTGGCCATAGAAAGGTTGAAAACTAGTCTGGAGTCTGTACTGTGAAATCAAAACATCATTTAAGAGGCATTTGACGTTATTTCAGTGATTTTATGCCTGGTATTAAAATAAGGTATGAGGCAAACATTATGGTTTTTGAAATAGTTATGATGCAAAAGTTTATCATTTCTTCGTTTATATGGTGCAATCGATAGGTTAACAACAGCCGTGTAAAGGTTTTGCCAGGAGCCCAATGAAAAAATCAAGGCATGTTTGAACCGTCCAATCGATAAACGAGTGCAGACAAGGTGTGCCATGCTTCTGCTGATTAAGATCCTTCTAAAACTTGGCAACACGACGTCTAGTTCTCTAAACCATGCTGTTATCACACAATTCTTATGAAAAGCTAACGTAATTACAATAGAATTCAAACATTATCTTTTGAATTTTTGAATTTGGATCCCATAACCTGAAAGAAAGAGCATCATGAAATACCTCTAAATATGCAAAATAAGTCGAGTTTGTTTTGAATTGGCCGAGATATGGCCACTGGCTCTTTCCCCATCAAACCTCTGTAATTTCGTTTCTGTCCATAACTTTACGAACAGAGCCAAAATAACAGTGATTCGTTAGCAAACTTCAAATCTTTCTTTGGCAATTTCTCAACCGATTTTAGACATGACTGAACTTGCATAATTGGAAGTATTGCATGGTGTAGTTGATGAAGAAAAAGCAAAGTCTCTTCTGTTCACGACACAGCAAAAACGTTCGAAGCTGAAAAGAAACCAACAAGATCAAACAATTGAGGTGAAAATGAATGAGCAGCCATTACTTCAGATTCACCAACAAAAGCTCCTTGGAGTTATTATTGACCAAGATCTTACATGGAAAGATCAAGTTAAAAACGTATGCAATACTATAAGCCGCAACCTTGCTCTATTTCGTAGGATCAAGTCTTACCTGCCATTTGATACAAGAAAATTCTTCTATCAAAACCTCATATAAGTCTTTATTGAATACGGCAGTGTGGTTTGGGGGTCTTCTACGAAGATATCCTCCAAAAGAGAGTAGCTAGCTAGGTTGACATTCCAGGCCGTGAAAATTCAGGTCCACTTTTTAAGATACTTAAGTGGCTGCCCATTCAACGAATAATTAACTTCAAAACAGCCATAGTAGTCTACAAGGCTCTAAATGGACTAGCTCCAAAATATATGACTGATTTGTTTACTCATCAAAATCAGATTAAACAGCGATTGACGAAAAGTTCATCACACAAAAACTTGTATGGCCCTATTCGCACTACATCTAGAAACCTGATAATGCTAATCCCTTATTGTTCTATCTTCAAAGGCGGCAAGGGTTTGTCAGGAAGTAGTTTAATTGGTAGAGTGCAAACAGCAAAATCTGAAATCTGACAAATTGTAACGTTTTGACTAATTGGTCAAAGGTTCGGTCGTAGAGCTCTGGAGCATCACAATCTCATGAAAATCTATGATTACCAGCGGGTGACTCGACGGACATGCCAGAATTATGTTAACACCAATAAAAAGCCCAGGGTGCTATTTGAAATCATGTCACAATTTAAAAAGGTACAATTTCTTAATGGCAACCTGATAACGTGTTAGATAACAATACAACATCTCAGAAAACTGCCTAATGCGAACAGAAGTCTGACAAACTTTGTCAATCTTGAAAAAGTTTTTTTAATTGGCGTGAGAATATCGGGTTTGACAAACATTATCATATTTGCAGTGCGAATAGGGCCTATGTGCCCAGATTCAAAATTCTTAAAATAGCCTTTTTGTGACGTCACACTTAAGAACTGTATTGCTCTCCCCAAAAACTGTACGAGATTAAGAGATTTTAAAAAATCCCGTGCTAAAGAAAAATAATTTGAAATTTTTCAGTTGATTCTTGGATTATCTAAAATCTTAATAAGGGTTTTGGCCTTTCATTCTGAAAAATTGTGAACTTTAAAGATTTTGTCGAGGGTGCGATCTGAATGATCTTCGAATGTTCAATGATTTGGCAAATCTTTCAGCCACTGCAAAAGATCCTGAGATTTAACGATTATTTTCTAATTTTTAAAATTATTTGATAAATTTTAAGATTTTCATGAGATTTCTTACCTTTCATGATTTTTCGGAAATATTTTGAGATTTGAGAAACTTTTAAGAGATTGTAGAATTTTTTTTGCTTATTTGTGGAATAGAGAATTTTTTGGGTGTGATTCACCCCTCGTCACAACTCATCCTTTATATATTTTGTTAATGGAACTTAGTTTTAGAATTCTACATGGTCAGTTGTAGCAACAGATCCTTTATTACAGTCTGTAGTCATCAAAGTATCACCAAGATTAATTCGAGGGACCTGAATAGAGATTAAGAATGTGATAAATGTACCTTCTCTCTATTAAGCATACAGGATACCTTCTCCGTTGAGTGATAAAAGTACCTTCTCCGTTGTCAGCTATTGTGCTCATAAGGGGTGTTCGCTCAAGTCACATTTGCCGACAAGGTAAGGCGAGCCATCCTTTATTTGCCGAGCTCCCCGTTTCTGCAAACAAGATTTTCAAAGGAGAGTAACACCCCACGCCCCATCGTAGCGACGGCGCTGAGCATGCAGATAGAATTCAAGTTTAAATATTGGCTGGCTAATGAGAACAAAATAAAATATTTATTGTTAATAATAGTTTAAAACGTTTTCCACGTTTTTGATTTTGTATAAGGGTGAAAATCGAAGACGCGGAATTCTCATTCCTTCAAGAATAAGTTCTTGCATTTCAATTCTTGAAAGAGCTCTGTTGCTTTGTTTATTTATTTGGATTCTAGAAGCTTAAAGCGAAATTTCACTTTTCCTCGTGTTCCGCGTTTTCGACCTGGCCGTCAAGTTTGAATATTTACCCAAAATACACCCACACATGGCTAAAAATCCTTGTTTTTGCGATAAAACGTTGTTCAAAATTGCATTTGATAGTAGCTCAGCCTCAACTTGTTCTTAATTTGTTCTTACTCTTTGGTGCCTAATTGCCGTCCCCCCGCTAATTAATTTTGAAAATTTTTCCACCCCCCCCCCGCTTTTATTAGGACCCCCCCACAAATTGATTTTGGCACTTTTGTGTTAATTACTGTAGTAAAAAAAAACCAAAACTTTTGAGATTTATACCGGAAATAAAACGAATAATACAGCTGAAGTTTGAGGATGTGTGTGGGGAGTTTCGTAAGGTCGTATTTAAGGCCCTGTTACCTTAATCAAAACTCCCAGTGACCCTAAAAAACTCACAATTTTCGGTTATAATGATTATTCTGTACGTATAATAGCCACATGTCCGCCTCCCGATCTGATCTAAATGCCCACAATTACCCGAGCCCACAATAATTCCTGTCGGCAAAAACCGTTTGTTTTATCAATTTTCTTAGTTTCTAAATTTTTTGCATAATCATTTGTTCTGTTGATATGGTTTTATAAAAGAAGCTGATTTTAAGTGCATTTTGAGTATTCAGTATATGTAACTTCATAATTTCTACCCTCCCGGTATTTGGAACCCCACCCGCCAATTAATTTTGAACATAAAATCCGACCCCCCGTTAATTCTGATCCCCCCGGCAATTAGGCACCTAAGAGTAACTTTTGACCAATTTTGAGACTCGTGTTCCTATAAAATTGTTCTTATAAAAAGAGTGTAAGTGTGATTTTGCTAATAAATTGTTACAAAAAAGAGAGAATAACCATTAGAATATGACATTATTAATTTTCACTTCTTTTCATATGTTTCATTTCCTGTTGAGAAAAATATGCGAATGTTGCTTCCAATCCACGGTTTCCAAAATAAAGCAGGTGGAAAAAATTTTGCCATGAATTGTTCCCCCATTTTTGTTTACGTGGTGTATCCCCTTATTTACAATGCCATGGACGTCGTTTCCTTAGCAGCAGAAACAATACCTGGCAATTGATTGCCTTTTTAGGCTTCAGGCATCCTCCACTAGGGCGGGGATTACCGCAATTCAATCACCGTCTAATAGTTAACCAAGAAACCAATCACATAGCACCTATTCAACTATAAACCAATGAAGATAGCAGACAGCTACATCGTACCGCCTTCAAACTGACTGGCCTTATCTCGTGTTGCGAGATTCCCTGAACTGAATTTGGAGAAGACCGCCACGATTCCTCGTGAAAGAACATCACCCTTAGATTGTGAACGTAAGGAAATCTCTGCCGGTTTAAACGATTGCAATTTGGACTTCTCGATTTATGATGAAATTGGCCTTTTAAGAGAGCAACGAATTGGCCTAAAGTGATTGAGTGATAAAAGGAGATTGGATCAACGTTCTATCTTTATTATGGCCTAAAATCGCACTTCTTATCTTCTCCCGGAATCATTGAGGTAAATAGCTACGCAAGAAAGACGCAAAAGAACCGTTAAAACGCCCCAAGAGCAGCAAACATTGTCTACTAATCACAGGTTTGTATTTCTCCAAACATTTCCATATATGCGTTATTCTCAGCATCTTGGCTTCCCTGTTTTGTATCCTACAAGATGGTGATACACCTTGTGGTGATGTCGAGACCTCAAGATGTACCTGTCGCCGCTAATTACTCTTGTAGTTACCGTGATGATCGGCTGCTTCTTAATGGGGAATGATACTCTCAGCTTGATTACGGCTCCATGCTTCTGACCGATCCGTCTTATTTTTGGCGTAAACTGGAGACGTCGCCGCGTTTGAAAGAAAGTAATACGACACTCTTAATTTATTTAAGCAACTGAACACAATGTTTAAAACTTTTTTTGCAAATAACAAGTTTCGGAGTTTAGTTTTACCCGCATTCTACAAAAATTATTGAAAAATTGTGATGTGGATTTCAGTGGAGCTGGCTGACAAAAGCCATTTTTCCGTATTTTGTTTCCCTCCCCTTGGCAACCCCATAGACTCCCTAGAATTTTGTACTGTCCCTTTTTGTCTAGAATTCAAAAAAGTATCCCAGACAGAAAACGTTTCTGAGATTGTGACATCATCAGTTTGAAAAGTTTTTTTAAATTTTTTCTCTTCAGCCCAGTGGACATTTCTTTTTGTTCACGTAAATACTTAAAGGGTTTTCAATCCCAATTTAAATCGAATTTGTGCACCAATTTGGTACCAAATTTGTTTGACAGCTTTAAATAACTAGAGCCCCTGTTTAATAAACAAATTTGTTTTTAGTCTTTTGATAAATGAAGGTTGTTAAGTTGTTGTTCTGTTTTCATAACAGAGAAAATGCTCCAATTTCAAATGTTCATTAAATCTTTTTAGTGCACTACCGTAAAATTCCAAATATAGGCTCTCCCAAGTAAGTCCCCCCAGTTATAAGCCCCATGAGTATAAGCCTCTGAATATGTGCCCCAATTCCTGGGACTTAATCTTGCTTCAAATATAAGCCCTCCCAAATATTAGCCCATTTTCTCCCTGCAACACAAAAGCACTAACTGATACAAAATACAAAAACAAAAAGTTTTATTCTTTAAATTTTCTTTAGTACATACATTTCTTACATTTAGTTTTGGATGCTTTTTACATAAACATTATTTATATGGGGTATCTCACTGCCTTTCCTTGAGCCGATGTGCCTTCTGGGGCTTCACTGGTTTATTTCTTTTGATTTTTGAAATGTACCAATCTTTCCACAAAGGCTGCAGCTTTATCTTAGTGTCTCGAAAACATATCCGACCTAAATTATTTTGCGATTTCTTCCAACATTAACTGAATTTCCTTTTATATTCCTCCCCTAATATAATCACCCTCCAAAACACCCAAAACAGCCTTTGAGCCTTTAGAAACCCTAGGCTAGTATTCAAAATTATATGGTATACTCTGCTTTTAACAGGCCAAAACATCTTTCAATTTGCTCAAAACTGGCTGATTGAACATTAAATTTCATATGTGATTACACTGGCCAAATCCATAAAATTGAAAGGGTCTTTATGGGAATTAAAACCATTGGTTGGCTATTTGGATGGGTTTGCATGCTACAGTATAGACATTAACACATAAGGCTCCTTTTTGTCTCAGGCATTGCAGGATATGTGCCATTAGAACAATCTAGATTTGTAGAACACTTCTAAGACTGGAATGATTCACTACTAGCTCTTTCACTTAAGAATGATTTAAGTACTTTAGACTCAAAATCTTAAATTCGTAAAAATATTGACAAAATATTAAGAAATTCCGTGTTAACAGGTATAGTGTTCACAGGCACTGAAGAATGTGCCTCTCATAAACTGTGCTATTTCCTATTATATAAATCTTAAAAATTTGCTCTAATGTCCTAAAAAGTCCAAGTGGTCCCTCTTAACTGATCTGAAAATACTGTGTTTCTTTGACTATAGCTTTGAATTTTTACCAGCAATTTTTTTTCTGAGGCTTAAGTTGAAGGGTGGCCTACACTTTTCTGGTTACAGTTATGTCATTTTCACATTGAATTAAAAAGTTTGTGCAGGATCTTGCATTTAAAACGAGCAAAATACCTAAGGATAGATGAAAGGGTTTATCCAGTGAAATTTTTTGGTCACAAGAAAAATTCCAATTTGTCACTTCATTTAAATCAAGTTTGGCTTATAATTATGATACAAAATTTTAAGGTATTCACTTCAGTATGTTGTATAATGTGTATGCCTCAACAGCTTGCTTTTTATAGATCCCCAATCTTCCATCTTGCACCAGACACAAAACTACCCTTAATCTGCAAAACATTTACCGCTGTGCCTTGCTTTATGCAGCGAATAATACCAATGGTTTTTTATTGCAACAGGCCTATCAGAACCAGGGGACAGGGGAGGGGGGCTGGAGCTCCCCAATATTCTTCAAACTGTAGTATATGTCCTTTATTACAGTGCACCAAATGAGAAGGAATACAATGGGCAGCCACCCCCAAATATGAATTTCGTTCTGAAGGCACTGTGCAAAGAAAAGCATATGCACATATCAAATTTTGTTATATTTTTTTGTCACTGGCTGTCAAACCAAAAATCACCCTGTGTGCGCTGTTTGACGATGAAAATCGTTAAGGCTCATTTGGAGAACCAATCAAAGCACAGCAGCAAAAGCAAAACTTCAGGGGATAATCTAGAAGCATCTCAGTAAATTTCCCAATTTAGAGTGATATGGTTATAGTCATAAGAAAACAAGATATGCTGTTAGGGATTTGACATGAACGACCGGAATGGTCGCAGGAAGCCTTTTAAAAGTAAGGAAATTTGAAGGGTACTTCCGCGACTTGGAAATATAAACTTTACCTTGGTTTCTGAAGGTTTGGGAATCGTGTTCCCCCCCCCCTTGCCCTAGTCTTGTTGTGACAGATAATGATGAAAAGCTGGATCAAAAAGTCAATTTTGACAATGATGGGTTTGAAATTACGGAAAACTGTACTAAATGATCTTAATGAGAAAAGCCCACTATTTGCAACTAACATGTATATTTGAAAATAACAAAACGTTTTTTCATTTGGTACCAGTAAACCCAATATTGACTAATTGGGACAGCGATATTTCAGTGATAATCAAAGAGATACGATATTTTGCTTCCAGTTACGAAGCAAAATGCAATCTTCCTCTCAAAGATGCCTACAATCTCAAAGCCCAATGCACAACTGGGACAACATCTACTTCCTAAAAAGTGAAATTGAGGGTTTAATGTTTAAGTTATGGATCATAGGTATAGAACCATGAGCAGAGGAGGCTTTGCTCCGCTGTTTTCGCCAAAGTAGCCCTTTCTTGCTTTTTGCTACTGTCTGCTTGGAAATATCAGGCTAAGGGCCCAGGTTTTGGTTTCCAATCTTCACAACCGAAACGTGCTTTACGTCAAGGTGCTTCAATCAACAATCTCTACAGGCCTTCCCAACCCAAAGTTTTTGGCCCATTGTAATTTAATGCTGCCTTTCTCCTGTATTCTGCTTTCTTTGCATCCTTAGCTGTTTTGGCATGCCTGCCTGTGCATTCCAGTGATCCTGTAGGAGTACCTCATCTTAAGAATCTTTGTTCTTTCCTCGGTTCCTGTTTTGTACGTCCTTGTTTTGCAACCAAGCTGAAGGATTGACGTTACGAGGGAATGCAAAAGATTCAGCTTGCCTTATGACCAAAAAAAAGCCTCGTAGACAATTGAGAATTAAGCCTAAAAGGTCTTAACTTTTGGAAAATTTTACCTAAAAAGTTTTCATTTTTGGGAAAGTAAGCCTAAAAGGTCTTCCCTTTTTAGAAATTAAACCTAGAAAGTCTTACCTTTTGAAGAGTTAAGCCTAAAAAGTCTTAACCTTAGACCGATAAGGTCTTAACTTTTGGGAATTTAAGCCTAAAAGGTCTTATGATTAAGGAAAAAGGTGTATAGATTAAGCCACACCCAGTTGCAGCATGTGAAAGAAAACCTGAAAAGATAATATTGAATGTTTCAACACAGCATTTTTTACAAAAATCGAACATTAAAGTTTTTGTTATATCTACTGGTTTTAATGTGTAATTGGAACAATGAAAATAAACTCAAATATTTAAAGGAAAAGTGTCAGAGGTCAGCTCTAAAAATCACGAAGATTCTAGCAAAGAAATCCGTGAAACATAAAAGAAATTGTGGAGGAGGATGAAACAGGTTCATATATTGATGATAACAATGATGATATAAAATATAATTTTGTTGTAAAATATTTTCTTTCTATTAGGTAATGGATTTGCAAAGAAGCAAGCACTTTCAGATATTGTTTCCAACCAACTCTCTTATGAACTACTAGCTACATACCTAGATTCTACTTCATATAAATTGACACAACAAAGCAAAATACCGCAAATCTTCAAATAAGCTACCCCCTCTAATAAGCCCACCTCGACTAAGTCCCCACCCAAAAATACATTTTTGCAAATAAGCCCCCGGGGGCTTATTCGAGGATTTACGGCATGACATTATCAATAGCGATGAAAGGAAACACTATCGTTCTTGTTTGGTTGTTTCTGTCATTTGGATGAAGTTTGTGATTTTCATGTAAGCGCTAACAAGCAACGAGTTTAATTTGTCCCTGAAACTTTGTGGTCTGTAGCTAATTCAATTTAAGATTCAAAGTCATGTAAATGTTGCACTTTTGTAACGTTTTATTCTTTATCGAACAGGTGAATACCATGGACGGAATCCCATCATTGCTACGGCCCAAGGTTGCAGAAAATGGCGATCAGTCAGTGACGAATTCCACTCTTAACAACAATCTAGGCCACCTCGGGTATCTGGACGCAGTATCCAACAGCAGCGCCCACAGCAATTGCTTGAAGTGCCATGAAATTTATGGCTTACTTCATCAGCATGTTTTAGAATGTCATGCTGGAGGAAATGAAAAAGACAGTAATTCGATCCTTAACAACGTGTTAATGAATATTTTAATGCTCCTTACATCAGCAAGTAAAAACGGTAACCAGTCAAGTGGTGAACAGGCGACTTTTCAAACTTCTATGCCTGCCTGCCTAGGCAATGCTTCCTCAAACTATAGCATCGTTTCTACAGTTACTCAGGCACTTCCCAAAACATCACCTCAGAATATTGAGACCCAAAGTTCTGATAATCAAAATATGACAGGTGAAGGGCTTGTTAGTGCTGTAAGCCTTCAGAAGCTTTTGTCCTCTGCTCAAGCTAATCACAGTAAGGTATTTGCTCAAAGTGGCGATAATGAGAGGAGGAAGACTGTTGTTCAAGGAATCCCGTTGATAACCACCAACATGCAAGGGCAAGACAACGTGCCTTTGGTATTAACCAGTCATTTTCAGGGAGAAACCGCTCGACAGCAAACAATTATTGTACCCTCGGCTATGCCAAAAGTGAGTGAAAAGTCGGATCTGGATGTCGCCGATATTCTAGTAAACAAAATGCCGATCCCGAGCGTCAACAAGGAAGAATCATCCCTTGCTCAGTTATATCTAAAGCAGTTGGCTGAAGGCTTAGCATCTGGTCGCAGTGACATACTGCAGCAAGATGAATCAGTGCCACAAAGTAACAATAATGAACGGGATTTGGTAAGTTCACTACTATCTGGCAATGCAAACACTAGCACGTCAATACCTGTTTCAACTCTGCCAACTGAGAGTGGCAGTAAGCCTGTTGTAGAGACTATTTCTCAAATACTAGCCGCGCAGAAGCAGCTAACTGGTCTTCTTTCCCTTCTTGGAAAACGGCAAAATGAGCCAACCTTGTTGCCTGTTGCTGGTCTGGCATCGCAACTTGTGGAGACTCCTCTTAACAATCCTCTCTTTGCAAACCAGCATCAAAGGATGGGCACTCCTAGCTTGCTCCATATACCTCTAACGTCTATAATACCTGGACTTACACAAACGTCACAAGGATTAATGCCAACTAATTTGATCCCGGCACCGCAAAGTATGGGTGACAGTAACTTGTATCCTCAACTTGCCAATGTCCTTGCGAAAACATCGCAAGGTATTTCCGAAATATCAGGGAATGGTGCTGTGGCACTACCCGCGCTTGCTTTAAACTCAAGTGCCTTTCAAAATACTGCGGTTCCTATTCTGCATCAAACAATTCAAGGTGCGTTGCGAGGCACGGGACAGCAAGCAGTGCTTCTTCCGTCAGTTGTTTCTGGTGGCTCTATAGCGTCAGTGAGCACTGCCACTGTGCTAGGGTCGCAGTCATTTCTGGTACCAAATAGACCTATAACACAGATGGTTACACAGGCATCTTCAGCTACAGCAAAAACTCTATTTTCAACAAGCCACCAGTCAACTGTTCCCTCACTGGCAGAGCAGTTGTTTCAGAATTCAAACAACATACCAAAGCTAGCTCTATCGACTGTTCCATCGATCTTTAATCTAGGAAACATGCCTGGAATGGCTATTGTCAACCCAAATCAGCAGCCCCAAAATCGAAATCAAAGCCAGTCAACTCTGCGCCAAATACCGATCTTACCAACAAGCTCTGTGATAGTATCGTCCGGCACTAACATTGCTCCTTCTGTTGACAAGATTCAGGGACTTATTAGCGCTGCTCTCCAAAACCCAAGCAAAGGCAATGCAATTCTTAGCTCAACTGTCAGTACAAGCAGTGGAAATGATCTTGGTATGGCATTTGGAAAACACAACATGACATCATTGTCAGCAAATACTAAGGATGGAACTGGTGACATTGAGGACTCGAAATCAGCCATAAAAAAACTTTATAAATGCAATACCTGTAGCACAACTTTTAGTGTTCTGTCTACGCTTCAGCAACATGAACAAACCCACCTTGGAACCAAGATCCAGTGTAACTACTGCAACGATATTTTCGCAAGTGCCTCAAAATATCAAGAGCACATTTCACTACACCGTGGCGAAGAGAACGTTCACCAGTGCGAGTACTGTAATAAGCTTTTCACAAGTCGAGGGGAGCTGCAGAAGCATTTAGCTGAGCATACCCAGAAGCGACCTTACAAGTGCAAGCACTGCGCGAAATCTTTCAGGGATCCAGGCTCACTTCAGAAACATGAGAGGATACATACAGGTGAGCGTCCATACAAATGCCAGCATTGCCTAAAGGCATTTGCAGAGTATAGCTCTCTTCGTAAACATAATCGTGTTCATACTGGGGAGCAACCATACAAGTGCCCACGCTGTCCCAAAGCATTCTCAATATCAGGTAATTTGCAGCGTCATATGTTCATTCATACTGGTGAACGGCCATATCGTTGTACAAAATGTCCGAAAGCATTCAACAATCCAAGCCACTTGAGAAGACACGTGAAGAATTTACACGATGTTAAGCAACCGTCAAATGCTAAAGATACTGATTCGAATGCAGAATCAGATAGCGAGATGATTGATAATGATTTTTGCACGATGGCAAAATCTTGAGTTTTGTACATAACTTAATGTAATCGGTAAGATTTTTCATTGAAATGTGAACAATAGTTAGGAATGTACATAAAGCAATTATCATATTAATCGCTAGTTTTTTTTTACTTAACTTCGTTGACAATATGTTGGAGGATGATTCTTTCGATTATCGGAGACATCACTTCTAGACCGTAAGCAAGTAGCAAGATTTAGTCATATCTGTAACAAGAACAGATTGAACAAATAAGCATTTCTTAAATCGGTCTTTACAAGTTTTGTATTTATTTCTGTTGAAAAAGTGGCTGACGTTTTCTGGTGTTCCTGACAGTGAATATATGCTCTTACTAATTGTATTTGTGTGCCTACTGGGTAAACAGATTATGTTTAAAACTATGAATTTGATTTTTGTGCGTTTTTTAAATTGCTACTTTCTTCTGTTTTGGTCTTTTGTAAAATACGATTGTATGAGAACTTCAGTCTTGATTATAACAACTTCTTTTGAAGCAAAATATGTTTGAAAGTGTTTGAGCAATTTTTGCATCTGTCTTTTCTTGTTTGTCTTTTACTCCGATAAACTGAAACCAATTAAAGGCACTGAGTCATGGTAAATAGGCCTTCTCTATAGGGGGTCATTTGGTTTCGGCGTGATCGCTGCTGTTTCATGTAATATTTGCATCCGTTGTTGACAACTTGCTATTGATGAAAATTGCTTTGTCAATCAGTACGAGGTGAGTTCGTGTGACCAGTTCCAGGTCAACCAATAGAATCGCAGTCATAATAATCATGGCTCAGCGAATTTTGGCACTTAGGGTATACCCAATCCATTTTATCATGAGCATGACTCAATGCCTTTAAACATAGTTTTTCAGGAATTTGTTCTAATCTACGAGGATACCATCTTACTTATGTTATTGCACTTTTTTACACAAAAAACGCAAAACATGAAACTATCGTTTTTATACGTAATTATGCCATTACTCTTTGGGTCCGGCCCATTTGACCTTATAAGCTCCATATGGCCACTGAACCAAAATGGTCTATGCACCTTCTGTGTACATTGGTGCAATGAGGGTAATGCACATTGTCCCATTTGTTTAGGCTAAAACTAGGCTAAAATTTTCCAAGACAAGAAAGAGCAACGAAATTAACATTCATTCTAAATGTAAAGAGAACATTGACTGCTTTGCCCCGCTCTCCCTATAATTTGATAGCCACAACCTTCTTGGGTTTTTCATTTTAAATTGAAGTTGCTTTTAGAAACAACCATATATTTCAAATTTTTGAAATCAAGAGTGATTGACATGGCTCAATTGTTGCTATATGTTTTCTGTTTTGCTAAGGCCAGATGACTAAATTCCAATAGTTTAGGTCATATCTGCAACCCTATAGGTCATATACTTTGCTATAGTAGGTGACTTTTAATGACTTAGATGATTACTTATTCATTAATGTTCCGACAAAGTAAATCGTTAACGTTTATCACTATACTGTGGAAATAAATAGTCTTATTTTCATGTCGGGGAATGTCTTATCTCAGACCTACTTGACTCCAAGCATTTACCTAAAAGAACTTCCGATCATTTCCAAAATTACCATGTACCTCTTCTCTGTCGAAGCATAGCATCGATTGGTTCTCTTCCCACACTTTAGAACATGTGTTGTCCTCTTTGCAGGGACAGCGCCCTTACTTCACGTGTTATGCTAAGAAGGCGCAAAAACAAATTTTCCTTGAAGTCACTTTTTGGCTTACAAGAAATAATTATCATAAAGGACAGATTTAACGACATCTTTCTACAGGCCCGTAGACAGCTAAACTGGATAGGGGTGGAGGGGGGGGGGCATGGATAGAAATATAGCTTTTACTATACCTATCAGATCTTACGAAATACTGTCAGTTATAAGATCTTCAAACACAATTTCGCACATTATTTGGGGGCATTGTCCCCGCTACCCCCTGCCCCCAGTGTCTACGGGCCTGTCTTTCTATAATTATAGATGCATAAATTATATTGGAAGCTGTTGCATTCTTTTGATAATTTCTACAGCTTCTCCCTAGATCTAAAAAATAGGGTGATTTTGCCTTCCACCGTTAATATACTCACCTTTTGTGTAGTAAGTATTTTAAAGCACCCAACGTAATTCACAGTTTTGAAGAGTTATTTTCTGAAACGTTATGGCATTTATTGTGAGACGACTATCAATTTTTGGCGCTGAAGCATTTATACGTTCTACCTTCCCTGCCTCCCCTTACTCTCCCTGTCTCTCCCTACTACCTTCCCTGCCTGCCTCCCCCTGTCCGCCTCTCCATGTCCCCTGCCCCATGCCCCCTTTCTTTCCCTGTTCTCCTCTCTCCCTGTCTTGTTATCTGCGAAGGAGCTTCTGTTTAGACAAAATATTTTTCCCGCGTTTGTATTTTAGGCCATCTGAAAAAATCTCACAGTAGTATAGAAAATCCAAGTTCAATCATTCGCTGCAGCTTACCGAGATGTTTACCCCTAAGCGGGATAGTCCTGGACGTGGAAGCCCATATGGAAGCCCTTACGATCGACAGAAGATGAGTCCATTTGCTAACGGTAGTAGCGTCACCAGAAGTGGCAAACCACGAGGAGGTTCTAGGCCCTCTCTTGGAATGTACGAAAGTAGTCTAGTTTCTGGGAAAAGGTATGACCGGAGTAACCTTCTCATTGTTTTAAATTCTTGAAAATTCATGTGGGCTAATTCTTACAAAAAGGCCTGTAAACTGCAGCATTCTTTGCTACGTTAGTAACTCTACGAAGCTTTGTTTCATTTAGCAATCTTTAGTGCTCTGTTTAAGCAGTTAACTTTGATTTAACGAAAAACTGTCACCATTTTAAAAAAAAACCCATGAATAATTCTCATGGCCAGAAACATGATACTGACTATTTGTTCATTTGCTCCTGTTAGTCTAGAGGGGTTAACAAAATTTGCATTGATTGTGAATTATACCTGATTTTTACGATTGTGAATAATTCAGTTTCATATGTCACAGTAATATTTGTCATACATAAGTGAATGTAATAGTAAGAAGTAAATAATGAAAGGTAGAAAGTAAAATTTAGAAAGTGAAAAGTAGAGAGTAAAAAGAAAGAGTAGGAGGGGAAAAGTTAAAAATTAAAAGCAAAAAGTCATGGTAAAAAGTAAAAAGTTAAGGTAAGAATTGTCAAGCAAAGTAGAGTTGAGAAGTAATGTCCTTTGCTGTATCTAGCCTAAATCATTTTAGCTATATTCATTGCTGTTTCATCAATAGCTGTATAAAGAGCTGCTCAATGTGTAAAGATCTCTTAAAAGATTTGCATCATCAGTAGTGGTAAAGTTAAGATTTGCATCATCAGCAGCTGTTGAACTTCATACATGCATTTGAATTGTTCAGCTATTTCTCCTTTGAATGGACTTTGTATATTATTAGAAATTAACTGAAATTGGTTGTACATTTTTGTTAGTTTAGTCCTTTTCATTTTGTAGAGGATTTCTCATTAAGAATAGAAAATGTTAAAACTTATAGGTGCTCTCTTGACTGGCACTCATAGAATAAATTCTCACTGCTAGCTAGGTGATTCTTTATGGTGCATGATTTACAAAACTTATCCATTAAAGAAATACATGTTTCAAGGCACTAACTGTTACATGATTAGTAGGTTTTAAGATTGTGGTTATTGTAGACCAATTAACTATAATCTTAATATTTTGTTTAGACAAATTCATATCTTAAAGGTACTGTTAGGTGTTGCAAATTTTGCTGCTTCATGCAGTCTCCCTCTTTGGCTTTTTAGCATGCTGTTTACGATGTGTATAAGCATCCAGTCAGATGCCTTAGTCTAGTCTTGTACCTACCACTGCATCAGTTATTGCAGCTTGTATTCCACAGTTCTGGCAGCTTTTAGAATATTTTGAGTCGGCTTGAGATCAGTTTCAAAAAGTGTAAAGTGACCTTGTTGCATTCCTGATTACTGTTGATTAATGTGGGATTTATAATTTTGTACAAATTTAATCATGTGATTATTTTGTTGTTTGTTTCATAGCCATGGAACTCCTATCACAATTGAAGAGGCACCAACACACAGAGTTATGTCTTATGGTAAAGCACTCCCAGTGCAAGTTTCTGAGTCACTTTCAAAAAGATCATCAGGTGATTTTTTCTCTATTGCTCTTTCGAAAGATTCTGTTAACCATTAGTGGCAGATCCAGACTATTGCGACTTATGCTCAATGCTCAAAACAAATTTGGTTGACTTTAGTTTCACTAAATCCAAGTGCATTTTTCCAAAAAAGTCTTTTATTCAGGCCTTTGCATGCCTGTTGTTAGCAATGGTCAAATACCCTCTTGACAAGATACCCCCACTCAAGACATTCACTGAAAACTCAGTCTAAGTTTCCCAGATCATTGGATTATTCAAAGAGCATTCTGTGAAATTTGCATTCCAAGCATCAGTGGCTTTTCTGCAAAAATAGATCAGTTTGAAATAATCAAAATCTATGTAGATCTATGCTCAATTATTGTAAGCCAATCAAAAACAAGGTTCAAATTTATGTGCAATAACAGATGTGAAATATGGACCGTTTGATAACAAGAACATAATAGCAGAACATCCTAGTTTAGCAGTGACCAGGTTCACAGGGTTGGCATATCCCCTAAATTAAAAAAGATTAGTATTATTGTGACTAATTATATGCTCATTCCATGTTTCAAAGAATTTTCATCAAGATCAAAGATTTGTTCTTTCAAAATAAGAAGATTTAAGTCATGTTTCAGTTGTAAAAAGTTACTAAGACTGTTTTTGAGGAAAAATCTTAAAAGTGGTATAAACTAACTTCTGTATTATCATTGTGCAGACATGCTGATTGCAAAGTTGTAAAAATCTCACCCTTTTATGAGTCCACAATGAATCTCACCCTTTTATGATGTCAAAATGCTACAAAGATGTCAGAGTGCTCTTTGTGACATTTTAATTGCAGAAAAACTTCAAAAGCTCTTATCTAAGTAAATGAGATTGAGTACCCAGCCATAATAAAGAAAGCTTGTGTTTGGGTTTGCACTAAAAAGTGAGAAACACTCTTGAATCATCCTTGTCTTCAAATTTGTTCAGTTTGTACTGTTTGGTCACATTCACCTATGAGCTTATCATATGCTCCAACTCAATTCAGTCCTCAGGTTTGTTTGATTCAAGATTGCATTATTTTGCTAGGTCAGATCACTTGCAAATTAGACATGAATGGTTGGGCTTGGTTAGTGAATGGAAAAAGTCTTCTTGTATGGAAATATGTTCCATCTTTGTTAAATAAGGTGAGTGAGGCATAATGGCTTGTGCATATATTTGAATGACCTTGGATTTAACTTGACTGATGTTGTTTCCAATAGCTGTTAAAGATAACCAGAGGACTGGTTGTGCCCCGGTGAAAAATCTTGCAGGATCCTGTATAGGATCCTGGCAGGATCCTCACAGGATGTTCGTAAAGGATCCTACAAGATCTTGTGCAAGATTCTGTACAAGATCCTATAGGATCTTATAGGATCCTATAGGATCTTAATAAGATCTTACAGGATCCTGATAAGAATAAAAGTATTCCTTAAAAGATCTTAATAGGATCCTATGTATTTTTTGAACCTTAGTGAAAAATCTTGCAGGATCCTGTATAGGATCCTATATAGGATATGTGCAGGGTCCTGAATAGGATCTCATCAAGATCCTGTAGGAAATGATTCGGGTCTTGGACAGGATATTTTTAGGATCCTGTATAGGATCTTTTCAGAATCTGTTTTGGTTCCGGTGTAGAGTCCATCCAGGATCCTGTATATGTTCTAATCAGGATCCTATATATGATCTTATCAGGATCCTGTATATGATCTAATCAGGATCCTGTATATGATCTGTTCAGGATCCTAATAAAGGATATTGTAGAACCTTCTATTAAATAAGAGTTCAAGAAGGAGCTCTGTAGAGAGCAAATCAAGTTTCATGTGATTCACATTTAATAAAGTCACAATCTTTGTTTACTACATCTTCATAAACTATGCTTAATTTACTAGTTTGTCAAGACATTTCTGTTTAATTGTTCTGTTTATAACCTCCCTCTGCTTTGCTGTACTTTACTCTCTTTAAACTGCATTGAAAGCACCTAGAATCAGAAAAGATTTAAAATTTCAAAAATAGAAGGTTCCAGATGAATCATAAGGATTTGAAATTGGTTTTAATCTTACATTGTAAAATTAAGTCTTGAAATGTCTTACGATGAAAATCTCGCAGAAGTTTGACTGTTTTGCATGGCCATGCCCTCTTTCCATCAAGTACAAGAAAGGATGGTGCAACGGACCAAAGGGGGCCACTGAACTCTTGTTTTTGCATGTTTACATGGCAGACAAACTTTTATTTGCATTTATGAACTTCATTACAGTATTATCCCTACTATAATCCTATATATTGTGAATATAATAATGTACGGCTGTACCTGGTCCCGGCAAGATATACAATTATAGCGATTTTAAAATATTTTCGGTTATGGCATGATTTGTCTTCAATCTACTATTTCCTTTGGCTCAAAGATTTTACAATTTTTGCAAGAAAGTCACATCTTTGGCCATAATACCAAGAGGTTGCGAAAAGCAACATTTGTTGATGTTAAGAATCAGTTGATGATGTTGATAAACTGAAATAGGTTCATAAAGCGTTCTACCATAGGTAGATCTTCGTACCTTGATAATCCAAGGTTGAAATCTCCACAGAACATTACTTATTTGTTTTCTTTTGTAAACTACAAAAAATCGTTTTTACAGACAATTATCATAACCTGGAGGACTGAGACCTTCAGTTACAGTCTTTTATGAAGTATATGTTCTAAACGCTTTTTTCTTATAGAAGAGAGCTAATATTTGTTTGAGATAAGCTGAAAACGTTATGACATTTGTGTAAAGTATTTTCCTTGAAGTCAGGGAAGCTACAGCCCCCCTGAAGCATCTCATTGTCGGAAAATGTGGACGAAATTTTGCTACTCTGTCGAGATTTTTAGGAAATATTGTCTATCGACAACCTCCTTATACGAATTTTGACTCTCACTGCGCCTGAATTATTAAAAGTAGCATGGTGGCATTTGGTTATAAGTATTTATGACCTGGGTCTGCGCTATCAAGCCTTTCAAGAAGACTGCAACCATTTCCTTGCAACCGATTGTTTGACAGAAACAAAAAAAATTGGAATTCAATGTGATTTCTAGTAATGGGGTGTCATCTAGATAATTGAGTGGAATTTAGCTTGTCGGCATTTAAAACAGCCCCAATTTTGGCAGTGGGTTGAAAGATTTGTGCCAGCCCTTTGTTTTAAAAGAGAACGCCTCTTGGATGTGCGTCGTGAAACTAATGAGGCGCCAGAAAATGATTCTCTGAATAGCATTCTTAGTAGTTTTTTACAGATTTTCCATAAGAACGAGCCCAAAGATGGCCAAAAAATTAAAAAATAATACTGATCACCCCCAACTTTAAGAAGCTACTCAAAATTTAGTTCTTTTAGTCGATAAGAAACCTATTTGTGGTTCAATTTTCAAAGATAATAGAAAGAATATAACTCCTTACAACTGATTAGGTGTTTGTTACGTTTGATATTCTGTTGCATTTGTTTGTGTTTTTTCCCATAAAGTAGCTTTTTAGTTCTTGGTATTAAAGCAAACTTTCAATAATAAATTCATTAATAAGGTTAAGAAAATTTTAACTGGTAGTTTGCTTAGTTTCTTATGAAAAATGCGCATGTTAGGTTTTGTGATGTAAAAACTTGGCCCACTAGGAACATTTAAAACGATACAAAGATTTCTAAACTTGGTAGCAAATTGGTTGTTGGCGGTTTGAAACAGTTTTTGAGCAATTTGAAATTTTAAAGTGCAATTTTCAAGGTTCACACAAAATCTACTCATTTAAAGTGTTTCCTGAAATTAGCCTTCTTGGCCTGGCCTTTACATGTTTTAGCAGCAGTTTTAGGTCAGACTCTAATTTTTTTTAAATAATCTCTGGTCTAGCACAGTACCAAAGAAGAATATTCATTCACCTGCTGGGCTGGATCCATTCTTCTCGATTCTTTTGCTTGCAATCTTGACTTTTTGAAAAAAGCGCCTGACAGATGTTCAGCATTTTGCATCTCTGGAAGTCTTTCTTCTGTTCTCCACCAACAGATTGTCTCGTTCAAAATGTGACCCGCTGGACTGCCAAGTGTCCTCTGATTTGTTGGTAAAAAAGGCATGCGACAATTCACTTCATTAGCGATGGTTATCGCAGTTTATGAATCCCCCTACCTACCAGAACACCGGTTACAGCACGATCACCCCTTGAAAGTCCCTGATTTTGAATAAGTCGAAAACAAGTTATTTGAAAAATATTCTTTCCAGTTCAACATCGTTTTCTTTAACCATATTTACCCGACAGCATATCTAATTTGGGGTGCAATGATAACCAATTTGTGCAATGACAAAACGGTTTTGTGCAGTGCTAAAATGGAAAGCTGCTCCGTTATAAAACTGGTGCTTTAATTATGGCGGACGAATTTTATGCCTTTTAGATCAACTTCAAACTTTTTGAACCTTAAAAAAGAAAATTGATAGCCTAAACATGCCCAGGGCCCCCAAGAGTTGGGGAAGAGGCAGGAGTGTAGCCAAGAAAATTGTTTAGAGGGATGAAGAGGCGATTTTTGCCGACAAAAAAGGGCGCGTTTCATTCTTTAAGGGTGTGGTCAAAAGATAAATACTCTTGCATGCTGCTTTTATTCCTTTCTGTTTTAAAGTTTATACTCTAAGGCCATACTTTGATAGTTCAACTACACAGAAATGTTGCAAAAAGGTTGGAGAGCGAGTGCCCAGAAAAAATCCTTACTGTGCCGACCAACAAATTGTTGGGATACCACACCCCCACCGTACCCCCCTATGCCGACGCCTATGGGAAGAGGGGGCAAACTGCAACAGTGAATCAACGTCTAGCATCTAAGGGGCCACATAAAGTAATGAGTTCCATTTTAAAAATGGAATTAATTCAACCTAAAAAGAGTATGCCTAAAAATAGTAAATCTATTTAAGCCAATACATGAAAGTGACATGAAGAAATAAATCTGAAATGTATTTAAAAAAGCTAAACTAAAGGGTGTGGTATTTATATACATCAGAGATTGATATGATCATATGTTTTGTTTTTCTTGCGCTTTGCTGCACCAAAAGTCCACAAAATCGATTGATATACACTTAGGATCAGGGGTGTAGTGCTAGGGGCTGAGCCCCCCTTGTTAATGCCAAAAACTTGGCAAATTTATATTTTTCTATTGTTTTTTGCAACTTTTTGTGCAAGAGCCCCCCTTGTTATTTTGATAGCACTACACCACCGCTTAGGATTCAAGATGTTGGTAGGATCCTGGTCAGAATGTAACAGGATCCTCTTTAAGATTCTACAGGATCCTATCGTTATATTCAAGATCCTGGCAGGATCCATGTCACAATCAAATAGGATCTTGGAATCGTTATGTGTAAGATCCTAATCTAGTTCTTGTAAGATCCTGCAATGTCACTATGGATCCTAGCAAGATCCAATTCAAGATCCTGTTTTAGAATTCTGTAAGATTTTTGGTAGGATCCTGTGTAAGATCTTCAGTTGTTTATCTCCTACAGGATCCTTATGTAAGATCTTGTATAGGATCCTATACATTTAGGATTCAAGATGCTGGAAGGATCCTGGTCAGAATGTAACAGGATCCTGTTTGACTTTGTACAGGATCCTATCGTTATATTCAAGATCCTGGCAGGATCCATGTCACAATCAAAAAGGATCTTGGAATTGTTATGTGTAAGATCCTAATCTAGTTCTTGTAAGATCCTACAATGTCATTCTGGATCCTAGCAAGATCCCATTCAAGATCCTGTTTTAAAATCCTGTAAGATTTTTGGTAGGATCCTGTGTAAGATCTTAAGTTGTGTTTGTCTTACAGGATCCTTATGTAGGATCTTGCATCAGATCCTATGCACACAGGATCTTGCAGGATTTTTGGTAGGATCTTGTCCAGGATCCTAAAAATCTAGGATCCTCCTAGGATCCTTGAAAATATTTGTTCAATATTTTTTTCATTACACATTTAGTAGAAGTTATTGCACAAGAGAGTTGAATATTGATATGTATCATTGAACATAAAATCTAATTGGAGCTGCATGGCATGCAAAGTTTAGAAGTAAAGGATGTTGCTCTAATTCCAAAGACGAGATATAACATGTAAAAGCACATTATTCTCGCCAGAAACTTTTCATATAACATACCAGAAACATATGATCATTCAAGAAGAATGTAATTTTAATTGAGACCACAAGTTTTGAAATAAATTTTTTGTCAGAGCTGTGCATTTTGATATCTGGAATGAACATGTTTTTTCAGAATATTTCTTGTTGTGAGCTGCCCCTTCCAACCTCAGACCTTTACCACAAAGCCAGACTTACCTGTGTCATGCCTTTGGACACTGGCGACGGCCAGCAGCACCCAAGAGATTCTATGGCATCAGTTGTCAATATATCTCCTGGAGGAACAATCAGATTTTGGCCAAATATTGCAAATCCAAGCATATTTGTTGAGTCTTCTGCTGGGCATCGTGGCAAGGAATTTCATTGTCTTGCTGCGCTACCAGTGAGTATTTGTCATTTTTGGGGGGACTGGGGGGGACACGTGTCCCCCAGTTCTCAGCAGAGTCGATTTTTTAATTTGTCTAAATTCGATGAGCAAATGTTGGGGGAGGGGTAATATTTTGACACCATACTTTTTATGATGTAATCCTATGATTTTCAAACTGCCAATTTTCAAACAAAAGTTAGTCATAGTTGTTCCCTTCGGATAAAATTGGCGTTCCCTGTTGGTAAAAGGGCATTTTCTGGTGGTTAAAAGGGTGTGGCTTAAATTTTTTTTATTTGTCCCCCCCCTCAGAGCTTAGTGGCCGGTGCGGCCATTGCCTTCAATCAAAGAATTGACGAAAGTAACAACCTACACACATCCAATAATGAAGTGTGCTTGATGCTGAGCCTCAAATTATTCACTAAACTCTATAGTTAAATATGTTCCACTCTGAACATTCATAAGAATTACAAAGAAATCATAGCAAATGGAACAGGTATAAATGAGGAAATGCAGAAAAAACTCCATGTTTCTACAATGCTTCATAGAAATATCTTTTTGGAAGTAAAGTTGGGTGAGATGCCTTTACAAATATCACTTTAATGAATTTATAGACCTCATCCCCTTCTAAAGGTGATTTTCCATGAAACCAAGAGGCCAGAATTATGAGCATATATTGCCATGAAATATGCCTGAATAAAAAATAATAAAGTGAGAAATACGCATGCGAGAAGTCATTATATTTTTTCAGGTTTAAAAGTTGCAATTTCAATGTGACTATAAAACATTTAATTGGAAATTTTATGTTTGAGGCTCAGGATTTTTAGTTACTATAGTAGTGTCATCTCTGAAGGTGACTGTCTTGCAGAATTCTAATGAATTTAAGATGAAGTCTAAATTCTTTCATTACATTTTTATTTCATAATTGTTAATTTGATTTTTATCATGTTTCAGCCTCATGGTTGCATTTTGATGACTGCTGATGGCGAGGTTCTTCTGGTCTCACCCAATCAAGTAACTTTTTTAGATTTTTGAAGTTTCAACTTTTACTGCCTGAGCAGCCTGGGTTTAATGTTTCTCAGTTAATTATATTCATTCCATAATTAGATTCATTATAGCATCATTTTACAGGTTCTTTAGTATTATGATGCTAAGATAATTTTTATGTTGTTATAAAATCTATTAAGGGTACCAGAAGCATGTAAGTCTGGAACCACATTTTTGAAGGAAGGCTGTACACTTATGGTTGTTGACATCTCAGAATTCAGGAATATTTATCATAAACAATGTCATTTTCCATAATAGGCTGGTGTAATATGTCGCTCTATCATTGAGTCAGCTGGGTTGCTGTCAGGAGTTGGTCGCAAAATGTCTTCATTTTTATTTGGAAATGCATCTTCATCGGTTGCCCTGGTTAGTACCATTTCAGATTTTGAGCTTCTCTTTAGATCGAAATTTTAAAAGAATTATGCTCGAAATAATTGTTTAAATATTCTATTGCAACATGGACAAGCTGGCCAAGGACTAAAAGAGGTCATTGTATACAGCCTTATAAAGCCATCTTTTCTTTTCGAATATGAATAACTTTTCTATGCATAACTTTACATTTCCTTTCAATGTGAATATGACAATGTTACTCCAGCTCGCAACGTTATCGCTTTTGGCGCGAAAACCGATGACTTGAGTGACATGTTATGTCTTTTAGCTTTTCGTTAGTTTTGCATATTCTTCTCCACTTCACAAACGTGAAGCTTGAAGAACGTTAAAGAAAGACGAAATTAAAATTGTTAAATATTTTCCCATTTCTGATAATGTCTAAAGGACGTTTTTCCTACCTTAGGTATCAAAATAAGACAAAATGTTATTCTTGTCCCAAGCACGTTTAGTTTTACTGGAATATTTATGTTTTTGCAGCATTTGCCCAAGCTTTCTGTTGCACCTAAAGGTGAAGCTACCAATAAAAGGTTAGTTAGGCCGGATTTATCAAGTCATATCTGTTACTTTCACTTTTCGTTGCATAGCTGTTGCACATGATTATTTTTTCGTTATGCAACTTAGTTTTGATTTTTGATGTCATAAATTTTATAGAAGTTGTTGATATGTAGTTTTGAATAAAAATTTGTTCCAGGCAGTATTATTCGCTGCTAAACGGCAATTTACAAAAGTGGGAGTTAGCAGAAGGACGCGAGAAGGTATTTTGTTTTCTTTGTTGTTAAGCTTTGCTTATTAAAAATGTGCATTTAAATAACTTGTTATGTCGTTTACTTTTTTAATGTAATTTGCGACAAATGTCAAATGTTTTTCTTGTATTTTTATGGCTATTTTGAGCTTCGAAATCTTAATTTAATAGCAAGTATTTCTTTTAGTCTGCACTGTCATAATTCTCTAAATTAATCATTGTCAAATAAATTTTCTTCCATTAATAGCTGCTTTCGCAAATTGACCTTCTTGACAAATTAGAGAAAGAGATTTTCAATGTAATTGAGGTAAACAAATTTGCTATTTCTATAGAAACGGAACAATGTTTTTTTCAAGATCTAATCTTGTGCAAAACAGCAGGGGTTTAGTGAAAACATTCATTAGAGTATAAGTGTATTTGTGGCATTTGGTTTTAAATTGTTTTTGCTTTGTTAAATGGGTTATTTGCACTACGCCACGGAAGATGCCTGTTTTTCTCGCACAAGAATTTTAGAAAACAGATTCTTGAATGTTATCTCTACGATAGTATCACAATTATCATTGAACGCCCAGATCACAATTTGTCCGCTTGCAAACTCATAAATGCGATTCTTGCTGGTCAGAATTGGTCTTGTTTTCCCAATAAACCATTGCAACCAACCCTCCTTCGCAGAGCTTCGGTTGATAATCTGTGATTTGGCGTTTCTTTTTAAGCTTAAAAATCCCTACGAACCAACAATATCCTTGCTTTTAGAAATGAATAATTTTGTCTGCAGTATACAGTTGTTCGATATCTTTAAATATTTAGACTCTTATTCTCGCTTTTAACTTTCAGATCGATCGTGATGCCCTGGTCAAGATCGAACCACTTGACATTACGTCATCAGTGTAAATTCAAATGTTTATTTCTATGATTGTTGTTAATCTTTTTCAGTCTTTCCTATCACTTTTACTGGGAGTAAATTGTCATTTATTTGAATAATGATGGAGAATCACGTCTTAGTTGGGTACAGCCTACAACCTCGGGCTTCTGAAGCAAAGCAGTTAATACAAAAATACTAAGTGCAAAACAGTTACTGTATTATGATCTTACTGTTGTTGCTTTAATACATTGTAAGACTGATTAATCTTCGTGTTTATCAAATAAGAAAACTTCCTTGTGATTTCAATGGAATTTAGTTTTATTTTCCTTGCATTTATTCTTGCTGGTTTTAGATTTAACCGTAAGGGCATTATAGAGGATCAAGCATAAGTTTTTGGGAAGGGAACTCAACGAAATGAACCATTTGAACAGACCTGCTGTTGTGTAATAGCTCATACGTTTTTTTCAAGTCCCAGCCTTCACAAATTAGAGCCAAAATTGAAAAATTGCTCGTTTTCAGAACCAAATTTAAACTTCATTATAGATATAGTGTGACGATTTTGGCCAGCGTAGTGGTGCGAATAATTGACGGACTCAAGGTCATCTTGCTACTCGGTATGTCATTCAAAGAATTAATTTCACATTTTTGCATTTTTAGCGTTCTAGGTAGAAGTTTTAAGTCTAGTCTAGTCTAGTCTAGTCTAGTCTAGTCTAGTCTAATCTAGTCTAGTTTAGTCTAGTCCAGTCTAATCTAGTCTAGTCTAGTCTAGTCTAACCTAGTCTAATCTAGTCTAGTCTAGTCTAGTCTAGTCTAGTCTAGTCTAGTCTAGTCTAGTCTAGTCTAGTCTAGTCTAGTCTAGTCTAGTCTAGTCTAGTCTCATTCAGCAAAGTTTAGTCAAATTTAGTATAGTCTAGTTCTGTTTAGTTTAATCTAGTTCAATCTAGTGTTGTCTTGTCTAATCGTATCTAGTTTTGTTTAATTTAGTCTAGCTCAATCGTGTTCCAAATAGTCTATATAAATCTAATCTAGTCTTACTTAGGCTAATGTAGTCCATCTAAATCTAGTCTAATCTTGTCTAGTTCAGTCTTTGTATCATCGTAAGTGTTGACACATATAAATTCATATGCCAAGTGACCTCTTTTCTTTCGATATTTTATCTGTCTTAATCATTCACTGACTGCTGTATGTTTACTGACTCACTGACTCTCAGTGAGTAAGTTCTATGCAGCATGGCCGACATACTTCATGTTTTGCCACTTGGTTGAAGTGTTCTGTGTTCCTATGTCAGCCAACACTGCTTCGCTCACCGATTGTACAATCTCTTGAATAATTTTTCACTTGAGTAGTTTATAGTTTTAAAGAGAACAACTCTTTTATAGATGGTATCGGAGCTTTGACTTAACATTATTTGCCGTACTCATACCGTTTATGATGCTCAGATCATTAATGTTTCAGGTACCTTACAATCATCTGGCAAAGATATTGCCAGCAGTTTTGACAGTCTTGTGCCTTTGGAATATGCCATAGAAATCGAGGTATTGTTTTTGTAATAAAAGCAAACCATTTGTAGTAAAAGCCTTTTTGTTGAATTGAAATCACATAGCATATCCAATGTGGAGCAGGCCTGGCTAAAATAAAAACAAATAAAATGCTAAAATTAAAACAAATAAAATGCCAATCAAGAATATGATTTTAGATGTTATATTCGTAAATTTGAAGTTGTATAAAACTGGAAAATTTCAAGGCTGATCTTGAAAGATCTTCTAGAAACCCTCTAATCACGTTGTTTTCATTAAATCCTACGGTTTTCCTCTTGTGATTTGAATGTTACTTTTTACACGTTTTTTGAGAATGATTTATCCTCTTCATGCATATCAGATTACTCTTAACGATTTTGAAGTTTTTTTATCAACTTCTATCTAAACCGTCTCAAGTCTCTTAACCAACCCCTTTTGTTATGTTACCTTAAAGGGTAACATACCCTGGTGGATATGTTACCCTTTTACTCATAGGGTTTAAAAAACATCCTTCTTTGACAAAGATGGTCCTTGACCAATCGTAAGAATTGCATAAGACTGCACTAGAATCGTTGGTCATACTTTTGTAAGGATTGCATAATATAGCATTAGAATTCTTTTCTCCACTCATAAAGACTGCACGAGATTACATTAGAATCTTTGGCCGTCCTTTGGTAAAGATGAAATAGAATCTCATTAATATCCTTGATAAATCATTTCTTAAGGACTGCAAAGAATTGCCTAAGAATTCTTGAAGTCGTGTAATGTGCCCCCCCCCCCTTCAGAGGTTGTCCAACTGCGAAAGCTTTGTCAGCAAACTTTATTTTTTCTAATCTCCCTATAAGGCTCCTTGCACTACCTGTTTAGATTTATCTAGAATAAACAGTTCCCTGTCATTTATCTTTGCTGCTGATTTTCAGGATGAATCTGCAGTGCCTGAATTCGAATTGGTTGTTCCACCTGGCAGTTACCAAGTATTTGTTTTTAACAGAGATGTTATAACTGTTAGCCCAGGTATTGTGTTTGTTTGTCAATCACTTCAAAGAAAGGAATTTTTTATTTTCTTGTAGCTTATAAAATGTCAGAATGAAGGAATAGGCATTTTTATGAGCTCTTTTGTAATTTGAATTCTGTTTTTATTGTTTAGATTTTTGCATCAGCTGGTTTCTGCTTTGATATCCTGCTACGAGCTTTTCACTTTTTAGGGCCTGTATTTCATATGTAATAACTCCAATCTGATAGAAAAGTATTTGTTCCTCACAAAGGTTTGATCAAGGCCCCAAAACCTAGAAGATAGCGATTTTGACTTTTCAATTAGCAATGATGTCATAAATAGATCATAGATCATGTGTACTCACATGGTATCACCATGTCGAATAGTCTTTGTCTCGTAATCAAATAATCACCTTCAATTCTAGAGTTTTTTAATTATGCTTTTATTCAATACTTTTCATAGTTTCGGAATACAAAAACACATCGGTTGATGTCAAATTTCCAAACGAATCTTCGAAAGTTGTCGGCGGTGGTACGTAAATGCTTATTACTGTTCCTAACAAACACGCTAATAAACTTCGTCTACAGCAAAAAAGCAAAAAGGCAGGCTTCACTCACTAACAAATTAATTTACTTGATGGGATAGGCCGGCTGGTGTCCCTCAGCATCCGCTCTTTTAATGAAATCGGCACTGTTTTGCGAAGGTCAGTATAATCTTACAAGCTGTCGTTTCTCTTTTATGTTCAAGTCACCGAAACACGTTTAGATTAGTTGAAAACAACAGGGAATAATATCGCCAAATTCCAGTAACTACTTTTAAAAAACTATTTTAGCTAGTAATGTCATTAAAAAATTATTTTAGGTTGCTACGGAACAGATGCTGTTTTTCTGTCAAAGAGACATGGTTTGTTCATCGTTGTTGCCTATCACAAAGATTCTCCATCCAGGTAAAAACCAGAATGAACTTCATTTTCACTTGATGTGTCCATTATATAAGCAATTAGAAAGTACATTTTAGAATCAATTTTTTCGAAGTTTCCATCAAAAAGACGATTAGAACTTTTGGTTGGTTGATCAGTCAATAGAGTAATGTTTTTCTGGATAAAATTGATTCCAAGAAATACCTAAACACATTAATAGGTACTGAGATTTCTATGCATCAACAAAAACATGTCCACCTCAGAATCTTCACTAACTGGGGTTTATTATTTCTTTCAAAATCCTAGATCTATTCAAATTATATTCTTTGTTGATTCAAGTTTTCAAAATTGTGAACTTAATAATATCTTACTGTTACTGAGGATTTCATATATGCTTTTACGCTGTAAATTCTGTACTTTTGATATGCGTTTAATTATGTAATTGTTGTATTGCAATTAGGTAATGGACCATCTTGGGCTCGATACCATTTGCAAAAGTTTGCCTTTTTCGTTAATCTGTTCCTTCAAAATAATGTTTCTCCCTTCCAGTGGCGTGGTGGCCTGGAGGGGCGGGGAGGGGGAAGGGGCACGTGGCCCTCAATGACCAGGAATCAGGGAGCACCGAAGGCGATCGACCTCTTCAAAGGGACGCAAAAACTCCCTCGAAAAAAATGTGAGCGAAAAAAACAGCTCAAAATAGCTGCTCTCTGGAGAGGCGCAAGTTTCGATATAAAAACGTCTTGCGTCTCTTTCTTCCCTCCTCCGCACTCCTGCGCCACTCCACCTTCTCACCAAACCGTTGAAAACCTTTGATTATCTGGAACCCAGGGTAGGGCCAGGGATGCGATAGCATCCCAGCATCCTTTGCATTCCACCATCGCTTATCAAATGTCCATAAGTAGCAAACTGATCTGATTGATCTCACTTAAGTTCATGTGAGAAGATTGCTTAAAATCGATTTAACCTAATATATTCGATTAAATTTTTTCTCACTGCATCGCATTTTCAAGTAAGTTAATAAACATCGGTCTTAGAAGCACAGGTAATAGGTGACTGCTTCCCTATAAGAATAAGTTCTTTATTACGGATATTATTTTGAGTAACTTGAGTAAAAGGTTCCAGTAGATGCGATTGTCTTTAGCGAGCGTTATTTTTGCAGTATAGTCTACCTGAATTTTGTCATCATGAAGAAAAGCATTCAAAACCCATAACAAAAAGTTGAGCTTCTAAATGGCGGTTTTGCTGATCTGCTAATGGATGTTAAATGTCGCCCTTAATGGATTTAACGCTTTCTAGCCTTGGTAATGTTTTTGCAAGACAAACTGAATTACTCAAGGCTCATATTCGGCACCGATAGTCTTTGCCCAGTCTGTGTAGTTTTCCTCTTCTTGTTTGATATTCCTTAAACACTCTGTTTATCTCTTGGTTCATACGTTTAGGCAATAGCATAAGCCAAGTGCCATTCTTTTCTCAACACTAGTGGCTATCCGCTAGTCAGGCGATTTCAAAATCTGTTTGGGGCCTGTGAAAGTTTGCATCACCTACAATTCGCATAATCTCTTTGTTTTTGAATTATTTATCACCTTCAGGACCGAGTAATCTGCCTTTTGATAACCAAAGAATGCCTGTTATTAGATGTGGTTGAAATATTAAGCATATTCAAGTAAAATTCAGACTGTCTCTGTTGGTTCTCGCCAATTTTATTGGTTTGAAAGTGTTTTTGTGTGAAAATTTTGCTTTCAATCTTTTAGTGTTTTGCAAATGGAACCATTGTCAGAAACAAAAGCTTCAGAGATGGCAACGTCCAGTGCATCAATGGTTTGTTTCCTTATATTTTGCTTATTTAGGAATACCAATTGCTAAGTACAACGTTTGTATCCAGGAGAGATGTTCTGGTTATTCTATGCTAATGAAACACCCGTTTGTGAAGGTCAAAAAATCTCAAACATACTGAAATGATAAGGTTGATTTGATCACATTCTTTTGATTCATGTGACCTATTCTTTATAAGATGTTTATTCTAAAGAAGGCCTCGAGGGTAAAATATATGTTCTAGCATCCTGTACATTCTCAGTTGGTGCATTTATGCTATATGATATTACAGCCAGAAGGTTGAATTCAGCCTAAAAATTTTAATTTGGATTGCATTGTTATTCCTCCCATTCTACTCCCGCTGATTTAATTGGCTTGATATCCTGCAAGATGCTCGCCAGAGAAATGTTTTGAGTCGTTTAGGTAGTCAAAGTCCCAACCTAAATCAATCGCATTTTGATAGAATTCAAATCATTCACATCATGGCAGTGGGTTCTCTAATTGCAACCCTTGTCACCTTCTCATGGCTCACAACAACAACAACAAAAACTACAAAGGACTGAAAATTAACTTTCAGTCAGAGCAAACTACCATGAAATATTCATACTATTAAAATGATATGGATCAAGTAACTAAAATCAAATGGGCAATTAATAGATTTTCTACTTGAAATTGCAATGCCTGCAATTTTTTTGCATTTGCATCCTTCCTAATGTTTTAGCTGGAAGGAATTTATATTTTGTTTTTGCTAAGAGCGTAGTTGGTACTAAATTTGGTACAATTTTCTAACTTAAGATTTTAGAGGTAATTTATTTGCGTTCAGCAAGAACCTTTGCATACAGAACTTTTAATCTTTTTATAACAAAGGTATTTCTCCTACGTATATCCAGGATATTACTGAAGTTAGTGGCGCAAGGGAGTCTGGAAATAGCGAGAAGAACCTTGAGGATGTGATAAGAGAGGCATTTTATAAACACTGTGAAGATAAAATTGTACGTATGTTTTACATTAAATTTGATATTGCTTGCAGTTCTTGGCTCATATGCTTGTGCAATGTGCGTTCTTTCATACACGATTAAAGACCAGCGATGAATCAGTTGACTTGTAGAACAAACCTGCAAAGAAGATTAATCAGGAAACCAAGATGTTGAAAATCAGATCAGACATATTGGAAACAATTCCATATGGAATTACAAAGGTGTACAGGGGAGGTGTCCTCGTTTAATGTTTTATGCTCCCGCCTTAAAAACGCTAAGTTAGTCCAAGTAGCTTCCAACTCCTACTGCTTCTTCGTTAGTCCAAAAAGCACAATTTCCTGATAGTTTTTTATTGTTAGGAATATTTACTCTTGTTACGCTGTACTATTATTACTCACTAGTTCGAAGCCACGGAAATCATATCAATGATTCCGTCAGAAGCCAAGATCAATGAAGTAGTAGTTGGTATAGGAAGAGAGATAATTGATGCTATACCAGCCTCGGATCCACGCTGGGCCCAGCATGCCCTTCAAGGTTGGTTCAGCTTGATTTCAGTATTCTCAATTGTATTCCGCGATTAACATAAAGATTACATACACTTTCAGTTTATTTTTGTTTCATTGTTGCTATTATGTTCTTATCAGGCACTATTTCATTCCATATCCTTTGAAATGGTTTCACAATGCATTGCTGTTGGGGCTAAAAATTTTTGAAGGGTGGGAGAATGCTTGAGATGCTGAGAGAAGAACGAAGCATTTGTTACTTCCCTTTCAATACTCCTCTTTTTTTAAATGAAATTGGATATAATTTTAAAATTATCAGGAATGCTGCGCCACCCTAGACCCCTAACCCGTTTCTGACGTCCTTGAAGTATTCATCTTTTTCTTTTAATTTTTAAGTCTTATTAGTAACAGATATTTCAATAGATCAAATTCAACCAGCTACTTCGCTTCGTGATCTTTATCTCACTCATATCTTCTCGTCGTAAAGATTGCTACAGTTAGCTAAAAATCCTTTCAATTTGTTCATTTTTTTATATTTAAACACGGGAGCCGCTTCAATCTGTTAGGAATGTTTTACAAGAGACCGTTTTTAAGAGAAGTTAAGATAACCAAAAATGAATCTAAAAAAAGTTCATAGCAAATTCAAAGAAAAGGAACAAAAAAAGTGAAAAAAACTTATGCAATGTTTCCTTCACTTGTTTATTACAAAGAGAGGGTGCGTTTCTGCTCAATTGGTTCCGTAGGTTAGGTCCACGGAATGAAGTAGAAATTAAAGCCAGTAAATCCTGCAATTCATTACCAATTTTCGATTAGACTATTTCCTGCTAAAAAAAACATTTCAGGCCACTCTTTGCGTCGAATTAAAACTGAAATCCCTGCCAAAACTTCGTATACTACACAAAATCTTTGCATTTCTACTGTCCCGTTCTCTCTGAAAACAAACAAGTTGAATAGCTATCTATTTAACTCTATAACCAACATTGTTTTGGTGGAGAGGGGCTGAGTAATCGGTCCTTTCTACCGGAAACAGTTAATTTCAATATTTTAGGCCTTATTCTTCCTTAACAGGTGCTGGGCAGGCGACTACTGACTCTGTTCTGATTATGAGGCAGTTAAAAGATAAAGAACGTGTGTTTGAATACTTCCTCAAATTCTTAGATGACGTTGAAATTTTTGACAAGGTATCAGATCGTAACCTGTTTTTCTACCATCGTAACCTGTCGTTTTTACCATCGTAATCTGTCGTTTTTACCATCGTAAACTGTCATTTTTTACCATTCATTCAATGTTTCTTGTCTTTGATTTTGTTCATAAAATCAAAACTTAGTTGAATAGTTTATAGCTATAGTTTTTACCATCTAAGATTTTTTAACATTGTGAATTTTCGCCATTCGTTGCTTTGAAAAACCTATTTTATGTGGACTCGAACAGTGTGCTTATCGAAATGTCCTTTCAGTATCATTAAGAATTTTTGCATCATCTGCTGATGCTCAAATTTGCTTTAGAATTTCTTTGTTTTCATTAGATCTTAAAGTGAATGACCTAAATGAAAAGAGGAGATCCCCAAGCGTTTCCTGTTTGAAAAAATAGATGTAATAATCATAGAATCAAAATGCATTAACCTAAGTTCATAGAAGAGTCTCTTTCATAAAAAAATCACTACAGCCCATGCGGTCTTTGCTGAATTGCAGTGAACTGAATGTTATTTGCAGAGCTGGCCTTTTACCTTAGGTCATTCATTTAGGACCAAATTTTTTTGCTTCATATGATCTGTGCTCTTTTCATATTTCTTGCATTCCTGAATTAGAAAATTTGTACAAAATCTTATATATCGTCGAGAAGAATTACTTTGATCAAATTGAAAGCTTCTGGCAAGTTTCAAGTGGAAACTTTTTGTGATTCCCAGTTTTTATTCAGGTTTTCTGAAGACTTTGTGTGTACAATAGATGGCGTCCTATGTTCGTTGTGACTTTTTAAATAAATAGGATCCCAGAACTTGGCAGAAGATAGCCGAAATAACCTTATCTCTCAGACTTTAATTTGTTTTCAATTGAATCATCATTGTAATGCTATTAATGTTGCTTTGCAGCTTACTATTTGTCACGATGAAAACAACCACTGTTACACAAAATTTAAATTATGTGAGCAAGCTGAAAAACTGAATGCAGCCCAAGCATTGCAGACGATCAATCTGAAGTGAGTAGAGTTTAGGCAGGGCCGGCCAAACCGGAGTTGCAAAAAAAGTTTATACTTGAACCTTGCAAGACTTTTTCTGCTTAAAAATATTCCTATGGGGCATGGCGACGAAAAAACGTTTGCATTTAAAGGCACTATGTTCCACCGCATTTCAATGACCATTTAAATTTCCCATTAGGTAAACACTGAGCCGGTTCCCATCCCATCGTCCTTACGATTCGGAAACCAGCATTTATTTGTTCACGCTGCAGCTATTGAAGGGTTCCTATGCCATCCTGTCAGGACTCTCTTCGGTCTTCAAACGTTTTTCATTCTTTTCAGGAAATGCGTGACTTTGAAATCGTTTGTAATATGAGCCCTTGTATGAGTTTATGTTAGAAGATTCGAGATACCTTTTATACTGTATTTGATGTTTGTTACCCTTTGCAGAGAGGATGCCTTGATTCAAGAAGTAATCAAATCAGTTGTCCACCAACGAGATATTGATGTCATGGGCGATCACCTTACAGATCAAGACATCTTCTTTAGAGAGGTACTGGGAAGGTTTAACAATACTTTATGAATATATATAGCAAGCAAATAGAGGAAATTTTATGTATATAAATCCATATTAAACGCACATTAAAGGAGCACTGGGCCTGCCCCTGGGACTTGTGTGGCTCACGACGTCCCTGCTAAGTGAAACAAATATATTTTTCACGACTTTATGCATCATCTTTTTTATATTTCAACATTTATTTCAAGTATATATCATGTTTTAGCTTGATCTTAGGTTTTTCAGGAACTAATGTAACTCTGGCTCACTTTTCTCATGTAAATGTTCTTTAAGAAGATACTTGCTTTTTGCTTGCATTCAAAACTCATTAATCAGCATTTACGACTTCAGAATAACACGTATCTGAATTGAAAGTCTTCCTGATCCTGCCTGGTACGTAGACTGTAATGTCCTGGCTGGGATTCCATTAAAGCAATCCTATCGATGGAAATTGAGGGCCTTTAAGCTAGCACAAACATCTATCCAAGAGAAAATTGCGTGGTTGTTTTAGGTCCTCTCATGTTGCCAAACGTTCTGTCAGTTTACTCCGAACACGCCTCATCAGCATGTCTGCTAGATTTCTCAGATTATAACATGCCGAAAGACATAAAATGAGCGACTGGTGAGGGCAGAACGAGAAGGAGTCAGTTTGAGACGTAGGAATATGTTGGCGGCCTGTTTGTTCGCATCAGGTTGTACCTTCCTTTGAATTGCTCAAAAAGACTTCAAAGGAAACCCTGCCAAACTTTAGCGATCACGAATCACACGCGCAGTCAAACGTTTCACGCTAATTCTTAGCAATAATCTTTGCAAAATTCTTAAAGCTTTGCCCTCCATTATTGCAAACGATTTGCATAAATTAATGTCGAGCAATTGGAGAGATCAACGAAGATCTTCTTAAATTTCATGTATTTGTTCCTTCATATTTCGACTGAGGACTTACTGAAGAAAACCGTATCCACTTTTTGAACATCTGGCCTCTCTTGACCAGAATATTATCTTAGCTCATATCATAATCACAAAACAGTAGCTTTATAACCTGATGTTCTGTTTAATTCCGTAAGTGGGTGAATTGCTTATAAAAATGTTCAATGCGTGTAGCCGTTCGGTATATCTTACAAAGATAAGATATTAGATAAATATTTTTATGTAGAAAGCTAGTTCATAAAATTGCTCATTGCATAAACTATTGGCTTTTGGTAAATTGGTAAATCTTGGAACGACAACCGTTATACAAAGTTAAGAAATGTAACCTTAAAAATCTTTCAAAGTGTTTTCTTAATTTTACAGGAACGGTATGGGAAAGCAACACTGTACCCCATCTCCCCTAAAAATGTTGGTTTTAAAATGTCGTTACTATCTAAAAGATTATTTTGTAAAGGTACGTTCGCAAGAGCAATAACTGTAAAAATTTATTTGGGAAGTCCAAAACCAAAACAAAACTAGGCCGGGCTTACTGTCCTTCTGAGATTAGGAAGTCATGTGTTCTTAGGATTTATACATCACCTGCTAGTGTTCATGATTTTTCAAATATTTGTATTTTCTGAGTGACAAGTTCTCTGTAATTCAAGACGTAGAGGAATCACAAGGCAAGGTCGCATTGAGAGGAAGAACTTGGACACTGCTCGATAAGCATAGCTTCTCAGTTTTCTACCCAAAAGCTACCTTCAAAAGCTAGTTATTAGCAAATAGAAAATACAAGTATAATTACTTGTTTGCAAGCATTGCGGTTCATGATTTGAATGGATTGTAATTTATTTTTGAAATTTGATTTTAGGTTAGCAAGATAAGCGAGTTGTTCCCCGCCCTGGTTGTTTACGAAGAAGAAGCACTGAGTCAATTTACGTCAATGAAGAAGCAGATTGAGCTCATATCTGACGTAAACAACATCATTATTGTAAGTCTTCCTCCTTCTTTTGCTTATTGATAAGATTTTTGTTAAACATCATAGCTCTTGTTTCTAATCTTCCTAGTAGCTTTAGGCTCGAAGAGACCGTCTCTGCTCTGATAATTCTAGTTCATTTTTGCTATAAATTCAATCATCCTGACTTGTTCAATGTTGTATGCAGTACTTCGTAAAATAGATATCATTTGGGCAGGTTACATAAGAAAACACAATTCCCATTTTTTATATGGACATCCAAATCAAACATTAGATCCAACTTGTACAGATAAACAGGAAACTTTATTACGTTGCCATCAATGAAAATGTTTGTAGGTAATAGAAACAAATACATTAAGATAAAAAGCTGTCACTATCAGTGGCCTTTTACTGCTTTAACTGCAAGACACAAGCCTTCTCCACCATTTTCTTCTACGCCTACTCTTAAGGCCTTCGAAATCTGACTTCAGCTCTTGAATGTTGTCTCGAAGCTGGCGGACTTCCTGTACCAGATCCAATTTAGATTGCTCCTCTTCTTCCAATTTTTGCCGCAAAGAAGCATTCTCTCTCTCTAGGCTGATGATGTCGGCTGCAAAGTCTTCATTACTTTTTTGAAGGGAATTAATATCAAAACCCAGTGACATGATGTGCTCCATGTGTTTCTCTGTTTCCTCTACGCGGCATTGGCTAACTCTTAAGCATTCCTTTTCAAACAATCCTCTCTCTTCTTCAAGTTTTGAAATCTGAAAATTTAAGGTCTTCATTAAGTTTACTCGAGTTAGTGATTGAAGATATCTCTAGTCCTGTCGCAGGACGTGGCTTGACTTGCTAAGAAAGGGTGCTTTCTCTAATACTGCAAACTGTTTTTACAGGAACATTTGTTTGGAATAAATATATAAAAGATTGTTTGCATCAAGTAAATACATTCGAATCCTTCCTTTTTTACCATTTATTATTCTACTTGTATGGAATTTGCATAAAGGCGTTTGAATAGATCTATTTGAGATAGCAGAAGTGTTTTCATTCGTTAAAACCAATTTATCAAACTTTAAAATCGATCAACTTGACATGAAATTTTCCTGTTGACAACTGGTCTCAATTAGGCAGCCTCAAAATATAAAAGAAGATAGCCGAAAATTACTCGTGCCACTTCGTAACATGCCCAAGAAAGAAGTAGCTTATAATGACGACCATAATCGTTGGAGGCTTCTATTTGTTACCGATATTGTAAATCAATTTCGTTTCCCTTCATCATTTTTGTCATTAGAAACAAAACATCATACCTTTGAAGTCCATCCGGCCTCTTGCAGGTCGGCCTTTTCTTGCCATTGCCCCAGACTTGTCGAAAGTTTTTCAACCTTCAATGTCATAGCTCGAAATTGTTCATTAGACTTATTCGCTGCCCACTCCATGGCTTCCAATTTCTCCTCCATAGCAGCCATTTCACTTTTAATCTTGTTACCCTTCTCTGTTTCCTCAGCTAGAGCCCAGTCCTTTTCCTCAATCACCCTTAACTGTTTAGCAACAACCTCTTCAGCTGAAAAGGCGCGTTTCTCCATTGCTGCCAGATTCTTAAGAAGCTCCTCATTTTGTTCAACAACTGACTTTAGCTACAAGATTGCACAGAAACAGTTTAATTCATTGGTTCAGTGAGAAGATGTGAGAATACGATAATGCTACATCGATGTTAGCTCAAAATCCACAAAGACTCATATCTTATTCGACTTTCTTGATTAGGTAACTAGTACTGGGTAACTCTTTCGTTAAATCGCAACAAAATAAAGCTATAGCCTTGATTATCCGATCTGTAAATTATATATGCCTGCGTCTACGTTTTGAAACTTTAACGTTTGGGAAAAAGTCAGTGCTTCTTATTTGCACGTTTCGTTCAATTGTTTTTACAAGATAAGGTACTGGGTAAAGGCAAAATCTTAACTGAAGAAGAGTTTCTTAAAAACATACTTGTATATCTTTCTTTTGAAGTCTGCTTTCCACTGATTTTTCTTGTTCCTCAATGATCTCTTCCAATGAATCAATCACAGCTTGGCTGCTCACAGCTTTTGTCAATTCTCTCGCAACCAGTTCTTGATTTTCTGTTTTCAGATTCTCTACCTCTTTCTCTAATTCCTCAATCCTTTTCTTGAGGATATCTTCATTTTGATCGAGAACCTCTATTTTGGTTTCAAGATGGACCCTTTTCTCTTCATGCTGTTTTTGCAACTCCTGAGTTTATGAAAGGAAAGTGTATTTTAGCTGTTCGTCAAATAGATTTAAATGTTTATAAGCAAATGAAAATGAAATCAGTCCTTTGCTTTCTCTTTACGTTTCAGTTACGCTCTTCAGTTCATTTTTTCTTCATAATTAGAATATTCTCCCATTTGATGTACCTATGAACATTTTGCGGCCAAATACAATTAAAATCATTTCCTTTTCATTTATCTGTTACACTTTCAGTTACGCTCCATTTCAAGCCATTTTATTTTCAAATTTTGAGAATTCAGTCGTTCAAGGTAATAATTCCTCCGTTTAAGTGAGCATTTCCTTTTTCTGATATATTTTTAATAATCAAATCATATATTTTTGTTGCTAGAATATTCAGCCGTTCCTAATAGATTAATCATAAACGCTTTCGATAAAGTCTACAACCTTCTAAGATCAGTAAAGCATTTCCAAGTTACTGCTGATGTCAAATAAAGTTCATTAATAGTTCATTAAAGTTACCTCAGCAATATCAGTTTTATAAAAGCACTTACTTTGATCTCATCTCCATGTCTTGCATTTGCTGTTGCCTTCTCTTCCTTAACAACATCTTGCAAAGCCTGAATCACCATTTCATTGCAAACAGACCTGATTACATCTCGTGTAGACAGCTCTTCAATTTTCGCATTCAGCTTTTTTACTTCTCCCTTCTGTTTCTCCTCTCTAGCGACCATTTCCTCAAGTCGGGCTCTAATGACGTCAGGATCATCCTCACTTTTGTTTTTACCCTATCATAAACAATTTAATCATAACTACATTTATAAATAATCTCCTTGCGGTACATCTACACAAACTGACATTGCTCCATTGCTTTTATAGACCAGCGTTCAAAAGTATTTCTGAAACATATTTCCCTTAGTTTCTAGAAGGAGATACTTTTAAGGATAGTGGCCTTTAATGTTTAATGTGTGTGTACTTCACTTTCTCTGGTTGTTTCTTCTTAAATTTCATTTTTAGTATTTATCCTCATTCATTCATTCTTTTAATGTTCCCTTTTTTTATGTTTTCTCCTTTACCTTCCTCCTCTATCCACGGGCTCTTTTTTCTCTATTTAAAGGCCATTTGTGTACACAAGAGGCTTTTTCTTATCTTGAAATCACTTCATCTTAATTTCTTCACTTTTTTCCCACTCTTAATTCTCCTTTCTTACTCTTCCCCTCTTTATACCTTAGACTTTTTTACTGTTATAACATTCAAACATTGTACATCAGAAGTTTCGTCTCACCTCGATGATGTCGATTCCGCTGTCAGTACTCTTTGCACGCTTTCCTATCTCAATCTGCGAGCTCTTTCTCGCTTGCTTGAGACAAGATTCATGAAATGCACGGCCTTTTCTAACCACCTTTTGCTCGTGGAGCATAGATATCTCCTTCTGTTTCTCAAATTTTTGCCGAATGGAAATGACCTGAGAAAAACATCAAGGATAAGTTCTGAGAATTTGTTCACAAACAATTCACCTTGAGGAACTCTAGTCAAAAGTTTGTAAGTTGAAATAGTTGATTAACTATGATGAAATGAAAGTATCGTTGCCTACGAGCTACGTTCAAAATAGGTTACTAATAGTTATGTCTAGAAGCACACAAAAGAAAGAATTACGAGAAAATTTAGATAACAAGTTTGTGCTGTTTAATTTATCTTAAACAGAGTAAACCAACCTTTAGGCAAAGGTCCATTTCCGTTGAATTCTTCAGCTTTTCAATGAGAACTTGGTTGAAAGAGCGCAAATGTTCCTTGTCCTTTTCGACTTTGCACAACTTGTCTTCCAAAGAATGCATCGACTCCCTGAGCGTATCAATCTCGCCGCTGAAGTCATTTGCCCCATTGCTTTGCCTTCTACGCGAGGCTTTCGGCATTTTGATTGCGATTCAAAATACCACGATTCCGTCAAATCTTCTTTCTAAACCACCTTATATCACACTCGAATAAACTCTGACTAACACAGAACGATTCTTGCGATGAAGTACAAAGATGTATCCTATGCCTTATCTTTAGTAGTAGTTACGTCGCGAAATTGTGACGTAATATCAATCATATCCTGATTAATTGGAATCCGATTATGAGACCGTAATTTGAAAGCGAGACTGTCTCTTGATAGGCACATCGTAGTTTGAAATTTTTTAGCATTTCCACTTACGTTAGTCTATTAACTAAGTTTCTCATTCAGTCAGACTACAAGTGAGCGAGACTTGCGAATTCAAGATTTGATAAGATGCGTAGTTCGAATGCCGAACGAAATTCCGAACTGGTTATCTGGTTTTTCGGTTTTAGTATTAGGCTGCACTCTTCAAATTCATTACAATGAATTTGAACTTCTGTTTGTTCGGTGAGGTATCCCAGCCTATCATTTTCTTGTAGGCTGCGTTGAAGAATTCCTGGCTGTACAGACAGAGCAAAGCCTCGTTTTTTCATCCGACTTCTGAAAACATCGAAGTCATTGAGTATATACCATGGACAGGTAGGTGAATGTTTACTTGCTTTGTTTTGTTATTTTTAACGGCCGCTGATTGGTCAAAAAGGGTTATTACCGGAGCCAATCACACTCACCATTCTTCCTCTCACGTTTCTTTCGTTCCGCATTCGGATATTAATTTCTGCTTGCCTTAAATCGTTATCCGGCGTTTATACTTTGAGGAGTGTTCGACAAAAATACCACAACTGTGAAATGTTTCCAATTTACCACACTATCTTCAACCTTTGTTATTTTCATTATGTATCACTTCTGTCCTTAACCTCTCTTCTTCCCAGTCATTTATCAATATTCCTTAGTACCTGATTCTTGCAAATTATAGGTTTTACAAAGCATAGGCTAGATGCAATTTACTTTATAGTTTTGTTTCGATATTCTTGGCAACAATTTTGAAAAATTTAGTTTAGTAGATTTACCATTTTACCTCTTTATCTGCTGCCATAAAGAGAGATACAACAAGATTCAATCAGTTGAATTTATACCAGGCTGTTACGTAGTCCTTTACGACAGATAGTATATTAAGTGTATACTATGTTCATAAATACTATATATAGTATATTAATCATACTAAGGATATTCAATAATTCATTTTACTCAAATGTTTACACATCTTGAATGATTAAACTGCTAACTTTTATGTGACTTTTAGCTACAAACGATGCAAAAGGTATCCGGACAGTTCTCAAGAAGCAGGTAAATTGTTTAGTAGATATCTCTTTAGATTTTCAAAATGACAAGCTCCACGTAACTTTGTTTGAGCATGGCCTTCACAGCATATCATTATCTGGAGATGTAAATTATGTTCTTAAATTTAAGTTTATGGCTGAATTTGTGAAAGGTTTGTTCTATTGCTGGTAGAAAAGCTGGATTTTACTTCATTGTTGCCAATATTGATTTATATGTTCAAAGTAAGATGCTGTATCTACTTTGTACTAAAGAACATACCGCTCTACGACATGCAAGTAAAACAATACATTATTGCCTACGGGTAAACAAGAATGAAGTAGAGTAATATGCTGGATGTTTCGAAACTTTAATGTATGGTAATCTGATGGAGAATAATCTGATATTTTAAGTGTTAGAATTCAATAAGAAAAACTGAACAATTTATTGAGCAGTATCAGCTCTCTTAATGTTGTTGTTGTTGTTGTTTTCGTTCTTAGAATGATGTATGGCCTAACCTGCACATGGTTGTTGAAACTTTTTAATATCCACATTAATCGTAAATATGAAGGAATATACATTACTTGTGTTGAAGTTAAAAGGTTTATAGATGGTTTTCCTTCTGGCTTGAAGTATTTTTAACAGGTTATGGGCCCAGAGCGATTGCAAGACGCTGTGCAAATTGGATTGATATTTTGATTGTTACTTTGTGTTGATCAAGATGTCAAATACGAAAGGTCAGGCACTTAGAACTTTCGATTTTCCCAAGTTAGGCCGTTCCAATTATAATGAATGGAAAAGGCATATGAGATGGTTCCTCATGGGTGAGGATTTATGGGGATTTGTGGAAGGTTCAGAGGTCAAGCCAAGAGGTGAAAACGTGGATGCCAATATAGTGTCAAAATGGCGGAAAGGAAACCAAAGGGCATTGTATTTTATTGGAACAAGCTTGGAGTCAGAGCTTCAAGTACACATAGACAATGTGGAAAGTGCTAAGGAAGCATGGAAAGTCATAAAGGATCAGTTCCAACGTGTTTCTCTTATGCAAAGGATACGTCTTCGAAAGCAGTATTATCAATTGGAGTTTCAGTATGGTGGTGATATACATATCCATATTAGAAAATTGTGTGAACTCCAAAATGAAATGAAGGAGTTAGGAGAGTCTTTAGATGATAAGGACTTAGCAATGACACTTCTAGCCAGTTTGCCTTTTGAAAGATATCAATCTCTGATTGTTTCGTTGGATGTCGCTGGAGAGGACAGTTTAAGCTTTAATAATGTGAAAGCTCTGTTGCTTAATGAAGCTGATCGTCTAGCAGATAGCAATACAGAAAGCCAGCGAGTTGTTGCTAATTTTGCTTCAGCTACAAAGCCAAAACCGAAACCAAAATGGCATTTAAAGTGCTATGCCTGTGGGAAAAAGGGGCATTTTGCAAAGGATTGTAGAAATCCACAAAAGAAAGAAAAGAATGGATCACATGAATCAAGATATTCTAAAATTAATGCTCAAGTTGCCCAAATTACAAAGGATCAAAGTAAAGGAGTTGCATTTGCTTTATCTACAACAAGCAATCATTTCAAAATGAATGGATTTTGGATTGTTGACTCTGGGGCAAGCCAGCATATGGTTTCTGACCAAAGTTTGCTTCAAGATTATTGTGCTTATAAGAAACCACAAGAAATAAGATTGGCAGGAAACGGTGATATGATATATGCAGTAGGTGAAGGCAGTATCAAGAAAATAAAGCTTGAACATGGAGAAATGCTTGTAGACCTCCAGAATGTTTTGTGTGTTCCAGACCTTACAGATAATCTTTTGTCAGTGCATTCAATGACAATGCATGGAGCTAGTGTGACTTTTACCAAAGGAACTTGTAAGATAGTTGCAGATGGCAAAGTGTTAGGTGTTGGACAGAAATATGAGCAGCTTTTTGGAGTTAAAGTAGTACTGCCAAATCGTGTTTGTGTTGCAGAGGTAAAACCACTTGATGATTATTCTCTACAGTTGTGGCATCAACGCATGGGTCATATAAGCAAGGACAGTATAAGTAAATTACAAGATGTAGCAGAAGGTGTCAATCCTATCAAGAAAGTCAGCCACTGTGTAAGTTGTGCTCAAGGAAAGCAACACAGAAACCCATTTCCATCAAGCTCATCTCATTCAGAAGAAATATTGGAAATAGTGCATAGTGATGTCATGGGACCTTTTGAAGTTGATTCAATTGGAGGGTCTAGATATGTTTGCACATTTATTGATGACAAATCACGTTATGCTTTTGTATACATGCTACGTACAAAAGGAGAAGTGTTTACAAAATTCACAAGTTTTGTTGCAATGGTAGAGGCACAAACAGGAAAGTCAGTTAAGATTATCAGAAGTGATAATGGAGGTGAATATTCTTCAGAGGCATTGAAAGAGTTTTGCAGAAAGAAAGGCATTCAACATCAGTATTCTGCTCCATACACGCCTGAACAAAATGGAGTTGCAGAGCGTTTTAACAGAACAATATCTGAGGATATGCGTGCTATGTTGCATCATGCAAAATTACCTAAGAAGTTTTGGGCAGAAGCTTTGAGTACCACTGTGTATCTCAAGAACAGATCACCTCATTCATATATCAATGGAAGAACACCTTATGAGATTTTTCATGGACAAAAGCCAAATTTGTCACATTTGCATGTTTTTGGGTGTCTTGCCACTGTACATGTTCCAAAGCAGCAACGTTTAAAAATTGATGCGAAAGCTAAAGTTAAAGTTTTCATCGGCTATTCAGATGATGTAAAGGGATACCGTTTGATAGATCCACAGACACTAGCAGTAACTGTTAGCCGTAATGTCATCTTTCATGAAGATAAATTTTTGTGTGACATGGAAAATATTAGGAATATTCATCCAGTTGAACCTGCAGACGATCTTGTATCAATTGATTATTGTGGCGGTAATTACCAAGATGATGCAGATGATGAGACTGAGGATAATTCTGATCAAAGTTCAGATGCACCAGTGAGTAGAGATGTGTCAGAAAAAACAGATAATTTGGTTCAGGAGGGAAATACAGCTCAGGTGGGTGCTACATATGAGGAGACTTTTATGCATCAAGTTCGTTCATTGCCAGCCAAACGTCCATCAGCATTGCGTCCCACAAATGAATTACCGCATCATTGTAAGCTTGCTGAATCACTGACATCAGAAGTAAATGAACCAGACAACATTTACCAAGCATGGCACAGTGAATATAGTCAGCAATGGCATGAAGCTACTGATAGTGAGTTTACGTCTCTTGTTGATACACACACATGGGACTTAGTACCTCTTCCTGATAACAAGAATATTGTAGGATGCAAGTGGATATTCAAGGTCAAACGCAAAGCTGACAACACAATCGACAGATTCAAAGCACGTTTAGTAGCACAAGGGTACAGTCAAGAAGAAGGTGTTGATTTTAATGAAGTTTTTTCACCTGTTGCTCGTTTTACGACCATAAGGACTGTACTGGCTTTGACTACATTATTAGACCTTGAATTGCACCAGTTGGATGTAAAAACAGCATTCTTAAATGGAACTTTAGAAGAAGAAATTTACATGAGACAGCCGGAGGGCTATATTGATGAGAAACATCCTGATTATGTGTGCAAATTAAGAAAATCTCTTTATGGATTACGTCAAGCAGCTCGTTGTTGGAATAAAGTGATTGATGAGTACTTGAGATCAGCTGGTTTTAAACAAAGCACCGCAGATACGTGCATCTACATTAAGCAAGAGGGAGAAAGGTATGTGCTATTAGCAATATATGTAGATGATATACTAATTGCATCAAATAACACAAGCATGCTACAGAAAGAGAAGGTTCAACTCAGTGAGAAATTTGATGTTGTTGACCAAGGAGAGGCTCATTATATTCTCGGCATATCAATCAAGCGAAATCGTTCAGGAGGAACTATGTCTTTAAGTCAGCCTATGTACATTGAGAACATTCTAAAAAGATTTAAGATGGAAAATTGTAATCCAGTTAAAACACCTTTGGAGCCAGGTACAAAGTTTTCAAAATTATCAAATGATGAAGAATGTGTTGACAAAGATATTTATCAGCAAATCATTGGCTGTTTGACATATGCTATGACTACTGTACGTCCTGATCTGTCAGCTGCTGTTTCGTTATTAAGTCAATATATGTCAAATCCTGGAAAGCAGCACTGGATTGGTGTAAAGCGTGTGCTACGTTATTTAAAAGGAACAGTTAATCATGGATTATGTTATAAGAAGAATGACGGTCATGCAATTTTGAGTGGGTATAGTGATGCAAGTTGGGGGGACTGTCTAGATACAAGGCGTTCTACATCAGGATATGTTTTTAACCTGGGTGGCAATTTAATCAGTTGGCGTACAAAGAAGCAGTCTTCAGTTGCAAAGTCTTCAACAGAATCTGAAATTGTAGCATTAAGTCAAGCCACACAAGAATGTATATGGTTGCGACATTTGTTGTCTGATTTATGCTTTACACAAGAGGATGCTACTGTTATCTTTGAAGACAACCAAGGAGCAATACAGCTTGCAAAGAATGCAAAGTACCATGATCGTTCTAAACATATTGAGATACATGATTTGTTTTGCCGTGAGCGTGTCATTTCAGGAGATGTTGATATTCAATATTGCAGAACATCAGATATGTTAGCGGACATAATGACAAAAGCAGTACCATATCCATGTTTTAATCAAATGAACTTGAAACTTGGACTTATTGACATTTCAAGTTAGCCGATATTGCTCAAGGGTGGCTGTTAGAATTCAATAAGAAAAACTGAACAATTTATTGAGCAGTATCAGCTCTCTTAATGTTGTTGTTGTTGTTTTCGTTTTTAGATTGATGTATGGCCTAACCTGCACATGGTTGTTGAAACTTTTTAATATCCACGTTAATCGTAAATATGAAGGAATATACATTACTTGTGTTGAAGTTAAAAGGTTTATAGATGGTTTTCCTTCTGGCTTGAAGTATTTTTAACAACTTTAAGGTAGGAGCACAGGGCTCTGACATGCAAAGAAAAACGCTATATCCATATCTTAAAAAAATGATGCAACAAATGGTTGTTGTGACTAATCGCTCTCAAATATAACCTCGGGTGTTTGCCTGTACACTCAGTGCGCCCCCCATCGAA